GACTTTGCACTGTGTATGTTAGCCCCTCTTGTCTCACGTCTCACCTCTGCTGTCTTCCCCTTTCTGCATGCTATGTTTCGCTTCACTTGTCACTTTGTTGTGATGGTTGAATTTGAAGACTCCATTGTACTGTAGCTCAGGCCCGTAGCAGCCCCATTTTGGTTGGTCCGGCAAGATCCGACTTTGATGCTCCCCCCCCCCCCCCCCCCCCCCGTACTCATACATATGCCGGTACATGTACAAAATGTACATGTACATGATTGTACGTGTATGTGCCGGTCCCAGTGGGACCAACTCTGAGCAGTGGAGAACGTTCTTGCTATCCCATGGCAACGCCAGCAGTCGCCTGCGGGAAGCTGTGGCCGCCTCAACCCGTCGACATGCAAATGGAATCGTGCCCTGGTGCAACATGCGAGCATTCCTTGCTCGGAGAGGCATTGCACTTGACAAGCTACCAGGAGTGCGGCCAATCGGAGTGGGCGAATGCAGGCAGCGCATTGAGGCAAAGGCCATGGCCCTTGCTACGGGAATTGATGTCCAGGAGGTCTGTGGGGCTGACCAGCTATGCTCGGGTGCAAAAGCTGGGATTGAGGCAGCTGTTCATGCTATGAGCGACGTTTTCACCGAGGATGACACTGAAGGACTCCTTCTTGTCGATGCAGCTAATGCATTTAACTCGCTAAGCCGTCCCGCGGCCCTATGGAACTGCCGGGTGCTCTGGCCGAGATGCGCAAGGTTTCTATTCAACGCCTACCGTGGGTACGCTGTGATCATCTTGAAAGGTTCCTGTACATCCGAGGTCCATACCCTTCTCAGCCGGGAAGGTACTACTCAGGGATGTCCCCTGGCTATGCTAATGTATGCCATTGGTCTGCACCCTCTGATTGAGAGTTTGAAGGAACCCAGCCAGCACACCCAAAACTGGTACGCTGATGATTCTTCTTGTGCGGGACGGTTGCGCAACATCAGGAAGTGGCTCGACCGCCTTATCGATCAGGGTGAAGCTTTCGGCTACCAAGTTGAGCCGACAAAGAGTATCATTATTGTTTCCCCGGATCTCGTTCAGCAAGCTAATGATATCTTTGGGGATCTGAACATCCAAGTAGCCACATCCGCCCGTTTCCTAGGAGGCTGTATCAGTGAACCTGATGGAGTGAGATCGTTTGTCAAGGAGAGAGTGGAGACGTGGGTGAGCAGTGTCAATTGCCTTGCCGCTGCTGCCAGGAAATACCCCCAGTCGGCGTATTGTGCGTTGAATCGCTCGCTCTCATGTGAGTGGTCATACCTGCAGCGTGTTGTCCAGGGTCTTGAGGAGGAGTTTGCTCCGCTTCGAGACGTCATCCTGGAGCAATTTGCCCCAGCCATCCTTGGGCGGGAGGTTCTTCCTCGGGAACACCAGCTCCTCACCCTGCCAGTCAAGTATGGTGGCTTGGCTTTGGCCGATCCTGTCCACACAGCACCCCAGGCTTACCAGAATTCGAGAAACGCTACTGACATCCTGCGCAACTCAATCCAATCTGGTAACCCCGTAAACGTAAATGATCACAGCGCTCACTGTCGCCGCATCACAAGCCAAATCAGCAGGGAACGAGATGTGATTTCCGCTGAAATCAGCCAATCAATTCTCAGTGACCTGCCACAGCTTGAGGAGCGCACCCTCTCCCGCATCGTACGGGGAAATGCCTCCGGATGGCTTACGGTGTTGCCCCTGAAGCGAGAGGGGTATGATCTGTCGAGTACAGAATTCCGCGATCAACTTGCCATCCGCTATGGTCGGCAGCCGCTTGCCCTGCCAGCGCAATGTGATGGTTGCGGGAAGCCTTTCTCTCTCCAGCATGGCCTTGACTGCCCGAAAGGTGGACTTATCAAGCGAGGCCACAATGATCTGCGTGATAGCGATGCAAAGCTAGCTGATATGGCATTCGGTGGTGTTGTCGTCGAGCCGATCATGGTGCCGGAGGGTGATCGGACGGGGCAGCCTGCTCTTCGGGCAGATTGGCTTGCCCGGGGTGTGTGGGAGGATAACAGGGTGGCATTTTTTGATAATCGCATCATTGATGCCAACGCACCCAGTTACTCCCATTCATCCTGGGAAGCTACTTCCAACCGCGCTGCTAACGCGAAGAAAAAGAAGTATCGTCAGGCCTCCGAGGACCTCCGTGGGTCGTTCACACCACTGGTTTGTTCCACGGATGGGGTGCTACATCGCGAATACGCCAGCTATCAGAAGCGACTTGCTGGTCGCCTCGCCCTCAAGTGGGACAAGCCTACATCGCGAATACGCCAGCTATCAGAAGCGACTTGCTGGTCGCCTCGCCCTCAAGTGGGACAAGCCATTTTCTATCATCATGGCTTGGGTGCGAGTTCGCAGCCAATTTGCAGTGATCCATGCAGTCGACCTCCGGCTACGCGGGTCTAGAAGGCGCCTGACAGGCCTGTCGACGCAGGATGGTGCTGGGGTAGGCATCGGCCATTGAAAACTGAATTCCGTCTGTTTTACGTGGAATTTCTTGGAGTTTCCCAATGTATTGTGCTTGAATAAAATTCTATTTTAACTTTCATGGTATATCAATTTTTTTCACGTCTACATGACTTTATTTTGCCCGTAAAAGAGGCCGTTACCCCGTAAAAAAAAACAAAACATGACATACATTGTACATGTACCTGTACAATGTATGTCATGTACATGTGCATACATTGTACATGTACAGTCTGTATCGCCTATAAGGTTGGCGGCTATAGTAATATACCGGATATAGTGATCAATATCTCAAATTCATTTTCATTTGCCATAACTAAGTATACACAGTTATCGCGTATAGTAATAATCGTCTATAGTAATATATCGCCTATAGTGATCAAATTCATATTATAGGCAAAAATAATGTAATAAAGGTCTTTTGAAATATTATTTCAAAAGACCTTTATTACATTATTTTTGCATCGGTTATTGTGATTGATGTAAAATCAAGCGATGTCAGAGGAAAACAGGGTGTTACTTCTTCGTGAAGAACTTGTCCAGTGAGTGTTGTTCGGTGAGTTCTGCTCGTACAAGTTGCCAAAATATGCCTCCATCATGAGGAAATGCTGATTTTGTGTGTCAGGAGCTACAGCCAGCTACATGACATTGTACATGTATGTAGTGCGTATATGTGCACGGCGCGCTGAGTCGTTTGACACCCCACTCGCATACATTGCATGCAGTATCGGTCATAGTAATATATGAGAGTGATAAAATGCTCAAAATCAAACACCAACGCTATAGGCGATACTGACTGTACATGTACATACATGTAATCGTGACCATGCAGAGTGACATAGGGCGAGAAAAGGAAGAAGGACGTTCTGCAGGAGTCAGGAAAAAGGGCATCAGCATGTTGTGTCCGTCCAAACAGAACTTGTTGAAGCCTGTGAAGGCATAGCAACAGTATCTAAATGCATGTGATGAAAGAACCAAAATGTACCTTTGGAGGAGGAGAAAGGGTATTGCAATGGAATATCTTTGGTACAAACCCTATCTAGAAAGAATTGGAGGAAGAAAAGAATCCGGACACGTTTCAGGAAGTACAGAGTAGGAACATTCACGGGCATGACTGTCCTCATCACCTTCAGCAGGGTCATACTCCTGAAGACATGTAGGTCTACTACCGGCACTACTATGTAATACCTTTATACTACTTATTGCACACATCGTCATCATGGGTGGACATCCTGAGCTGCTCACATGGGTGAGCTCCCCCCCCCCCCCTTTTTTTGGCCGAATATTGGTCCGGCAGCTGCCGGACCGCCTGCTACGGCCCTGTAGCTGTATGGTGGAATATGGTGGCAAAAACACGCCAGGAGAAATGCCGGTAAATACACGCCTGTCCACACGAGCTCTCTAAGCTGCAACGTTACACTCTTGCACCATGTGCGAACTGATGGTGGTGGTGAGGAGAGAACTCTGTGCCAGATTGCAACTTTGCAGCTTGGATAGCTTTTGTGGGAAGGCGTGTATTTACTGCCATTTTGCTAGGCGTGTCTTCTCTTCACCACCATATTATTCAGCCGGTTGTAATGGTTATGGCCCTTATGATGCTATTTATCCGAACATTTCATTGGTTCTAGTTGCTTGTACTTCACTTGGGGAGAAAGCACGAAAAACTGGTGTGTAAAATTCTTGAATCCTAATCCTGGTGGTTGAGAGCTTGAAATTTGTAGTTTTTCTTGCAGATATAGGAGATTAAAAATCACGCAAAGAATCAGCGGTGCTAGTTTCATTACTCATTCAGCTGTCAAATGTGTTCCAAAGCAACAACAACCTCTAGGCGCTGAATCTCTATACCTGAAGCGGCAAAGTGAGATGACTACTAAAACTAGAGCTATGGTTGTTGTCTCTTTATTTCTTTCCCTCACAAGTGATGAGTTGCCGTTGTACGCTAAATGTTATCAAAGCTCTGTCTATTGCTGTATACATGGACAGTAAGACTGTCTGCAGCTGCAGAAGTCGAGTGATTCATTGTTTGTTGACATGTGACAGCTGTATACATACACATGTATACTGTACTATTTGGACTCTTTGCCTGATGGGAATGGGCTGAAAGCGTTTGGACAGTTGAGAGAGTAGTGAAACTATCAATGTTGTTCCTTTTTGTGAACATGTGTATACAATTTCCTCTTTGTGTTCATAAATCAGTAAGATCGTGCATGTAAGATGGTGTCTATTATCCAGCATATCCGTGTTCAGGTATTCAGCCTGGTACAGTTCCCTAAGTTTTGTCGGATACATGACGCTGAACTGTAACTGGCCATACAACTACTAAGTGTGTTTGGACACGCTATGTGTGTGTGTGTGTGTGTGTGTGTGTGTGTGTGTGTGTGTGTGTGTGTGTGTGTGTGTGTGTGCGTGTGTGTGTGTGTATATAACGTTACTTGTTGACCTGACGGTACAGGCTAGGACTGTCGGTTTAGCCGCGTGTCTTGTCTAAGATGATGTGTTTGACTACATTCTGTGTGTACAGCTCCCACGGATCTACCTGGCGTGCTCACTGGCATCGCTCGCCAGCTAACATCGAAAGGCCAGCACGAGCTCAGCAGCTATTGCCTGGAGGCTGTCATCGTCCTGTGCAAGAAGGCGTCGAGCGATGTCAAGCCAACGCTGCTCTGCGCGCTGGAGAGCCTGGCGCAGGTGTACGCCACGCTGAACCTGCACGAGCGCGCACTGGCAATGCTGGCACGGCACCAGACGCTGGCCACAGAGATGGAGAACTGGGCGGCCGTCGCGGTTGCCTCAGCGCTGCAGGCCAAGGCACATAGAGGTACGGTTCTGTTACCGGTAGGAGATATAACCAAGAGTGCATACGATTGTAACCGCCAAGAGTGTGCAACTCATGCGTGCACTGCTGCCCCGACAGAATGTCATGTTGACGTCATTCTTGTGATGCCATGCTCCTCGCACAAGTGATTTACGATGTTTGTACAGGGTGTCAATGTATCAAACGTGTTTCCTTGAACTAATTTTTGCAGGGTACATTGGGATTTGTCAACCACAGGGCCAGGATACGTATGATAATACGTGTACAATGCGCGCATTGCATCATAAACATGACGTACCCTTGAAATTCTGTCGGGACAGCATCCACAGTGGAGTTGCACGCTCTTGGGGGTAATGTACTCTTGACCCCACCCCCACCATGTTCTGTTTTGTACACTCTAGGGGGGTTATGTCTTGATATAACCTACAGTAGTCAGAGGATGAAATCAGGTCTCGTCAGAAATCTGCTTGTCACTACACTTAAAATAGCAAAGCTCACTCACTACCAGTTCAGTTTTTCTGTATTGCCTTGCACCTAGCTGGGATGTGATGTACATGAAAGGGGTGCAAGAACAAAGCATGCTGGTGGCTCTCTTTCCCAGGAGAGTGCTTTAGCCATTCATGAGAGTGGTGTTCTCCTTCCCCACTCCTGCCCTTGAAAAGCATATGCATTGGCCAAAGAGATTCGCAAACACATTGATTGGATTATCAGAAAACACCAATGTGGCTACCCTGATCCCTGCTGCGATTCTGTCTCGTTAGAATCCTGACTTTGTGCTAGCCGATGACAATTTGCCATGATATTTTTTGTGCTTGGCCGAGGGTCCGCTTCACTATCGGACTGTCGAAAGGATATCCTCATGACCTCATGTACTGATACTGTATTGATGTATGTTTATAAGGACACATGCTCTCATCTATCTTCCTTCGTTGGGAGATGAGCTATCGGGAATATCTTCCTAAATCAATGGAACTTACCTCTGTTTTATTCTGTGTATGTGTTTGTTTATTTAACAGCCATGGGTAATCTCCAGCAGTGCGAGCAGTGTCTGCATGATCGACTGGACGTACTGCGCACGTACGACCATTCCAATCGCCAGTCCCAGCTTGACCTACTCGAGACTGAGCTACAAGTGGCGGATGTGTGCCGCAGGCAGCTACGTCTGCATGCTGCGTTAGGTCATGGTGAGGCTGCTTTGGCGCTATCTCGACAAGTGGCAGATCGACCATCCCTGATAAAATGCCACGAGGGTCTTGGTAGGTTACGCATGCTTTTAGGCCTTTATCCTGAAGCCGTATTCCACTTCAAGACGTCACTGACCGTAGCGCGCAAAGCACAGAATATCGTCGGCCAAAGCTGGGCGTTGTTGGGCCTGGCTGAGGTGTATGCGGGCCTGCAGCGCTATCCGATGGTGCTGGATTCTTGCAAGCTGCTGCTCGCACTGCCCGCAGTGACGCCCACCTGCGATGATGTGAGCGAGAGTAGTCTCATCAGTCTGGACGATGTGGTACGACATGATTGCAGATGTAGAGCGCTGCTGGTTCTTGGCACTGCTCATCAGAACCTGAAACAGCTGGACAAGGCTGCTGCTCTGATTGAGGAAGCGCGTCTCGAGGCGGATCTGATGAAGGACCCGAGTATGTTGGGACACGTCAACTGCGCCGCTGGTTCCGTTGCCACGGACACTGGTACGTTCATGACGGCGTATCGGCATCTGACAGCGGCAATGGACCTGGCAAAGTCCACAGAAGATCCAGTCCTGCAGATGCAATGCCACTATCATCTAGGCGTGGCCGCCACTCGCGGAAAACTGAAACAGCAGCCGACTGCGGTGGAGCACTTCTATTCGGCCATCAACCTCTTCTCGGAGCTGCGCGAGCGCTACGGATCCTTCTCCCCGGATGGCAGTAAGATCGTTGATCTGCCTCTGGACTGCTATGAGTGTCTGCAAGAGGTGCTGGTAAACCGCGGCGATATCAAGGAGGCGTTTCTTGTCGCCGAGCACACGCAGCAGAGGATGTACCTGGACATGGTCGGCGTTCACCAGGACTTGGAAGACCTGCAGCCCATTCGCTCTCTACCGCTGAAGATGCCCACGCTGAACAGTATTTCGCGCAGTGTGTCGGCGTCCGGCAGCGGCGTCATTCTCTATTCCCTGGTGCACGATTCTCTGTACATGTGGCTGTGCCTGCCCCCGCGCGGTCTTGCCGCCGGCGTGTTTGCATTCCACAAGTGGCCGCCGAAAGCCGTCCACTATCTCATACCTTTCCTGCGGCAGAACTACTTTCTGCTGTCGCGCTTGCCGTCCAACATTCGCGACGCCAATCGGATGTGCGAGGCAAGAAGCTGTTGCCTGGTCGGTGGAGAGGCGATGATGTATCGCAGCGAAGCATCCGGCCAGATGTCTGAATCGCAAGGTGATCCACCACCGTACTGTCCGTACGGTAGCATTGCCCAACGCCAGCAGCTCTCCTACCCGTGGGTCGGTGATGATGATCTAATCCACCCGGGACGATCGAGCTACCTGTCAGCACCTGCGCCTCTAGACGACAACAGTGTCATTGGCACGGAATCGCGAGCATCCATGCGTGATCTCTATGACATCCTGGCTATGCCCTTTGAGCGGTATCTGTTTGGCTACGGCAGTCTTCCAGTCAAAGACCTGGTCATTGTTGCGCAGAACAGCATCCTGCTGTGTCCATTCTCGGCTCTGGTGACCAGCAGGCGTGTGGTGGTGTGCGACTTCTACCAGTTCCGCTTGCAGCCATGCCTCCTGCCTCCCGTCGTCCACTCGGTCAAGACCTGTGAGCAGTGTATAGCCAGCAATGCCGAGCAAAAGGGGGTCGTTGCACTGCTCTGCGGTAATCCGACCGTGCCCACGGTGAAATTCTATGGGCAGACCTGGCGGCCACTACCTCTGCCGTACGCCGAGCGTGAAGTTCGTAGCGTTGGCCTGCTGCTAGGCCCGGCTGTGCATCCTCTACTTGGCGTAGCGGCCAGACGACACACTCTGTTGTCGGCCATGCCCCAGGCCACGCTCATCCACTTGGCCGTGCACCTGTCCTGGGAGCTGTCCTCGTTTGTCGTGGCACCGGCCGCTGGTGTCACCTCGCCCACGGAGAAGGACGTGCTCATCACGGCCAGCGACATTTCGCGTCTGCATCTGCAGGCCGACCTGGTCATCCTGAGCGGTGGCAGTGCCTACTGCCATTCCACTCGGCCTGGCGCCGGCTTGCCGCAGCCCAACCAGCACAACCTGCCGTCGCACGTCTCCATGATGACGCTGGCGAGAGCGTTTCTCACGGCCGGTGCGCGCTGTGTGCTCGTCTCGCTGTGGAGCATCCCGGACCGGGCCACGGACGAGTTCATGTTCCTGTTCTACGAGAACATCAAGCGTGGCGTGTGTGTTGGCCTAGCACTGCGCGAGACTATGGAGGCAGTACGCACCCGGCGTGGCTTTACGGAGCCCGTTCATTGGGCATCTTTTGTTCACTTTGGTAAGGATATCACGCTGGATTTCTCCACCATTGAAGGCGTGCCGCTTCCATCGTCGGCACTCGCTGCTAGTCAGTCACGGACAAGTATTGGCGTTGCCTCTACTGCTGGTAGTGCCTCAGCTACCGCTTTTAGTGGTGCCGCTGAATCCACGGTGTCTGAGAGGGCTGCGTCTTCCAGAGCATCGTTAGCCGACAGCCATTCGGTGCAGTTCAGTACGGGGACGGCTGGTTCTGCCGGCCCTGAGCGAAAACAGTCTACGACATCGTCCACGCTGGTGGAGGTGGACAACATGTCTGTATCGTCCATTGCCACACCGGGCGGACGGCTTGTTCTCCGTCGTTCAGGATGTAAGTGATGTACATGTACTTGTGTTGGATTCTTGAAGTGCTTGCTTCTCCTGTCTCGCTTTGCCCGCAACAGAGCATGTACTATTAAAAAGATTGTCAACTACAGTTGAACATCGATTATCCGACCACCTCTGGGCAGACAACTGTCAGGCGGTGTTCAGATAAGGCAAATGTTCCGGATAAGAAAAAACTGTCACTCACACACTTTCAGTGGTTATTACTAGCCGCATCACCTTTTTTCTTTTTACTTTTCAAAATTTTCGTATTTTTTGAATGGCTCACAACATGCACAGTGCGTACTCTACGGCACGTGCGCCCAAAAAAACTGTTACGGATAATCGAATGGTCGGATAGTCGATGTGCGGATAATCGATGTTCAACTGTATGTCAACAGAGAGATTGTTTTGGATGATTGTGTGTGACTACTGAGCAGGATGAAATGGCTGTAGTGGAGCCCTAAGAAAACTGTGACAGTATCCATGGTATCATGTGATTATGCTTGTTGATTACAATGCTGTTGTCCATGCGGCTGTGATTTCTTTCCAGCATCCTTTGCGCATCGGCGCGTGTTTGAGAGCGTGAAGTGCTTCACTGAGGCGGTGTCGTCCGTGGTGTCCGCTACGCATTCAGACGACGAGGCCAAGGCAGCCGTTGACAAGGTTCTGAAAGATCTGTCTTCGGTGGTAAGTTCTTGGCTCGTTGGCGTGCAACCTGCTACAGGTCTAGTTCGCATACTGTGAATCCTGAGTTCCTGATAATGAGTTTTTGGCTGATCAAGAACAATGCGCTGGTCTCTATCACTAGTGCTCGACTGCTGCAAGAATACATTGTTTTAGGATACTACTTCAAGTACTAAGCCTGTACATGTACATGTACAGGCTTAGTACTGGTAGCTAGTTTCAACAACTGGGCCAGCTGCCCAAAATACCGTAAAGTCTTGTATAAAAGCCGCACTTGAATAGAAGCCGCAATTTTGGGCCCATCGAATCACACATAAGCCTGGTTTTAGTGTTGACATAAGCCTAGTTCACATTCGACGGGACGCGACGTAAGGATCGACGGGAAGCGACGGGACGGTCTGACGGCGTCCAATGTGAACACCAGGAACGGGAACGCAACCGTACTACCGTACAGATCGGGAAGCGACGGGAAGAGTTGGATCGATCCAACTTTTCATACCGTAGACGGGCGTAGACGGGGACGCAAGCGTACAAAACGGCTGCAATTCGAGTGTGAACAGGAGACGGCGTCGTGCGCCGACTGCTCCCGATTCGTACTTGGAAATTTTTAGCATTTCGAACACTGCGCTTCCCATGATAACTCACAGAATGGCTAGCACGACTTGAGTTGAATTTCAGCAACATAAGATCTCATGTCACTTATTGTATTTAGGGGTAGTTCAGAAGCGTGACAGACGAACTATTCTATCATTTCCTGGGGCTATTATTTGAATGCCACAACTTTCAGGGCTAATTTTTTGGTCTTCACGAAAAACTGGTATTGTGAACTTGATTCCGCTTCTTTCAAGGAGAAATAATTGAAAAGTAGTCCCGAAAAACGAGAAATTAGGTCCAAAAGTCACCCCGTCACGGACCGTGCCTTATGACTCGCGCCGTTCGACGGTGAACGTCGCAACGACTGCTGCATGTCGTGTCGTACGAATCGTACAGGATTTTACAGCTCACCCCAGCCCTCCCGACAAGCCCTTACGTCCCGTACCGTCGGCGTTGCGTCGAATGTGAACTAGGCTATACATAGAAATACCTGTCTTGTATAGAAGCCTGCAAAATTTCACCAAGAAAGTCATAGAAGCCGCGGCTTTTATACAAGACTTTACGGTAGGTGGTGCTTGCTCACCTGGTAGTTGTTGCAGCAGGGGAAGCGATGCGAGCAGGTGGAAGGTGAAGCGATGTGGACTTGCTCGTGGGCTGCCTGTTTGAGTCGCTCATTCTTGTGGCCAATTTATACATGCTTGCGCATGCCATCACTTGTCTGGGCTGCGCTTGGGGCGAGTAGGCCACGGTCTCGATTAAGATCGTGAATAACGTAGGCAGCAGATCGGATTTTGCTTCTGATGCTGCAGTACAGTGAGTGGTTGCCTCTAAACCATGCCGTTCTGTTTTAGCACTCAGCTTCCCTTACAGTTCTGCTCTATATGTGAGTTGTGTGTTGTAGTGAGTAGTGCTGGGAGGAGAAGAGCTTGACTTACCAGTGCATGCCCTGCTTGCTGCATCATCACGACTCATCAACATCAACCCACTGGCATTGTTGTTAATGCTCTCATTTCTTTTTGTTGCTGCTGCTGCTGCCATTGTGGTTGTTGTTGTTGCTGCTGCTGTTGTTGTCGCCGCCGCTGCTCTTGCTGCTGCTGCTGCCATTGTGGTTGTTGTTGTTGTTGCTGTTGTTGTTGTCGCCGCCGCTGCTCTTGCTATTGCTGCTACTGTAGATCAAACACTCAGCCAATGTACTGGCACAGTTGCCCAGTGGTCCCAATAGTCCGGGTGCAAGCAATGTGCCCACACGCTCTACGCCAGCTTTGGCAGACAGTGGCTATGGCAGTGCTGAGACTTTGGCATCGTCCAATGGCAAAGTCCATGGTCTTCTCGTCAGTCTGGGCTTTGTGTCCAACCATGTAGGTTCACTGGTTCTTCAATGCATGTTCTAAGATTTCTAATCATCCAAGTGCAGTGATTGCCACCAAGCGTACATAAGCTAGAGTGTTGCAACCTGGCTTGAATTCGGGAAAGAGGCGTCATTGGCATCATTGATTCATAGATGCTGCGACCCGATCATGCATCATTGCAACCTGTGCCATTAACTTTTTTTTGTGTATATTGGCATCGAAATTGATGTGAACCAGGGAGTCGTAAAAAAAAAACTTATTTTTACGACTCCATGCAGTGAGCAATGAACTGTGCTGTCCTGAACCGCCGTATGTGGAGCAGCAGCACACCCGGCTTTACATGCTCTTCATGCCACCAATGTGCATACATGTATACATGACATACCTGTAGTACCTGTAGTACCTGTAGTACCTGTAGTATGATGCAAGGCGCAAGTACACCACCGTAAAGTACCGTGCCACACACAATGACACACCGGAAGAAGTCTAGCTAAAAAAAAGATTAAATACAGCAGTCAACCTCGTGAATAACGACAACTCGGGTATAACAGCAACTCGGGTATAACTACACTTCTCATGCACGGTTGAGGGTCGTTGTTCGAAAGTTTGACTGTACATTGCTGACACTATTGACACTTGAAAGCAATGTCTTGTTTAGATTGATGACCTATTTTTATCGATTGTTTTTGTAGAATTCCGAAGCAGACGACTACAATCTTCACTTCTCCGACTCCCAGTACTTTTCACCAATGCACGCCGCTGTCATTTTGTGTCTTGAGGCGCTGGAAGGTGAGCTGTGATTTCGCTGTTCTTCCCAGTGTTTGCACGGAGGGATGCATCCAACCTCATGGCATCATGTGTATGACTGTGCGAGCGTTGTGCCAGTGATTGTCAGGTTGCACTGTCCTCCTCGTGTTTGTTTTCGTTTGTTCCTGCCAGAGGGTGTTAGCACTACAGGATCTGGGTCTGCTGTTGGATGATGACCATGTAGTTTGGGGTCTGCACCTCATGGGTATCCTGATACAGTGTGTGTCGGTGTGTGTGTGTGTGTGTGTCGGTGTGTGTGTGTCGGTGTGTACACCTGGTCAGCCAAGGTCACCTTCCAGTCTGGATAATGTTTTGTCTTGGACTAGTATGGATATGTATTTGCTGTTAGCAGCTGCTGCTCAAGATACAATTTGCTGGCACTCTCTTGCTTTCTCTTGGTCTCTGGCGCTCCGACGGCCCAAGCTTGGTAGAGCTATTGTTGGCCTACCGTATTTCCCCGATTATAAGTCGCACCTCCACTTTTAGGTTTGAGCCATATTGTTTAAGTAGGATGTCACACTCGATTGTAAGGCGCATCCGCTTCTCTGCCCTTGAAGTTTAGTGTGACTAAAGGTGTGACTTATATTCAGGGTAAATACGGTATAATGCTGCTGCTGATGGTGATGACGCTCCATTCTGCTTCCAAGATGATAATGATACTACCTAGTATGCATGTCATTACACTAAAGCAAGACTGCAGTGGTGGGATTGGGTCTCCAGCAAGCAGTATCTAAATATCTCGATCATTGATGCACATGACAGCAACCAAACATTGATGGTGGCGTGTGTGCTGTGCATGTGTGCACCCTTGTTCTCTGTGTGCAGCATTCCTCTCGGTCGCTCCCAGCTCGGTGGCAAAGCTGCTTGTTCAAGCACTGCCCGTGGACGCAAAGGCAGCGCGAGGACTCCTGCAAGTGGTAAGCTTTCCAGGGATGCATCCAGACGGGGTCACGCAGGTCAATTACTGTAAATTCACACATTTTCGGTGTACTTTTACTTTCGGTACTTTCGTTGCATCTGTTTCACACCTAAATTTCAATTACTGGACAAACACTAACACACATAATCCAAAGGGGAACTGCTTCTCTGTACCTAGAATTTCTGTTCACCTAACCTGGCCTTTTGCTCTCATGCCGAAAGTGTTGAGCACCTAAAATTTCTGAAATTCAAGTGCCCACTTGAAAGTGAGAATCAACCACCCGAAAACAAATTGTCGTGTTCAAGATGATACGCCTGGTTTAGCCTGATCGATCTGTGTGTAAATACACTTGAAGTCACCATTAGGAGTCACCGTCCTTATTCCTAATGTCAAGAGTACATAAACCAGAGTGTGCAACTGTGCATATCAGATCTGAAACAGCGCAGTTCGTGCACTACGTCACCCTGATGAGGTCAGCTAAGCCGCGACTTGTGTACAGCTCAAATTTTCGTGTTACATAGCCCGGAAACCAGCCCAGTTTGCTTGATTCTAGACGTCCTGTTTCAGGATTTCGGTGTTTTTGTGTGACTGTGTACGCTGCTGCGTACATCCACCAACAAGTAAATTCACCAGGCTATCCGTATCAAAAGCTGAAATCAGGACAAACTCAGTGACCTGCACCACTGTGACTGGTTACGCAACTTTTCACCGTACCTGTGGCTTACCATGCCGTCAGAAATGACGTACTGCACGAATTACGCTCCCACAGGAACCATCCCGAGTTGCACACTCTGGTTTATGTACTCTTGCTAATGTTCCATCATCATCATCACAAGCCCATAGCCCTACGGCCGTCGGGGCGTCACAGAGCAAGTATGAACAAGCGAGCGCCATAAAAATCGATCGCGTGCAGCAGCGAGCAGGGGCTGCACGTCAAGTGCAGTCCATGAAGAATGTCATGGCTTGATAATATAATGTTCTATACAGCAGTGAAATATGTCACAACTCACTTGCGTAACGCATACATCGTACATAGTAATTCCTGATTTCAGGAAATATTTGATTTTTTCATTGCCGTCTTGCCATGCAAGACCAGTTTGAATCAAAGGCAGTTCCGTCAATCTGATAGATTTCGCAGGCTATAATTGTAACTGTTCACTGCAGAAAACCTCCTATCAGATTGAACCCTTTCAATAGTTGAAACGATTGAAATGATTCCCAAAGGAGAAACAGACTGGTTGTCACTGTACACGCACAGTGGTCATGGATGCTTCTAGGAGACCCGTGAAGCTCCGATTATAGTTCTCTGCAGCTCCTCCGATCTGCATTTTGCAGGTGCATGCACATGTACTGTGTGACGTCTGCTCTTCATCCATCAAGTGCGTTGTCACTGATGAAGAGAGACATGAATCGCGGGTGTGTTTGTTCAGCCTTAGTCTGTTTAACAGCGGATGCATTCCAACTGGCCGCACAGCGGTGTCTAGCCTGTTTTGTGCAAGTGCGTTTGAGTGGATTTCGATTTAGCTCTGTTCTGCACTGTTCTTGCAGATTAAGAACCCAACTGAGCGACCGTGCGTAACGGCAGGCAGCTTGTGTGGAATATGGAACAAGCCACAGTGTCAGTCCCTACTGGAAAGTCTGGGTTTTCATGAGACGACCAGTACCGATGTCGACGCCAGTGCTGCTACTGCTTCAGCGATTCCGGAATCGGTGGACACCGTGCGTGTCCTGGCTCTAGACGCGGGCACTGGTGACAAAGCTGTGCTTTCATCTCTGAGCCATTTCCTCAGCTTACTGTCAGGTGTGTGTGTGTGTGTGTGTGTGTGTGTGTGTGTGTGTGTGTGTGTGTGTGTGTGTGTGCGCGCGTACTTCGGTACTTCGGATGTGTGCGCTTCGATTATGATGACACTCGTTGAAGACAGTCCTACATGACTTCACGCAAACACACAAAACATGAAACATTGGTGGTGAGTTTATTTATTTCTGCACCTCGTAGCATGTGAAAACAGCCAATAGGATTGTGGAGGGGGTGAGACCAACCACGGCATAACGGAGGAAAACACTGAATACATAGTAGAAAGAGGGAAAGAGGTTAGCATCTTAACGACACAAAGCAATGGAATTTGCGACTAAGAAGAGAAGCTGTTATTCCTGAGCGCCTAGCTAGTGAGGCTTTGAAGTGCAGTTGTGGCGAGTGAAATCCGGCACTTGCCAGCGGCGCCTAGCGCCATGAACATGAAAGGACCTCAATGATGTAATGCACACGTACTGAACTTGTACAACGAAGCCGTATGCACAATAACACGTCGATAGGTCACAGCCTAGGTACACGTATGGAGTACTGTATTACTATTACCGTAAAGTACCGCCAGAGCGCCCCACCATCTCATCCTTTCGTGGTCGTATTGTAGAGGTGGTCTGCTGTCTGTAGGTCATACGATATGAACCTTGTACACATATAGCACGTTTTGCAGTCAATCCGTACCTTCGAGCGGACACAAGCTCCACACAAAAACCTGCCAAGTGTGACCTTAGTACACTAAGCTTCTTACATCGTACAAACTTCGTTGCACTCTGCCATACGATTTTCCTTTCTCTGGCTGTAAAATCAAGGTGGGGCGCTCTCGCGAGACGGGGCGCTCTGGCGGTACTTTACGGTAACCCTCGTTGTGTTTTTAAATCGACCGAGTTTGGCCATGCATGCACTGACGAAACATTCGTGCCTCGATTGATTGTAGATGGAATTTTAAAAAGTATCTACAGTGCATTTCAAAACTATAGACGCGTAGGGTTTTTGAAATATTTCAAATTTGGCTGGAACTTTTTGAGAATAGTTTTCGGAATATTGCTCAGGATCGCTCCACAATTACTCTCATATAGTTTCTAAAGGATTGGATAACAGACGCCCAATTTGGAAAAATTTATGCGCAAAGTGATCACAGATTTTATGTGGTATAGATGCTGGCATAACGGTTTTTGCCTAGGTACGCGTCTATAGTTTTGAAATGGACTGTAGGAAGAAGCCGAAGAGCTCAGCCTTCCATTGCAACAATCGGCGAAGAGCGCTCGCCATTTCAGCCACGGCAAAAGTCAACTTTTTTCTGAGTGACTGGCCTGGAGCTAGGGATTTCCCCTCTCCTTCTGAGTCACCTTGGCGTGCTTTGGGTGCGTGTGCAGCATGAAAGGAAACGATATCGCGCTCGCCATTTCAGCCACGGCAAAAGTCAACTTTTTTCTGAGTGACTGGCCTGGAGCTAGGGATTTCCCCTCTCCTTCTGAGTCACCTTGGCGTGCTTTGGGTGCGTGTGCAGCATGAAAGGAAACGATGAAAGAGCGAGAAATAACTGGCGAGGAGAGAGTTTTCTCGTGTATCCAGCGAGTGTAACCTTGCATGTGGTGTCTGTTGGGATTGGTTCCATGTGTTCTATGTGCACTGGAATACTGCCACCGTGCAGGTACGTTGCTTTGGCGGGGCTTGCACAGTGGCAGTGCGCCAGCGTATGTAAAACGCCGGGGGTCGTTGGTGGGTACTGTGCTATTCGGCGGGGAATATTGGATGAGTATAGCATAGAATATTCCCTGCTGAGCACGGCCTCTGATTGGCTGAGAAGGGCCCCTTCGTACAGTACCATACTAGTCCATAGGATTAGCGCTACTTCGAAGTATGTAAGCAAGGCTGAACACAGTATGTCGTGTTGACATTCTCAATCATAATCACTTTAGTTACGAACAGTTGTTCCCGCAAATTCGTCTGCTCCTCGTATGATAATATCCCCACTTCTTTTCTTTCCTGTTTTTTAATTAGAATGAAGTTGAAGACACCACTGCAGCTGTACTTATGGTGGATAAATATGGTGGTGAAGACACACCTGTTTAAATTAGAGTGGTTGAAAAAAAAGGTTACTACCAGGGAGTACATGTAGTAAAAATATACATGTAGTATGTATTTTACTACTCCCTGATTACTACTCCCTGGTTACTACTCCCTGCTTACTACTCCCTGGTTACTACTCCCTGCTTACTACTCCCTGGTTACTACTCCCTGCTTACTACTCCCTGGTTACTACTCCCTGCTTACTACTCCCTGTTTACTACTCCCTGCTTACTACTCCCTGGTTACTACTCCCTGCTTACTACTCCCTGGTTACTACTCCCTGCTTACTACTCCCTGGTTACTACTCCCTGCTTACTACTCCCTGGTTACTACACTGTATTATATCATGTAGTATGTATTTTACTACTCCCTGCTTACTACACTGTATTATATCTCTAAGATTGCTCATGATGTCGTGTTTGCTTGCTTGCTTGCTTGTTTGCTTGCTCCCATTTTGTGCAGGAGACATCAGTATTGCAATGAGTTCACTGCAGCTGGGTGCGTTGTCCCGGAGCGCCTGGGTGGATGACGGACCGTCCGATGGCTCGGCGTCCTCCAGTACAACTCCTGCAGCCGGCAGCGACGATGCGGATCTTTTAGGCGACGCGCTGCCGACACCCGGCGCAACAAGCACACCAGGCACACCAGTAGCTGCAACGGCAGCAACAGCTACCTCACCCAACGCTATTGACCTTAACTGGGAGTCCTTACTGGACAGCAGTCCTATGCCGTCGCGTGTAGCATCAAGCTTGTCAAGCCCGCTGATCAGTATACCCATGGCGTCCGGTGTTGCCTCGTCACGCTCCGACTCTGCCATCATCTCAGCTGGCCAGCAGGAGACATCGTCCAATGGTAGTGGTAGCAATGTGTTTGATGTGAACGCTCTGCTGATGGAGTTGGGCATCAATTTGCCTGCGGGTGCCGATAGTTCGTCGGCAGGTTCCGACTCTGGTACACAGTCGGTTTGCTCTGGTCCGACTTCCTTGGCAGCGGTGTCCTTTGCTTCGGACGGCGCAGCTGCGAACTCCTGCGCCTCAGACCCGCTGGGCCCTCTGGATGCTGCAAGTGCTGCTCGCTCTGGCACCAATCCAATCCATATGCTGCCCAGCGCTCGTCAATCAGCTTGTGTTGAGCAGGCATGTCAGTCACTGTCCAGTGCCTCCCTGTCCGGTAGCGAAAATGCTACTCACCGAGACGCATCCGACCTGTCTTCTCTGCTTTCCCGCTCAGCACCACTCGCCATCCCTGACTCATCGGCGGACGCGGCAGATTCAGGCCATTTCTCAGCGTCGGCTGATCCAGAGCATGAACCACTACAACGAGAAGGTATGTTTGTTCACGCATACAATCCTGACCAGAGGAATCCGGCCTGATGAATATAGTACTAGCGTCTGGGGCATACGCGACCCTAACACCACACACGCCACTCTGTGCACTTGAGCTCAGTGCTACTTTATTCATGAGGTGGGGTATCTCTGGCCAGACCTACAGTACCACACCTACCGCAGCTTCTACACCATTCAATAAGTTAGTACTGCGAACACATGACAGCACGAAAAGAAAACCATCTGAATGCACAGCGCTACATCCAGGGTGCTCCAACGAATGATTAGCAATGGCCTACTCATGCTTTGTACTTCACCCATTCCCGATTGACTGGATGTTTAGTTGCAATAAGTACGAGTTGCCCATTGCTATTCATTTGTTGGAGCATCCTGAATGTCGTGCCGTGCTTTTAGATGATTGTTTTTCCAGTTTGTCATATGTCTGGGGTCGATAATATTGCGGGGAAGCAGACAGCACTGATAAAAATATTAAAAGTGACGCCTCTTCAGAAGTAACAGAGATTTGGACTGGCTGTACAGGCTTGTCGTCTCCTGGCACCCCTTGCACAGGTCACAGTGGAGGGAGGCTATGGCAGAGGCCTCCCAAGAAATTCATGGTTGAGAAATGTGTTCATTTGAAACTCCCTGTGCTGGCTGTGTTTCTACAACACAATTGTATGGCCAGTTGTAGTGCGGATGTGTGAACTTTATTTTACTTTTATGTGTTGTCACGGACTGACTTTGTGCTGTGCATGTCGTTCTCGTTAGCCGGTAGCAGAACAAAAATGGAGGTCTTAAAGCTCCGAGTTGTTTTTAGCAAAGCTGACAATATCCTGCGAGGGACTTTTCTTTTCTGGCTGATTTAGCACCCTGCTTTGTGATTCCTTCTGTAGGCCACTCAGCTAGTCCTCGCCAAGACAGTGGATCATCAGGCAACCGCTCTTGGAAATCGCTGTCACGGATGATGTCGCTGGATAATGGTTCGCTTGATTCACCCGGTAGTCCACTCCAAGCCAGATGTGACCATTGTCAAACAAAATTCGGCCTTCTCCGCTGGCGCCACATATGCTCGTTCTGTGCACGGGTGAGTGTGCGTGTGTGCGCGCGCGTGTGTGTGTGTGTGTGTTTTTTACTGAATACCACAATACCATCAGATGCTGCACAGCGGGGGCGGTGGCATATTGGATGGAAGTGGGGGCGGGGCAAAAGTAACTCCTCCGACCAAAGGTCTCGGAATCATCGTTACTCCTGTGCGCCGTGTGTGTGTGTGAGAGAGAGAGAGAGAGAGAGAGAGAGAGAGAGAGAGAGAGAGAGAGAGAGAGAGAGAGAGAGAGAGAGAGAGAGAGAGAGAGAGAGAGAATGGATGAATGAATGAATGAATGAATGAGAGAATGTGAGAGAGAGAATGAGACAGAGAGAGAATGAGAGAGAGAGAATGAGAGAGTTACTGAAGTAGTTGTACAATGTATCTGCCTTTTTCTGTATCTCCCAATCACTGTTGTCAATTCTCAGGAGTTGTGCCATTCCTGCTTTGATACCGACCCGGCCACTGGCAGGAAGGACTCGTCAGCAAGCGGTCGCGATACCAGCCTCTGCGTGATGTGTTGGCTGGCCACAGGTGAGCTGATATGATGCGTGTTGTGTATGGTTCTCCTCATCTTGGTTTTGTTTCAATTCAACTCTCTCTCTCTCTGAATTGTTCTATGCTCTGAGAACCCCTTCAGAAAGAAAAGGTGTCAGGACATTTTTCAAACTCACTTCAGGCTGAATTAGGGCGCGTTTGATTGGTCGGATCCGGAACAGGGGCGTTTGATTGGTCTGCACTGGTCTGCTCTGGTTTTGGAGTGTTCAGAACATATTCTGACCACTCCGACCCCGAGGCTGGAGCAGCCAGAGCATGTTGCAAAGCCCAATGAAAACCTGATAGGACTACGCAATGAGTTTCGTTTTTGTTTTGATTCGAATGGATTTTGGCATGTCAGTGATTGCGAAAGGGCGTGGTGATGTACATGGAGGTCTACGTGTGATTTTGCACATTACACAGCGGTCCCCACGTCCATGATTGGTTTTTGGCTGTCTTCAAGGCTGTCTTCGAAGCTTCTTCTCCGGTTGTAGTTGCCTTTCAAGTTTGTTTTGCCTTCGCATCTTGAGCAACGTAAAAATCTTTGAACTCTGTGGAAATTTTGAAGTTCGCGGCACGATGAGCTATCATGAGTTCTACAATATTTCCGGCAAAAATATTCGCCATTCTGTTTGATTGGTAACTGGTGTTCTGACTGCTCCAGTGACTCTGATCTGAATCCGGATTCACTAATCAAACATGCCCTTAGACTGCATTTTAAATCAGCCAGAACCCGATTTTGGACCTGGATGTGTTAGTGTGTGTATGTGTGTCCCATATGGTGCAGTGGTATGTGCAGTCGATTTCCAATCGAGAGGTTGCGGATTCAATTCCCGACGATTATGGTCGCACACGTCTTTCTTCTCTTTCTCATTCTCCTAGCTCTTCTTTCATACTCCTGGGTGGTTACCAACAGCCAGTGTATGCCGGAGTATGTGGTGTGTGTGTAAAAATAAAAATACAAGTAAATAAATATTCGACGAGGAGACAATAATTTTAATATGGTAATAAGTAGGACGAGCTGAAGTGACATTTGGATTACTTTATTAACAATGTAAGCGATGGAAACGATGCAAAAAAACAATGTAAAGGGTAAGGAAGATACATGACATTGTATGAAGAAAATGTGATGGAAAGAAAGATGATTCGAACAAGTTTTCGTACAACACTCTTCAGGAATATCCGTTGTACTAAAGAACAAAATGAGAACAAAGGAAATAATATAGCAATCAATGTAGGGTAGCAAGATACAATGGCAGCACTGGAATATCGAGCTGTGATTTCTCACAAAAGTGCAGAAAACAAGGGTATACAAGTAAGAACTACGCGTGACAAGTGTGTATCAGCAATAAAAAGAAAGTGAGAACGAATGATAATAATAAAAATAACAAACAAGAAGGTGACAAACCACATTTAGGCAACGTCGTTGCCACTTGTGCCTAAATGTGGTTTGTCACCTTCTTGTTTGTTATTTTTATTATTATCATTCGTTCTCACTTTCTTTTTATTGCTGATACACACTTGTCACGCGTAGTTCTTACTTGTATACCCGTGTTTTCTGCACGTTTTTGTGAGAAATCACAGCTCGATATTCCAGTGCTGTCATTGTATCTTGCTACCCTACCTTGATTGCTATATTATTTCCTTTGTTCTCATTTTGTTCTTTAGTACAACGGTGATTCCTGAAGAGTGTTGTACGAAAACTTGTTCGAATCCTCTTTCTTTCCATCGCTTTTTTCTTCATACATGTATCTTCCTTACCCTTTACATTGTTTTTTTGCATCGTTTCCATCGCTTACATTGTTCTAATAAAGTAATCCAAATGTCACTTCAGCTCGTCCTACTTATTGCCATACAAGTAAATAAATAAATAAAACGAGAGAGCTTGGAAGCTCAGGGCCCTACGCTATGCTTTTTTGCCTTGATGACCTAGACAAAAAAAAGCATAGGGATGTTATAAATTCTTTAAAAAATTCCTTTTTTTAGACATAACCTGGGATTCGAACCCGCACTATCGCGCGCCCTGCATTCATCCCCCGATGCACTTCGCATACATACTAATTCTTCCAAGTTGTTTCACATTGTGATCTTGCATTTGAAAGCCCTATTTGAGTTATATGCATTGTGGCCAGCCGTCTTTGATGGCACGGTCCGGTAGAGGATAGGGACGGGACAGGTACGATCGAGGGTAATACGACACCGTCTCCCGTACCGTACCGTACCAACAAACACAGCTGGCCACATACGGCTTCCCGCAATATTCAAATAGGGCTTTCAAACGCAAGATAATAACGTAACGCAACTTGGAAGAATGGGTATGAATGCGAAGTGTATGGGGGAATGCATGTAGGGTGATAGTGCGGGTTCGAATCCCAGGATATGCCTGAAAAAAAGGAGAATTGAAAATTTATAACATCCTATGCTTTTTTGCCGTCAGATACGGATAGCGCCAGGCGTGACACAAACAAACAAACACACAAACAAACACCAAATTAAAGCTGTGTGGACCCTGGCTAGCGCCAGACGTTACTGAAGTAACGTCTTCTGCATAGCTACGGGAATAAATTTATTATTATAGGCTTTTCCGCGTTGGCATCGCCAAGCAAGCTTGGCTAGCCTTCGCATAAGCTGCTCCATGATGCTGAGACGAAACAATGAATGCATGTATATACGATCTAGGACAGAACCAAGGTTGAGGGTATTTTTGAAGGAAGCTGCAAGTTGTGTTCATTTATTTATAAAATAAATAAATGAAAAATAGAGATTCATTGGCCAGAAAAAGCCACTTCAATCAGCTGTGTGGTGGATACCAGGCTAAAATTAGTGGCGGTCGATTCATCAGCCTTGCAAGCTGTTGAATGACCTAGAACAAGTTGCTATGTCTAACATACTAGTAGCTGTTCGCTGTCATCGCTTCCGCGATGGGCAGGTCTGAGGTCTGTGTGCGTACGTGCATGTGTACGTGTCTGTGTGTGTGTGTGTGTGTGTTCTCTCTCCCTCTATCTATCTATCTATCTATCTATCTATCTCATCAGGTACAGGACATCAGTAGATCATGTACATCTGCTGTTGATCCACTCCAGCTGCCTACTCAGCTAAGCATGCATGCTAGCTCTCAAGTGGCTGTGGCTCATGCTAGCTCTCAAGTGGCTGTGGCTCATGCTAGCTCTCAAGTGGCTGTGGCTGCTGTCTTTCACTACAGTGATTGTGAGCTGGGTTGTTTTTGCCAGCGCACTGTGCAACTTTTGAGTATTGTACACTTTAAAACAAGTTTTGTCGTATCCCGTATGCTGTTGCTCTCGACTCTGCGCCGTTTTGCAAGGTTTCTTTGTCATTCTTGCGAAAGTGCAGGTGTATAAAAAGTCTGCTGTCCTCCGGCAGGGCATCATAGCGTCTCCGTATGTTTTATCATGTGATTTCGAGCATGGGTCTGTTTAATAATACTATGAGAGTATGAGTATTTGTAAATTTCTAGTTTTTGGCCCGCATTGACATCCACTTTTCGACAATTTGGTTACGTTACTGATAAATCAAGCTAACTATGATTTTTTAATGACTTAATTTATTTTTTGGAGAGATTTTTTGAAACTAACAGAGAGCACATAATTATTACTTTGCTGCTATTGTTCTTGCTGCTGCTGCTGCTGCTGCTGCATGTGCTGTTTTCTTGGTCCAGTTCTATAATATTTTAAGCGTGCCTCTGTATGCGTTTGTCTATTCCAGTCCCAGGCCAGTGTGCTGTTTGTTCTTTGAAGGAGAGTTGCTATTTCTTTTTCTTCCTTTCTTTTTTAACATTAACCCCAACCCCATGTGTACAGTTGTCGTGTCTGTATGGTGTGAAACCGAATGGATTCTGTTTTGTCCAAGTGTACATTGTAGAGTTTAATACCTAATCTCTTTGACTCATTTTGCCCGGTATGCGATGGCAGCATCTGTTTCTTTTTTTTGGTCCGGCATTAGCGATCTGTTTGTTGCTGTCTGTTTCTACACCCCGCTCCACACCCTGCAACTGTTCTATCTGGTGCATGTGTGACTTTGTTCTTGTCCTGCCTTTTTGAATGCGTGGCCTGCAATCTCAGTGTAGCCTCACCCCTCTGCCCCACACTAGTGTTACAGGAAAGTGGGCCAGTCTTCTTAGTCCTTACTGTCACGACCCATCTCTCTCTCTCTCTCTCTCTCTCTCTCTCTCTCTCTCTCTCTCTCTCTCTCTCTCTCATCGCCGATCATTTGCACGAGCAATACATCATTATAGACTACTGCTATCTTTTTTTTCTGATTTATGCGCCAAAACACTAGTTTGTCGTGTTCCTGTTTGGCAGTCCTTCAGCACAGATCTACATTGTGTTTCCTTCGTTTGCTACACCGTGTCCTTGTCCTTGTCTGCTGTCTCTGATTTTTGGAAATTTTATTTACAATTTTATTGATTCCATGTTCATGATTTGAGAACTGAAAAAAACTACATTGATGTGAAGAATGTGGCGATTTTGGCGGGTATACAATCATGTTCGTCAGGCGCGATACGGGGTTTGTGAAGGGTCTCAATCTTTCCACATTGGTCGGATACATATCTCTCCTTGTTGAAGTTTTTAAACTATCTGGCTACTAATACCGCCAAAGTCACAAGTTCAGCATATTGTGGACAGCGATGAAGGCGACACTGGGATACTGATCATAGGGTTTAGTGTTGTCGTCACCCGCCAGTCTCCGTTTATACCGTTTTCAAGCGTCTACACGAGAGCAAAGGATCCGCCAAAGTTGGTCATGTGCCAAGTGTTGCCGTGGAAGCACCAATCACACTCAAGTAATGGTTGAAAACAGGCACACGACAACACACGTCACATGACGAAACTTGTAAAAACAATTTTTTGGATTATCGGATCCGTGTAAACGCCCGAAAACGAAACAAACGTGACGGAAAACGAGGCCAGCACACCGTTTCGACTGTTTACACACCCACATTTATCCGGCAGAACATTTCCGTTTTCAAATTCTTCCACCTTGGCCAGCGTTTTGGTTTTCTTCCGTTTTGGTGTACAACTTTTACGTTTTGCTCCGCGTACCGTCGAGAGTCCATAAACAAGAGTATGCAACTGTGATCTCTTTTCTATGGGCCAGATGCGCGGCGCGCTGCCTTCATTACATCATTCAGCTGCAGTCCGCGCACTGCGGAAAATCAAACACCGCACTTTCCCTCCAGTTTGAAATGAACTTTCGTACGGAACTGGAGTTCACGCGCCAGAATTCAGAGATTTTGTAGGTACTGGAACGAATCGAGCAAAAACGGATGGGCTCGTGCGAGAAATTGAGAGTTTGGATGCATGCTTTAAAAGCGTGATGAAGGCAAGTTACGTAATGAAGGCAGCGCGCCGCGCACTGACCCATAACCACAGTTGCATACTCTTGTTTATGCACTCTTGGTACCGTGTAAATGAACCATGGATCCGAAAGGATTTCGTTGCGTTTTCGCCCCCAGCGTTGTCGTGTAAACGCAGCCTCAATGTGCTGGATTGTGCACATTCTCAAATCCCGGATTGGCAAGTATTGTGTACAGCAGTGCATGCGTTGGTTCAACATCATATTTCGTTGTATACGCCGAAGTCGCTTCACAAGGAGAAAATCGACAGGGGGCGGGAATTAGAGAGGGGGCGGATCAACGGTACTTTACGGTACATGTACGTGTAGAGGAGGGTAAGCATTTGAAACACCCTCCTATACATGTGTAGCGAATCCCACCGCTGGCACCAATTATGTAGCGGGCCGCAGTCTCTCTTGGAGGCAAATGCACACGGGTCTCAGTGAACACACTGTTGTTAACTTTATTATTACTTAAAGACTGGATCATAGTGAAGGTTGAACTCTCTAAACTGACATTTTTAACTGGCATCTCTAACTGGCGTCTCTGTCGTTTCTAACTGGCATCTCTAACTGGCGTCTCTAACTGGCATCTCTGTCGTTTCTAACTGACATTTCTAACTGGCGTCAAGAGAATTGTGAACAGCAGCTTGTTATAGGGTGAGAAACTGTTAGTGTAAGTATGCTAGGCTATGACCAGGGGATACGTAGAGTAGAAGAAGAAAGGTCACAGTAAGATGTGTGGGCCACAGTCATTGCACAAGGAATGCCATTTGATTCTATGCAGAAGAAGGAGCAATGGGCGTAAAGCCTGAGGTGGTTGAAAGTGCAGCAAAAGGTCTAGACTAGTACTGTATTTCTAAGGTCAATATGAAACATTGAACGCAGTGAGACTAGTTACTATCCATGCCATAGATCTGCAAGCACGGTACAGAGTTGCAAGTGCGGGGTGCGGTGCGGTGTACTGTAACACGCGTTACCAAGAGTCCATATGGACTCTTGGCGTTACCAATACAATAGAGAGGTTAAGATGCACGTTACTTCCGACGTGACGCGCAATTTCACGTCAAATTTGGCGTAAAACTCCAAATTTCGACGTGATCAGCAGGTCGCTCGCGTTGATTTTTCGACGTGCGGGCAAATAACGCGAGCTGAACTTTCGCGTCACGTCGGAAATAACGTGCATCTTAACCTCTCTATTGATGTGATTCACGCTGCAGCTGTGTGAGGTACCAGCGTGCCAACGTAACACATGTACGGACTATTTTATAGCCCATAAGGCTCAAGTTGGTGCCAGTTTTTTTTACGGGCAAAATAAACAAGGCAGTGAAAGCCAGCTGCTCAGAAAAACTCAAAAAAGGCCCGGGGAAACAAAAGAAAACCGGCGGCTATTATCCTCGCCTCCTCTCATGAATAAGTTTGTTCATTTCTCTCGTGTAGTACCAAGAGTATTATTATATCCCCTCTGAGGGTTCTACAGTGCTGCCAAACTGTCCGATTTTTGAAGGCTCGTCCGAAAACCGGTCCGAGAAAGGATACGTCCGAAAAGCAGCCAAAAATGGCAGGGACCATCAGTACTTTCCTATGCAGAAGTCCTGTATTTTCACAGTTTGAGCGCAACTGACTCCGTGACACACAAATCCGTGACTGTAAATGTGCTTCTAAAAAGGCGAATACAGTACATTCATGCATTACAAAGTGTTGTTACCTTCAAAACACTAAGGCAACTGCTAATTCGTTTATTATGTATTATCATGGAAAAGGACCAAAACATGCCAAGCTGAACCAATAACAAGTGCACTGATCAAAACTAATCTCTCACAGGAGACTCCAACACACAACTAAAAGGGCAAAACACAATGAAGGAAGAACAACGAGAAGCGTAACACGCATGCGTACTAGTACTTCATGCATAGTACAATCATGAAACATCACGGATGACTGCGTTCCCACGCCGGGGTAGCTGACCATGCAATCAATCATAGTAGACAAAGAACATGCACAAAGAACTACAACAATACATCAGACAATCATGTATAGCGAGTGCACTGATGCGCATACAAATCTAACATTCCTCCCTCTCGAACGAATATGCTATCATGCAATATGAGTGAGACCCAAACAACAGTATAGCAAACCAAAAGAACATAGGAAAGATGATCGAGAAGCATTGTAAGTTATGCGACACCACTACTGTTACATTGGCTGCTATTGTCATGAGTGATTCTATCTGTGACACTCCGTCTTACTCATTCACCAGTGGCACCTTCGACTTCAAGTGGAACTAGTCGATGGACTGGCCGTTTTAAGACCTTGCCCTGGATGTTGACCCCCACCACACGGACAACGTCATCCTTACATGGGTAGGTTGCCGTAATTCTAGCGAGTGGCCAATGTGCTCGTGGGACATTGTCGTCCATGACCATGACGATGTCACCAACTTCCACGTTCCGCTGCTGCTGAAAAACCACTTCACTTGCAAATTGAGCTTCGGCACGATCTCCTTCACCCATCGTGCCCAGACCTCCGCAACGATGCGTTGCACGTACATCCAGCGGCGACGAGGATGGACCGTGTCTGCTGGCTGGACACCCAACTCTGCGGCCAGTGTGGTGTCTGCGTGGCCCACGAGGAAGTGCTGCGGCGTCAGGGGCCGAAGATCATTCGGATCAGAGGAGATGACGGTTAGTGGTCGACTGTTGATGAGACCCTCCGCGTGTACCAGCGCCGTATGCAGCTCCTCATCCGAGAGGTCTGCCTCTGGGATGGACTTAAGCACAGCCGGTGAATTGCTGAGCCACTTCCGTAGGTGGAATCCACCGCGCGTGGTGATTTCCTGGAGATCCTCTCGGGCAACTATAGCTGATGCTTCAGTAGCTGTCGACATCAACAGGTCGTCAACGTAGAAGTTGTCTCGAACGGCGTTGATCGCCTCGGGACCGGCAGTATCTGCAAAGGTCTCCGCCGTTGCTTGTAGCGCTCGGCCTACCAAGTACGGGGACGCTCTCATGCCGAAGACAACGCGGCAGAACTCGAAGAATACGAGTGGGTGGTGAGGAGACTCACTCCAGACGAACCGGTGGTACTTCCGGTCATTGTCACGGAGCTCAACTTGGAGAAACATCTCCGAGATGTCGGCAGTGAGGGCGATAGGGTGATGGCAGAAGCGCAGCAGGACCTTGACCAGGTCACTCTGCAGCTTTTGTCCAGCGTGCATGCGGTCGTTGATGCTGTCACCCATGACCTTCGCAGAACCGTCGAATACGATTCGGACCTTTGTCGTTGACTTGTCGTTGCGGATGACGGGGAAATGCGGGAGAAACCATTGGTCGGTTCCGGCATCTTCCACCTCTGTGGGCAGGACTGATCGAATGTACCCACGCTCCAGGTACTTCTTGAGCACCTCAGCGTACTGCAGACGAACCTCGGGTTTCCGCTCAAGGATGCGATGTAGGGACTTGAGCCGTTGCTCAGCGCACTGCCGCGAGTCTTGACGTAACTCTGGCTGATCTGCACCACTCCGCCACGGGATCCCGACGACAAATCTGGTGCCATTGTGGTGAAGGCTCCGCTTCGTCATGTCGTCTGCTGCACGCTCGTCAGGGGTTAGGTAGTCGGAGCTGGTGGTCTCCATGCCGACACTCTCCAATTGCCAGAACTTGCTGACAACTTCTGTGAGCGGATCATCAGAGGTTGCCACTAGCGAACGGTCGTCAAACTCGCCGGCGGTGTGGGCAGACACAGAACCAAACACCACCCAGCCAAGGAGTGTCTTCCTTGCAATGGGACCTCCCTCGTTGGCAAACCTCTCTTCCAGAGACGTGTGGAGCCAGGGCGCATTGAGGCCGACCAGCAGGCCTACGGGAGCTGCTTCGGGCACTTTGGGGAGTGGCACGTCAGTGAGGTGCGGCCAACATCCTTGTTGCTCTGTCCAGTTGATGGTAGTGATGGGGTTCATGATCTTCGGCAAGACCCAAGCCGAGAACTCACTGGTTCCTGATCCATCAGAATGACTCAGCTCAACCGTTGCGTACTGGTTGATAGGGCACAGCTTCTCGCCGCCGAGGACAGAAGTCTCGAGGGATCCGAACTTCACAGGCAGCGCCAGACGTTCAACGAGGTCTGCGCTGATGAAGCTGCACGACGATCCGCTGTCGAGGAACACCGTTGCCTGGGATGGCCCGTTTGGCCCGTTGATGGTGGCTGCCACTGTCATGAATGCAGTGGTCTGGTCACGTGACGAAGAACTCGTGGCGGTCACGCTGCAGGCACTCTGCGCCTTCTCAACTCTGCCTTGGGCTGTGTTGGCACATGGTGCTCTTTTTGCAGACTGCACTGGTTGCTTGGCGATTGACTTCTGGTAGTGGAGAAGCTCATGGTGCGGCTTGTTACAGAACCGGCACCTCGGTTGTCGGCAGTCTTTGCCTTTGTGGCCGGGCTTGAAACAGCAGATGCAAATGGTCAACGGCTTCACAAACTCCCACCGTTCGTGCAGGGAGAGCTGCTTGAATTGTGGGCAAGATGCCAGCTGATGCCCTCCGCGGCAGGACACGCAGCTGACGGTCGACGACTCGGTGGCAACAAGTGTGCGCTCAGTACGCTTGTGGAATGGCTTTCCTGGGCCTTGTTGGCGCTTCTCGGTGCACCACTGGGGAGGCTCGGGATTGGCAGCACGCTCTTCTACCTGCTTGAGGCACATGACACGCCTTAACAGGAAGTCTGCGAACCCATGAATGTCGCATAGCGAGTCATCGTGTCGCTCCAAAAAGCGGATCAGGACAGGCTTTGGCACCTTCTGGGTTACACTGAGGTAGAGTTCTCTGCCTGGTGTAAGTCCAGCGGTGTTCAAGTTGATGAGGGTGTTCCGCAGCCTGAGCGCGAACGACTTCAGCTGATCTAGGTCCCGCTCACTGACAATGCGGGGAACGGCTAGCAGCTCTCTCTCATAGCGCACGATATCTCGGACTGGGCCCCCGTACCATGCGTCAAGCTCTTGCAGTGCGGACTTGTAAGCGCCTGGGCCGTGGACGATGTCGGCAACGAGATCTTCCGCTTCGCCGCCTGCCAAGGCTTCCCGCAGACGGGCAAACTTGTGGTCGTCCGACATGTACGTGTCCTCTTCCACGAGCTGTTTGAAACGCTGCCTCCATCGGCCGAAGTCCTTGTCCTTCCCACTGAACTTTGGCAGTTCCAGTGGCTTTAGGTGGTGGCGAGACCAAGGGCTTCTGATTGCTGGTGCCTCCACATACGGAATCGCGTACGACTGTGCTGACTGCACCTCCGGGCCGGGGTGTGTAGACTGGCCTTCAGCAGGTGGTGCACCAAGATACTCTGGTGGAGGTGGTGCTAGACGAACCTTGCTCCGCGTTCCCATTGGCTGGAATGCTGGAGCACTAGCCAACAGTGTCTGACATGCCGCAGGCACCCTGGGCTTCGAAGCTGTAGGCTGCTTGGGCTGCTGAACAGCAGCAGGAACTGCAGCAAGACTTGACTGGACTGTGATAGGTCCAGCAGTTAAGACTGGTTGCTTTGGCTGAGTGGGCACTGCCACTGGAGCTTTCCATAGAGCACTGCTCACAGGACCTGTGACAACAGGCTGAGGTCTCATACTGGATGCTGCATTTGCTATGCTTGGATGCACATCACTTGCTACAGTGCGGATAGGTGTCAGTCTTGGGGGAAGTCTGTTCGCACCTCCACTGGCAGGATGAATGGGTGAGCTGGCAACTGTGCCCACTCCTGTGCCTGCGAGCTGGACCGCAGCTGAAACTGCTGAACTGCCGTCATGGCTCAGCTCACCTGCGCTACTCTGCTCATCATACTCATAGTCGTCAGAGTCGTCAGAGTTCTGGTCCAAGGCTACGACTTCCACTGGACTCGATTGAAGCGGTCGGATCGGTCGCATTGGATTCAAGGGCTTCCTTCCCAGACTCCTGTAGCTGCGCTGCTCAATGTCCAACTCGTCCATGCACTCGCTTAGGGTTGCAAACTTCCGAACAGGCGGATTGCGCTTCTCCAAGGCAGCAAGAGCCTCCACCGTCAGCACCTTTCGCTTTGGGTGTTCTGCTGCAACATTGGTCGCTCCCGTCACACTGTTCGCTTTGGAACCCACTACACTACTGCCACGGCTCCTGGGCTGAGACGATGCCGTGATCTCCACCAACACGGCTTCAGCCTTCTCCAAAGCCAGACGCTTATCCACAAGCTCTCTCTGCCGGGCAAGTTCCTTCGCCTCTGCGTCTCGCTCCAACTGAGCCACATCCTCCGCTGCCTGAAGCTCAGCCTTCAGCTTGTCCACTTCAGCTTGTGCCTGAGCACTCCCAGCGGACCGGCGACTGGTCGCGGTGATCTCCGAAACACTACTGGCTGTTTCCACCCACAAACCATACTTCTCCGCCGGCTTCCCTTGTTTGGCACGCTTCGGCCTATCCATGATCCGGCTCGAAGGACCACTAAAATGTTACCTTCAAAACACTAAGGCAACTGCTAATTCGTTTATTATGTATTATCATGGAAAAGGACCAAAACATGCCAAGCTGAACCAATAACAAGTGCACTGATCAAAACTAATCTCTCACAGGAGACTCCAACACACAACTAAAAGGGCAAAACACAATGAAGGAAGAACAACGAGAAGCGTAACACGCATGCGTACTAGTACTTCATGCATAGTACAATCATGAAACATCACGGATGACTGCGTTCCCACGCCGGGGTAGCTGACCATGCAATCAATCATAGTAGACAAAGAACATGCACAAAGAACTACAACAATACATCAGACAATCATGTATAGCGAGTGCACTGATGCGCATACAAATCTAACAAGTGTTACATTGTAGTTCATGACAACTGTTACTTCTGCCAAGTTCTGGGCACCGTGTTGGTTACCATGGCAACGAAGCGAATTTTCTTTGTATTTTTGGGCGATATTTTGGATTCTCTGAAAATTTGCAGAAAATGGTGTCAGATTTTGGGCGAACATTATTTGGCAGCACTGGTTATTCCCTTGGTACTGCCAAGAGTATAATTATAAGTTATAACCAGGGAGTAGTACAATACTACTCCCTGATTATAACGGGGCGAACCCCCCCCCCCCCCCCCCTATACTCTTGGTACTGTACTACATTGTATACTGTCATGTACATGTACCGGCTTACCTTTCCGCAGCATCATGAGCCGTCTGCGGTCATAGGGACCGGCGGTATGAAGTCGCAACTGCTACTTCCTTCTCCTTGTTCTTCCTCCTTGCTGGAAGAATGGTTACCGGCGGTATACGTGAGGCTGTCTGCATAAGCAGTTGGTGCAAAGACTGTGAGTAGAGGGCTCTGTCGTGAAACTGAAAGGCTTTCACGACTCACCAGGACTAGTGAGTAGAGATAAAAGTAAAGTCCCAGTATGCCATTTTTTTATCGCTTTTGTCCGTTTTGATCATCTCGTCACGGCCGGAAATGACTGCAGTGTAGTGAGTGTACTGTAGATATGCAGTGATATGTGCAGCTAGCTGTCGCATGCGCAGTGTCATGTCGGAACCAGGGTCGGAACACACGGACTTGCCACTATTACCACCTGCACTACGGCACTACTGGTAGCTGTCAGTGTAGTGCTAGTAGTAGTAGTAGTCACTAGTATTTTATTATTTTGATAGGGAAGGCCCTACAGACGTTGCCGTCTTGTTACAGGGAACCCTAAGTGCTCTTTACAGAGCGAAACAAAAACGGTGTGTCGAGTCAGCGGAAGAGCTGAATCGTTTTTGTTGATGCGAAAAGTGAGAAGACAGTTGAACTCCGGAGCTCCCTGGCGTGAGCGACTGACTCACTGAGCTGAGGCCATGCCGCCATCTAGCCCCACAAACAGAAGGTCCGCTCGAAGACTTCCAGACTCCAGCGAGAACCCTTTCTGCTTTCGCGTGCATTGGACGAGCGCTCGCTACTTACAGGTGAGCGACTACAAAAGTGCTAACAATGTACGTAGACTAGTAGGTCATTCATTCATTGAGACGTCCATTTCGGACTTGACAACGCTGGGCTGCCGATGCCTTTCATTCAAAAAGCAGAAGCCTTAGAAGGTCCTGGCATACTCATGGCATAATGCTGACTAAACTAAAGTACTAGTACTAGTAGTAGTATTGAGTGACAGAGCCGGCGCCCCCCCCCCCCCCCCCCCCCCCCGCGGCGGGGAGAGATTACTGCGGAAGGAAGGAAATTTATCCTCTCAGCATGGGGCGTTTATATGAAGTTATAATAGGGCTTGAATTAAAAAAAAAAGTTGAAAGTGATGACGTCAAAACGGCCAGGGTCCAGGGAGTAGTAAGTTGACATCAGATTTCTATTTTTGGATCCACTAAGATGTGACTTTGCTAATAGGGAGGTTCCGGAGTGCGATTTTTCGTGCCAAAATCCGTGGAGGCTCTACGGATTTTTTATACGTCGTTTTCGAGCAGTGAAATGTTCCGGGGTACGGAACTTATGTGTTTGCCGTCATTGCCTAGGTTACGATCGCAAACACGTCACATTCCCGCGCTATGCCTTTTTATTTTGAAAAATTGTACCGAAATCAAAACTTCCCGCGAAAAATCGATGTTTCTCGTACCAAATTTGTACGCGAAAAATCTTTCTGCACCCGATGACGCAAAATCTCCATACGAAGCATGGTTCGTATGAAAGCCAGTCCACACGGATTCTCGTGCCGAAAAATCGTATGGAGCACGCCTGGAAAAAATCCGTAGCGCCCATGCGGATTTTGGCACGGAAAATCGTACCCCGGAACCTCTCTATTGCCTAAGTATGTGGGTGCATAGCAACCCACTCATGTCGCATGCAGGTGTGACTTTTATTTCGCCACCAGTTGTAACCCCGCCCCCAGTAGCCAAATCAGTCAGTTTCACTGGCTACATCACCATGCTGTGGGTAAGACCGCTTGAAATGTGCTTGGATCCATACAAAAACTGGATCCAAGTGGATCCAGTTTTTGAATTTTTGAAATTGTTGCTATGCTGTGACGTAGCACTTTCAAGCCCTATTATGTCATGATCAATATTGCATTCATGATTGGCCCGGAAGTTATCACGGTACTTTTGTTCTAGGGTATAACCATGATAACAGTATAGGGTACTTGGCAATTGGGCCGATCATGCATCTGTACATTGGGTATCTCGATAAATTTCTCTCATCACTGTCGAGAACCTTGAAATTCTGGCGCTTGGCCGTGACAGGCTCAGTAAACTAGCGCATGAACGAACTGCTACATGACATTGTGCTGTATGTCAAAGTGCACACAAGGCAGATAAGATGAGGGGAACGGCATGAGGCATGGCTGAGCGACAAAGCTACACTGAATTGCCCCATCAGTTATAGTAAATCTGTCCACCACAAAGAGCAAATGTGCATACTTACACACATACTTAGTATGCAAAGTGCAGGTGGAATCCTGATAATTCGAACCTCGAAATGCCAGGAAAAAAACTTCTAATTATCCGGACATTCTAATTATCCAAACATGAACCCACAACACAATATGTATGTCAAAATGCTCAAATGGTCACGCAGAGTTGCGCTATGGACCTTAGACACATATTTCACGGATACTGAGCTGACCGGCACAGCCTGCTCATGCAAACTGAACTGACCGGTACAATGTACAGTGAACTTCGAATTACACTTTGCTAACTTCGAATTATCAGCACAAATCCCACACATTTTCTATGTAAGTGGAATCTGTGGGACTTCTAATTAACCGGACATATCCAGTTCAAGGTTCGAATTATCAGAAATTTTTATGTGGGAATCGTATTGATAGAAATCGGTCCTGGAAAAACTTCTATTTAAGCGGTGTGTTCGAATTAAGCCATATTCGAATTATCAGGATTCCACCTGTACATGTAGTGGAATGAATTGCTAGTCATACCAAGCGAGGGCTGGCGCCACGGGTATGGACATGGGTATGCCAGTTTGAAATGTGTTAGCGCTCACGGAATCGGTCCAGTGTGCAGTTCACAACATGATGTGGGAGTACTACATGTGCATGTACTAGGCCAGTTCCTTATACACGCCGCACTGGAGTCTGTTCCTCATCAACAGCTCTTCCTGCTCAGTACATGGTGACAAGTACTATGCTATAGCTGGATGCCTGCTCGGTCTGAGTGCAATGTGAAACCCACAATACACTACCCAGACATGATGCATCATCCTATGATCATGATGATTCTGAAGTAGTTGGCCATAGGGTAATGGTTGGTCCTGTAGCGACCTGGGGCCGTACCACCCCGCTTAGGAGCTAGCTAGCTGGCACCGGGCCTGCACGCTATAATTCTGAAGTAGTTGGACATAGGGTAATGGTTGGTCCTGTAGCGACCTGGGGCCGTACCACCCCTTAGTAGCTGGCACCGGGCCTGCACGCTATAAATCTGAAGTAGTTGGACATAGGGTAATGGTTGGTCCTGTAGCGACCTGGGGCCGTACCACCCCTTAGTAGCTGGCACCGGGCCTGCACGCTATAATTATGGTGAAAGCGGATGATGTACAGTCACAGTCATGGGTTGTATAAAGACAACCATACATGTGACAACCATACATGTGCGAACAGTACCAAACACAACGGGAACATACATGAGCCGATATCAGGACATTCCGCTGATGCAACATGATACACTGCAAGCGTGTAATCGTGCATGTGCATGGAGCCATACACATCACGGAAACTACAAGAATGATCAACGAATCTGATCTTTGGCCCCGATTGAATTCGCTGTGTCCACCATTCACTTGAGACACGTAGAAGACTGAAGCTAGGGTACTGGGCTGGCGGAAAACAGACCGTGACAATGCATTAGAATTAGTACTGTCGCCGAAAAAATCCGGCCAATCGGCTATGCTAGCTGTACCATTCGTACATGGGTGGTATGCACTACCAATACATGTAGTATACTGCACCTGTGATAACTATGTTCCTGCACTGGGTCTGCATACTGTAAGTCGACAAATGTTCGGCCCATCCCGGCCTCCCAGGGCTAAAACCCATTTCGGCCCATTCAAATTCCGGCCTCCCAGGGCTAAAACCCATTTCGGCCTATTCAAATATTCAAATTCCGGCCTCCCAGGGCTAAAGCCCATTTCGGCCGCATCAATTGTTTGGCCTGTACTGCTGCCGCCTGCATACACTGTCACACTGAACCTTGCAAAACAAAATTTTGGCTGCAACAAATTTTCGGCCAAACATGACCAGGCCGAAAAAGCCGAAAATAAATATGCGCCGAATATTTGTTGACTTACAGTACAGTCAGTGCAGTGCTGGTACAGTCCAGTGCTGGTACAGTGCAGTGCTGGTACAGTAAATGCAGCACACACACTACCAAGTACTGTACCTTACCACAGGGGTGGATCCAGGAGGGGTTCCAGGGGTTCCGGGGAACCCCCTAAATTTCGGAAATGTACTACTCAGTACGCATGTGCATATACATGTATCAGCTATTCAGTTTCGAGACTAAACTGGAACCCCCCCCCCCCCCCCTTTAGAGATTGCTGGATCCGCCGCTGTACCACCACGCAGCACCGCCGGTGAACGCGCACCATGCCACTGTATCCATGGTATCGGCATTGGCCAGGTTTTTTTGGCCGGAGACGACTGTAATTAGAATGCTGTTGAACAGCAGCTAGGGTTGGGACAAGCGCTATCAAATACATTCTAGACAGTCATTACGAGTCTAGTGCCAGTGAACAGGATAATGGTCACAATTTCATCAAGGGTGTGCCAATTCTAGTGTATGACTGTAGCTGAAGCAATTTTGGTGCAGGCAACAGCAGACTCTGCTACATACAAACACCTAAGAACACCTACATTGTATAGTCTGTACTAGTGACAGGTCACATTAATCAAGAACCTGTGCATTAGCTGTGTACCCCCCCCCCCCCCCCACACACACACAAGCTGGTGGTGTCTCCGCAAGCTGACACCAGTAGGTCTCTGTACCAGATCTGCTGGCGATTGTTGTTCACCAGGCCGGATGGCCAGAGTCTGAGTGTGGAAATCTCGCTGTGACGTCGCTGTGTGTGTCTGCACAGGTGTGCATTGGCGCTGTGACACTGTTGCCCATTCGTATCATACTCGCGCTGTGCATCATCTTGCCAGGCATTGTGTTGGCCAAGCTTGTGTCCTTAACACTACCAGTCAGTGCAGAGGGGTTCTCCTACCATAAGCCATGGCAAAGGTACAGTCAGTTGAGTGGATGTTTGTGTATACAACTCTGCTGGGATGTTGTGCTGGCTGAATACCGTCGACTCCTGATATAACCGCAAACACCATTGTGCAGGAGAAGTAGTTCTTTGTAGCCGTAATGTACTCGCACCACACAAGTCTGAACACGTCATGACTGGCATGTGACCTGCCACTGTATGAGTGCACATGGTTTACTTTATATGCGGCCCTACAAGAAATGGATTCGGATGGAGAGCCAAGGATAAATTTATCGAAAAGAAAAAGGACCAAGGAACTGCGATAACATTGCCCGACACTGACCGACAGTACTGACGTTCTACAACTAATTGGCTATCAGGTCTAGCACGTCTCGGATGCGCACTCCAACAGCCTTCCATCTTGGAAGGTTCTAAGTTATATGATAACATAGGAGGGGAAGGTGAGCGCAACCAAGACAAGCACAAGCTGAACGTCTCAGCTGTGAAGGACGTTGGCGGATGTACATGCATGTCAACGACGATACTGGCAAGACCATTGGGCAATACGGTGCAATGTTATCGCATTAGCTGATTGTTTAGTAACGTTAACTGGTGGTGTTAGTGGACATTATAGCGTAACTTGTAGTTCCTTGGTCCTTTTTCTTTTCTATAATTTATCCTTGGCTCTCCATCCGAGTCCATTCTTGCATGAGCCGTCCTTACGATCGTCGTGTGAAACTGCTCCTGGTTACTGCTGCTTATCGTCCATCTAAAGACAGTGTCATAGTCGAAGTACAGTGCTATTTTACTGAGGCGTTCGGTTTTGCATGATTCTTGTTCGCTTCCCCTTTAATTGATCTTTGCATCTTTGAGCCACAAAAGTTGTGTGGAATGTTGCGCTGCGTCCTTGAATCGTGGTTTGACCGGGGCTCTACCAACCATGGATGCTTGTAGTAAGGGGCACTGTTTCCGAACACAGTGGCCCTCCGCCTGGTAACATGCTGTTAACCAATAACATCACTACTTGTATCTACAATTCTTCTCCTTTGTAATGCACATGTTCCTGAGACGTTCCCCCACACAGTATGTCCCGTGTTGTACAATTCGCCTGTACGGCCAGTCACCATCTACCATGTAATGCGTTGTGCTGCAGGTATATGATGAAGGTCATCCTTGGCAGGTGCCTTGGACGGGGACTACTCTGGTGCCTGGGGTTTCCATGGATACGTGAATATGGGACGCAAGCTGATGTATCTGAGGCACCTGTGGTCGTTGTTTGCCCGCACACGTCCATATTTGATTCCTTCTTCGTCGGTTCAATCGTACACGGGGCGTACGTATCGCTGAAATCCAATCGCAATTTCCCGCTTGTTAAGGGTGAGCTTAAGCGCCGCCCTGCTTCATGTGGCCAGCTGTTCTGATTTTTTATTCCCGGTCAGGTCCGTAACCTAAGCAACGCAGCATGGCGTTGCTCCCCCCCCCCCCTCCCCGCTCAAGGTTTGGCTGCCCCTTTCCATGCATAATTCTACTTACCAACACCACTATGCAGGGTGCACTGACTGTCTGCATGAAGGCGCTAGAGAGCATACTGTCTGTGCTGGTCCGTTGCCGTTGCTGCAGTTGAATAGGAGATGGCAGTAAGCCTACGTTCCCATGGTGCGCAGTTCATGTGTTGAGAGATCGACTGTATTTCCCCGAATATAAGTCGCACGTTTTTACAGTGGACTTAAAGGTCGAAGTAGCGGGTGTGCCTTACAAATTACAATCGAATGTGACTTCCTAGTAATGTCAATATACTATAATTTCAGAAATTTTCGGTGCTCAATATTTTCGGTATGAGGGCAACATGCCAGATTTAGGTGAACAGAATTTTCGGTACAGAGAAGCAGTTCCCTTTTGGTTTATGTGTGTTAGTGTTTGTTCGGTGTATTGAAATTTTACTTCAGTAGGTATGAAACAGACGCACCGGAAGTACCGAAAATAAAAGTACACCGAAAATATGTGAAATTACAGTATTGAAACAATCATACGCCGTATTACGGTATGAACCGGACCTGAAAATGGGGTTGCGACCTATAATTGAGTGCGACTTATAATCGGGGAAATACGGTTCGATATGCGGCATGCATACCATTGTACAAACTATCACAGCCATCCCTCTTCAAATTCCAGACAGAGTGGCTGCAATCCTGCCGGGTCTTGACTCTTTGCCATGGAGATCTGCGTTCTGGGCGGATACACGTCTAGCCTCCTACAATCCAATAAAACATCATTGAGCTGTGGGCATTTTCGAACCTGACGAGGTCAATGTGTGTGTGTGTGTGTGTGTGTGTGTGTGTGTGTGTGTGTGTGTGTGTGCGTGCGTGTGTGTGCACGTGTGTGTGTGTGCGCGCGTGCGTGTGTGTGTGTGTGTGTGTATGTGTGTGTGTGCACGTGACAGACCTGCTGGAGGCTGCCGTCACGATATGGATCGATGAGAAGAAAAAGGATGACGCCGTTGTTGAGTTTCAAAAGCGACTCAAGTCCACCGAAAAATCCCCGCCGATCATATTCTTCCCAGAGGGTAAGAAAGTGGCATCTGGAAAAGTGGAAATGTGTGTGCTTATCAGAAAGCTTATCAGCACTAAGTCTTGCACCACTACAACTTCATTGTCTGCTCTTAACCGTCACTGAGTGTTCGACAGTACGTTTTGCAGGGACGAACGTAGTGCTACTTTGGTGCTGTAATACTAATAATCTCTTCAAACCGCCCTGCTTTGAGCGGGGTAGTCTCACCTTGAACTAACATATCTATACATTAGAGAGGTTCCGGGGTACGGTTTTCCGTGCCGAAATCCGTACAGGCGCTACGTTCGAGGCGTGCTCCATACGATTTTTTAGCACGGAGAATTCTTCACAACGAACCATGTTTTGTATGGAGATCTGCGTCATCGAGTGCAGAAAGATTTTTCGTGTACAATTTTGTTACGAGAAACATCGTTTTGATTTGATACAAATTTTCGAATTAAAAAGGCATAGTGCGGGGAAGATGACGTGTTTGCGATCCTAACCTAGGCAATGACGGCAAACACATAATTTCCGTACTCTGGAACAGTTCACTATTTGAAAACGACGTATGAAAAATCCATAGCGCCTCTACGGATTAAAAAAAAAGAAAAAGTAAATTATCGTGTCCATTCCCAACGGAACTCACGATGACTGCTAACACCCGGTAAACCCTGCCTCTACATGGATGCGGCTAATGGGGTTTCTCGGCACTTGTGCCAGTGGTTGTGAGACTTATCCACTCACCCCCACCGTTAGGCGCTGCATCTGCCGCTAGGGTTTACCGGGTGTTAGCTGCCGTCATGAGTTTCCTTCGGGAATGGACACGATAATTTACTTCACTTTACTACGGATTCTGGCACGGAAAATCGTACTCCGGAACCTCTCTTTTTTATTACATGCCTGGGAGACAATTGCATGTACATGTACTTGAAGTACATTACATTATGTATGGGTCTATGGGAGTTCCGCTTTGGAATCGTGGCAAGGTTGGACAGTCAGCAGCAAGCACTGGCTGTTAGAAAAGAATACGTTCATGCATGAACATTTTAAATACGTTCTGCCGTAATCATTACTCCATTTTAGGCTAAATGTTGATGTTTGTCCTATTGCAGGAGCTGTCCATGGCCCTGGTGTGCTGACAGAGTTCAAACAAGGTACGATGGTCTACTATTTTTTAAGCTGTACATTCCCACTGAATGGCAAGTAAAGGGCCTTCAGATTTGAGAAATGAACTACACCAACCTAGATCGGAGTGACCTGGGGTGGGAAGAGGGGATGGAGGAGCAGTAGGAAGTTAGTCAGTCGAGTACCCTGGCCAGTCCTCAGTCTCGGGCACAGATACAGGCGAGTCCACGCGGCTATGGCTTTGGAGAGATGCATACCAGTACCCCTCATAGTCCGACCAAGAGTACATGACACCCAGAGTGTGCAGCTCTGATGGGTTGCTGTCACGGGAAAATTCCGCGATTACATCATTTTAAAGTGATGTAGTGCATACATGTACAAGCAGAATTCAAGCAGGTCTCTTTCTGCACAACTGCCGCTCAGTTGTACGCACTACGCCACTTCCCGCCTCGGATCTGCACCGAATATTATATAATCCCAGAATTTCGCAGTGGGAGACACCACCCATGCAGAAAGAGTCAGAAGCTGCACACTCTGGCTTTCATGTACTCTCGCAACTGGACATCTCTATAGATACTGGATGCCATGGCAACTACTTCAAAGTACAGGTACTAGCCAACTAGGCTCATCTGCACTGTCACTATACAATGATTATGTACATGTAGGTGGGTATGCCAATACTGGTACACATTACCTATCTGAGCGCATTGAGGCTGGGATGATTCCTATAGCTTGGATTTGCCCTTGTGTTAGAACTCCCACTCAGGCTTTATACTGTGTCTGATCTACTTCTGAAGGCGCGTTCAAGTTTGAACTGCCAGTCCAGCCCATCATCTTTCGATTCCCCGAAGACGTAAGTGCCCCCAATGTAGAAGATTTGGACGTCGTGTTTCATTGAAGTCTGGCTGTTCTATCGATGGCTGTGCTGCGTGCAGCCGTTGCGATTCTTTTCTTCTTCTTTTGCGCATGTAACACACATGGGACTGATTCCAGTATGTGAACAGGGTTTTACTATTTAGAAACTAGGTGACAGATTAAAGTCTCCAGGTCATTTCATGTTATTTTCAAAGGCGCAATGTTTGAGGGCGCAACGCAGCGTTTGGGTATCCAGGCATGCTGGACAGAAGCGTGAAGGACTGTATCGTTTCCAGCGGTATTAGCCGCACTTTAAAACGCAAAACCGTTGCTAGAACTTCAGTCGTGCTTCTTAAAAAAAAAAGTTTAACCATTGGTACTGTCTTGTATTGTACTTGTATCCATTAAGGTAGGTTGCCAAAACATCCAAATGCTGACGTGCGGCTATTCCGAATGTCACCAAAAATGCGAATTCTGGACCCGAAAAGGAGGTTGCGGCTTAGACTCCGGTTGCGGCTAACATTCCGGAAAACGTGGCACATACAGTAGTGCATTGACTGTGTGTGCGCTAAGGAGAGCACCATGCCGCACGCTAACAATAGACCATCAGCTCTATGCTCACATGTCAAGCCAGTTCTTTTGCGTTTTCTATGACTTCTGATCCTCAGCCTGGCTGGACGTTCTGGTCGAATCGCCGTACACTGTGAGTGCTTCTCTCAATTCCTTTGATTTTGCAACCGCTTCACTGTGTGCAGGGGATTGCTTCACCTTCCGTCCCCTTCAGTCATATTTGAGTATGGGATGCCAATACTTTCACAATTCACCACTGTATTTGGCTAATACCAGCAAAGTGCATTTCTACGCAACTACAGTAACACATGCTTGTAGGGTACTGAGAACTTTGTCTATATTTGATAACAAACTGGGTGTCGGAATGAAGAATTCGAAAAGCGCAAGCAAAGAAGGAAATAATACTCATAAAAAGGACACACTTCAGGCTCATTACAAACATCTTGAAAGTTTTCGTCTTCACAAGTATACTTTCAAGCCTTCTCATCAGGTGAAATACAGGCAAGGGAAAAGGAACAGGAACAGTGGATTAAATACAGTAAGAAGGTGGTAAAACAGCGCAAAAAGAAAGAAAGAAAGAAAGAAGATAGCTAAAGTAAACAGCGAAAATTGCAATAATGACACAAAGGTGCAAATGCGAGAAAACTCAATAAGCGCGACATGTAGTGCGACAACAAGAGACAACCACTGGACATACATGTAACTAACGAGGTTTTGACGACCTACCTAACAGCCTAAGTGTGAATTTGATTTGTTTCTGCTTGCAAAGGTTGGGTTTCCTTGTGTGGATGTATACAGCTTCCAAAACATTCAGCAATCTAGCACTGCGTACACGTGACACAAGAGGAAACTGTTTGAAACTGTTTGAAACTGTTTACCTAAAGAAGGAAATGGTGACAAATCCAGTCAAATACATTTTTAAAGAAGAGGACCAAAAGTTTACAAGTTATCCGTTTTGTCGAACACTAACGGTTATAAGCAGAATACTGTTGAGTCAAAAATGTGCAACAATTAGCACAAAACTGACTGATGAGATCATGACATTTACCTGATGCTTAGCTGCATCACGTCTAGAATGCGCAAACCAGCAGCCTTCCAACTTGGAAGGTTCTAAGTTATGAAGTAAAGTAAGAAAGGGGAATCCGAGTTTAAAATACATTTTTGTTAGGAAAATCAAATCAAATAAATAGGAAAATCCAATAAGAAAATAAAAAAGAAACAAGTCAACTAGGGAATACCAAACAAAGAGTAAACCCGCATCCGCGAACACCATCCAAGCAGCACTGTTTACCCAACTCATCCAACAACCCAGACAAGAGAAAAACCAGATAAGGCAAACAAAGAAAACGAGTAAGTCAACCATCAAGTCATGACCAACATATAATAGCAAAATTGCTACAACAAAAATACAGACGATATCATGAAACAGTCAGGTCAGACTAAACAGCCAGGTGAGCACGGGCTCTGCACTCCACCACAAAACCGCCATGACCAGCACCCATGAGCCTTCTGCGATATGAGTGCCGTGACCCCCGCAGGCAAGTAATTTGCCAGCGAATCAGGCACACCCTGATCCGGGCACGAAGCTGGCGCATGATCAGGGAGTAGGGGAGATCACGGTTCCTCTCACTAATTTGAGCTGCTAACGACTTCAGGAATATCGACGCCTCCGGCGCACACTGCCCATTGGTGGCGAGAACCAATGGCGTGAACGAGCCACGGTCGACGTTGTTGATCCGGCTCGAGTACTGGCGCTTCTTCTGCCTCTCGTTGTCAGACAACTGGCTCGCTACTCCCGAACGTGACAGCAAAGACGGCCTTGGGTGGGCAACCCGAACATCAAAAAAGGTGTTTTGCTGTCACGTCCAGAAACCGCAAGCCCGCATGTCTGCACGAGCAGCATCAGCTCTACTTCCCGAGACCTTTTCACCATCGAGAGGCAGCAGAACAGGCTCCAACTCGACATCATACGCCACCTCGGACATGGCACTAGCCAGCAGGTCCCGGACCTCGTTGTGACGTTGCGTTGGGTACCCACCACAGGGGCATGTCATAGCGTGGTGGCTTGTCATGTCTTTGCCACACACGCATGTTGTTGGCAAACCTTCCAAGGGAAGACCATACCGCAGACCCACCGCATCATGGAAATCCGTCTTGCTGAAAACGGTCCCAGGCATTGTAGTTGCAGGTGGAGTCGTCAACCAACTTGAGACGCCATCTTCACCTACGACCTCTACCAGTAGCCATTGCGTGGGCGGGAGGCCGGATCGGATCTCCTCCGCCAAGTTCCGCTGCTGAACACGACACGCCGCCCGAGCACCTGCAGCCAATGTCCTGCATGCTGTTACCACAGCCGACACCTCGTGCGTGGAGGTGCCACCGAGTACCAACTCCACCATGGGTGCAATGGCGGCTCGGCACAAGGTGCGCTCAGCGGCCGCCCGTGACACATTGCTGCGCACCGCAAGACCACCAAGCTTCGCCGGAAGGGAAAGCAGTGCTTGCAAACCTCCCTCAACCGTCACAGAATGGCCCGTGAACGCAGGCAGCAGCTGATCATTAAGGACGCGATCCAGGGGTGCGTAGAGTGCCCCGTCAGCATTAGCAACGCGCTGCAAGTACGACCACCGAGACTGAATTGCAGAGATGAATAAGTGGTAAGCCGCGTGGGGCTGGGTCTCTGCACACTCGCCAGCCTCTTGGTTAAAGCACACCAGTCACCCACGCGGCTTTCCACAAACCCATCACAGAACTCAGTGCTGCCGATGACTCCACCCAGATACCGGACGCCATCATAGCAAATCCGGATGCCAGTGCCAGCAAATACCTGGTCTGCGTCTGACACCAGGTGGCTCTTGACAAGGAGCACGGTCTTGGAAGCATTAGGCTTGTAGCCATACTTGGGGCCCTCAGCCGTGATGCAGTTCCAGTACTCGCTGAGTGCCACAACGCGGTCCACAGCGGCATCGTCGTCAGCACACCACACCTGCATGGAACCACTGCATATTGTGGACAGATGCTTGGCCAGAGGGACAGTAGCCAAAGCATAAAAAGCCATGGCCAGTGGATCTCCTTGGCACTTGCCCTCTCTTGAGTAGACTGTCTCGCCACCATCCAGGTACAGGGGGATATCTGCTTGGTACGTGTTCATAAATACCCGACCTGCAGCTGGGCACACGCGTGGTATGTTGTGCAGTGCAGCTGCCCGGTTCACTGAATTAAATGTGTTAGTGGCGTCGACGAGGAGTATTGCCTCCAACTCCTCCTTGGCAAATAGCGATGACAGCGCCTCCATAGCCACTTCACATGCTGATGGTATCCCAACGCACAGCTGGGTTGGCGCTGTTGCAGTCACCACATCCTTCTCAATCGCCGCCATGATTGCCTTGCCAACTGCACACCGAAACACCTCACCTACAGCCATGGGCCGTACGCCAGGTCGCTTATCCAGTGGTATCAGTCGTGCTGCCAGAAACGAGCGTCAGATGCAAAGCGTCCAGCCTCTCCGTGCACAGGCATTTGGCCATGCGAGAGAGGGCTGAACAGAGCTCGTCAGAAGCTGACTTGAGCATGCCAACCATCCGACGCCAGGCAGCCGCATCCAAAGCCGAACAGCTCCCTTCATTCCCAATTTCGTCTTCTTCATAGCTGCTGGTGTTGCTTGTAGGGTATTAGTATGTACTATGGCGGGCTGCTCCTGTGACAACTATAGGTACGGTTGAAATCCAACCCCAGCATACCTAACAACCACCATGAACCCGGCCGAAAATGAACATGGATTTGGTCTCTTGCCTGCATAGCACAGGGCACCGTACCTGTGTGTATGGGAGGGGGGGGGGGGGTGCGTGTGTGCGGGAGGGTGTATCAACTCCTGGTCCCGGTAACTAACTGTGTATATGTGCATGTGTGTGCATGTGTGTGTGTGTGTGTGTGTGTGTGTGTGTGTGTGTGTGTGTGTGTGTGTGTGTGTGTGCATGTGTGTGTGTGTGTGTGTGTGTGTGTGTGTGTGTGTGTGTGTGTGTGTGTGTGTGCGCGCGCGCGCACACACCCGTATATATACATGTGTGTATGCATTCCTGCCATTCTGGTGTTTTTGTATTTTCAGGGCCGAGGGACTGTTTCAGACGATGTGCATTGCTTACACTCCGGCAGAAGTGCATGTACGTGTGATTCGTTCTGTTCAAGATATGGCGTGCTGTTTATGGGTCTTCAATCAGGTTGTAATACTTTCACGATATCTCCCGATAAAAAAAATTAAAAAAGTTCGACGGGTTCGCATACCGGGCAGGTCAAAAACAAGGAGTCGTACAACTCCCTGGTCAAGAACCACCTTTCCGCTTCCGCGAGACGCCACCACCCCATGATCAGGCGTCAGATGCGGCTCCTAAACGGTGGGGGAGGATAGATCAGATCCACCAACCAAAGGCCAAAGGCCTAAATCCCATTTGCCACATCCATGTTTTACTCATGCCAGCTATCTCCCGATAGCAACATTAGATTCCCCTGTGTGTAAGTACATATCCCGTCCTTTTACAATTCAAGGGTATGACCTCTATTGTGACATGGCACGTTCACATCCTGTGCCTCTTCCAATTGAATGTAAGTATTTAAAACATACAAACAAGCTGGCTGATGAATCAGTGCGAAAGACAGCACATGAAGAGACTGTGAGCTAGCTGCGATACTGCCCAAACCTCCGCTGTGTGTGTATATGTGTGTGTGTGTATGTGTGTGTGTATGTGTGTGTGTGTGTGTGTGTGTGTGTATGTGTGTATGTGTGTGTGTGTGTGTTTGTTGCAATTGTGTACGTGTTGTGTTGGCTTGCTTTGCGTTTGCAGTTTCTACCGGTCTACACTCCATCAGAGAAGGTAATAATAGTATTGATTTGGTCCTTGCCCGGAGGAGTTTCCTTGCTTAGATCCCTGATTTTTTCACTCGCAGTCCAGTGCATGCATTTTCAAATAGAAGCCATTCTGAGCATTCTTCCCATTTTCCAAGCTGAGCAATGTGTATTAATGTGTTTCCATCTACTCATGCATCCCTGCAGGAGGAACAAGACCCGCAGCTTTATGCAACGAATGTGAGGAATGCCATTTCCCAGTGAGTGATGAAGCTTTTCTACTTCTCCGTTCAAGAGACCAATTCGGAGTGGGTATAATTCAATCTAGCAGTCTCTCTTTCCATGGCTGTCCCAGGGGTTTCACAGGCTGTGCATCTGAGCCTTCAGTCTTGAGTATGTCTCTATCGCTAGTTTGTGCAATCCACTGAGATGTGTAAGTTGCATCTCGCACGGCTGGCATTGGCTATCACACTAAGCTGGTAAAGCTGCTGCACTCCGTATCCGGTTTGTTGAAAGTTCTTACTGCCGCAAGGGTGTGTTTGGTTGGTACAGTCTAGAACAGGATCGAATAGCTGGTGCACATAGAGCAGCATCATGCCAACCAAGCGCTACTCCAGAAACAGAGCACATTGGTACATTGTTCGAAAGGTGTACGGGTCACCATGGTCACTTTGTACGGTACGAGTCCTCGAGGCTGAAGCAAGCAAGCAGAACATGCTCTGGCCGACCCAGAACAGGTGCAGTCCCAACCAAATGCGCTGTTCTGGTGAATCCTGTTCTAGGTTGTACCAACCAAACATGCCCTTAGTCTACAAATTTTCGGCCCACTTAAATTTCGGCCTCAAAGGGCTAAAGCACATTTCGGCCGCATTACATTTTTGGCCTGTACTGCTGCTGACTGTATAAACTGTCACACTGAACCTTGCAAAACAAAATTTCGGCCAAATATTACCGGGCCGATAAAAAATATGCACCGAACATTTGTTGACTTACAGTACCCCAATAGCCTCTGTCTAGACATGTCACTTGTCAGTGTGGTGGCAAACATGGACTGAAGTACAAAAACAGTGCAGGATAGTTTCTTACCATTTCTTACCATGTGTTATCTGCTTACAGGCAAATGAAGCTGAACCTCTCTCAGCATAGTCGACAAGACATGATCCTGACTAGTCTGGCAGTGAAGTATGGCTTGCCGGCGTGGACCGGCAATGTGGAGTATGTCGTCATGCGAGACACTTTGCAGTAAGTATCTAGAGCACACTGTTCTTAAAGATTCTTGCATCACGTAAGGCAGTATGGCATACCCCTGAGTCATGGAGTATGTTATGGTCACTATAGCACGGCGAATGTTCGTTCAGTTCTGCACAGGTTCATCGCAAATGGATGCTTATCCAGGAATTTGTGCAGGGTATGAACAAGTCATGAGCGAGAGGTTTTTTAAAGAAAAGGGAGTGGCAGTATTCAAATTATCAAGATTCAAGAACTGAATAAGTTTCAGTGTATGATGGTTAGTGGTCTGACATGTGAGGTAACTTCAGGTTCGGGCTGATCCCTTGAACTTACCGCCAGCTAATGCTGCTTGCTAGACGAACAAAGCAAGCAGCGTGCCTGCTGTCCAGGTCTTGATCCTTACCCAGTGCTCGCTGCCCGTAATGAGAGGCAGAGCCGTGAATGTTTTCTTTAGTGAGTTTACCAATATCGGATGGTAAGCAGTGATCTAAAACCATCTCGGATGTAGCTCCATTGTTGACGTTAGTCGTGGTTGCTTGCCTGTGCTGTACATGCAGCTTGAATCTCGATCTCCTTAAAGTCCTGCTGGAACGGTTTGCAGTGCTCGACTCCGACAAAGATGGATTTGTCACGAGCGAAGACTTTGCTGCGGACTTGAATTGGCCCGTGGCAGAGGATGTTGCTGAGTTGTTCAGGACGTGTGATACGGTACAGTAGCATACTGGAAGCAATCGTGGGTATAGAGCACGGGATTTGGCACTGTTAGAATGCAGTCAGTGTGTTGTTCGATCTTGCTGCACTGGGTCCCAAAAAGATTCGTTGAAAGTAGATTCACTCTTTGACCTAACACATGTATTTGGAAGCATGCTCCAACAGACATTTTCCATTTTATACCGTGTGAAGCTCTCTCCTGTAGGTGTGGTCAGAAGAATTATGTTGGCCCAGGGGTGTTGGAACGAGTTTCACGCGGTGCGCCCAATCCCAGCCCTTGTAGATTATTTCGAAAATTTGGCTCGAAAATGATTGGTGCGGCCTTGGCTGCACCTGCCATACCGCTTTCCACACCCACTTGGCTGTGAGTGGCGTCCATGGGTCTAGGTTCAATGACTACATGTAGCTGTGCATAGTAGTGCATGGTGAAAGCCTACAGTACTGTACCAGTGGAAGTATGCCACAGTATAGCCAATAGATATTTAGAACAACTGAATGTCTGAAAAGGTGTTGTAAAAGTCCGTATAATTATGTTTTAATGGTTTGTCCTGGCTGACCCCATCCCAATTTCCATCATGCTGTACAGGCCGAGCGCGGGAAGATCACATTCCGCGAGTATGCAGTTGCGTATTCCGATCTCATTCGGCCATATGAAGAGGATGCTGCCTTCATCAGTCAGACGTTTGAGGTACGCCACTGCAAGCTAGGCTGTTAGCCATGCCGGACTGGGACTGCTAGGCTGTTAGCCATGCCGGACTGGGACTGCTAGGCTGTTAGCCATGCCGGACTGGGACTGCTAGGCTGTTAGCCATGCCGGTCTGGGACTGCTAGGCTGTTAGCCATGCCGGACTGCTAGGCTGTTAGCCATGCCGGACTGGAACTGCTAGGCTGTTAGTCATGCCGGACTGGGACTGCTAGGCTGTTAGCCATGCCGGACTGGGACTGCTAGGCTGTTAGCCATGCCGGACTGCTAGGCTGTTAGCCATGCCGGACTGGAACTGCTAGGCTGTTAGCCATGCCGGACTGGGACTGCTAGGCTGTTAGCCATGCCAGACTGGGACTGCTAGGCTGTTAGCCATGCCGGACTGGGACTGCTAGGCTGTTAGCCATGCCGGACTGGGACTGCTAGGCTGTTAGCCATGCCGGACTGGAACTGCTAGGCTGTTAGCCATGCCAGACTGGAACTGCTAGGCTGTTAGCCATGCCGGACTGGGACTGCTAGGCTGTTAGCCATGCCAGACTGGGACTGCTAGGCTGTTAGCCATGCCGGACTGGGACTGCTAGGCTGTTAGCCATGCCGGACTGGAACTGCTAGGCTGTTAGCCATGCCGGACTGGGACTGCCAGGCACTACTACCCTGTGTGGTGTAGCTGCATGTGCATGTCTTACATACAGTCAAACCTCTTTAGGACCAACACCAAAGGACCGATGGTATTTGCTCGTGATAACGGGAGTTCTTCTTACCCATAACCCCCCCCCCCCCCCCCCCCGCCCCCGTGTTCTTCGGCGCCCGGCAGTACTGTGCTCCTATGTATACGTCATACACTACACGTACTGAAGTAGTTGCAGTTGTGTACACAGTTCTGCCATATACACGTATGTGAGCAATTTCCCATCTCTTTCCATTTGTCGTGAAAGAGGTGGGAAATACAGTCACCTTCGCTAAGAACGACTGCGGATATAACGACAATTCGCGAATAACGACAGAATTTCCATGCCCAGAGCAAAGTCTCATCTAACTGGAATACATAATAATGAGACTTCGTGAATAAGGACACTTTTCTGATGCCCCGCCGAGTGTCGTTATACGCAAAGTTGACTGTATAACCGTGTTGAGCCTGTTGAAGCTGGTGTGCGAGACATTGACCATTAGGTTGTCACATTATGTGTGTGTGTGTGTGTGTGTGTGTGTGTGTGTGTGTGTGTGTGTGTGTGTGTGTGTGTGTGTGTGTGTGTGTGTGTGTGTGTGTGTGTGTGTGTGTGTGTGTGTGTGTGTGCATGATGGCATGCACTGCCTGCACCGGCGTTGCATGTGGTGACATGTGCAGGCCTTGAACCGGAGTAATGCAGATGCGAAAACTGGAAGAACGTCAGTCGAGGACCAGAGACTCCTGTCGGTTAGTACATGGCTGATGGGCTTGGTGGCAAATGGCAGAGCTCGAGAGCGTACAAACTCCGCTGAAACCTCCTCAACACCCAATCGTAACGGCACATCAACAGATATCATTGGTAAGGCATGGCTATCATCTGCATATGATTGTGTATCCGTTTAGATATGGACACTGGCTTACAGTAGACGGTTGCACACCCCAGAATAATAATAATAATAATAATAATAATAATAATAATAATAATAATAATAATAATAATAATAATAATAATAATAATAAAACAGGTCGCGTAATGAAGCAGCATAACGATAGATGTGCAAAGTCACCCCAGAATGACTGGCCTGAATTACTAAAATATCCACAGCCCTAAGTTAAGAACGGCGGTGTTAGTATTCGGGCAACCTTTGTGTTACATTATGTATGTAGACTACTAGTGGTGTGTGCACACGATCCAGTATGAATGGTTTCTAAGAATGTGATAAGAGCGCAACCAAGTTACTCGAACGTAAGTACGTCCCAGCCTGACCTCTTCAATGGAAACGACGTTCTTCGGCACACGCCTCTACTGTACTGTCCCTACAGAATAACGTGGACAAATGTCCATGGTTACAACCAATTGTATATGAGCCTGAGCGCGCTAAAACATGACCACAGCTTTTTTTGAAAAAGTCGAGATAATCGCGATTTGAATTCCGCGGCAAAAAATACGAAGTGCAGTGCAACGCGAGTTGCTGTTGTTGTTCTCCTCGGTTGACTGGACTGTTCCGGATGCAATTTTCTGTTGCAAGTAAGTTTATTTGTTAGAGTTTGTATTCCACGTTGCGCTGAGTCGCCTAAAACTGATCGTCCTCAATGTATCGACAGAAGAGCGTAGTAGTAGTAATGTACTGCGGAGCGGAAGAAGACGACATCATCGCACTCCATGCGCAGGATAAAATATTTTGGGGATTCGAGTCGGAAACAGAAGGAAGACGATGATGGATACAGCGACGAGTCATTTGAGGGCGACACTTTCATCGAGCGTACTTCAGTAAAAAGAATTGATGCTGGTAGTCCCACGATCTGCTGTGACGAGGAATTCTACTCTGATGACAACCTGGCAAGCGATTGGCATCGACACTGACTTGGGAGGTGAGTCGGCCGATGATTTGGCCACAATGGACATCGCTGCACATATCCGGGACAATGCCAGTATTGGTTGCAAGTGCAAAAACAATCACTGGACTCTGCTGCTCCCTCAACTTGCTCAAGTCGATAATTTAAGTACCCTTATGCGGAACATCGCTAGCATGAGCAGTATGCAGCGAAAGCAGTACTCTCTGGCGAGCGGAGAAAACCGTGTGCAGATGGGCTTTGGTGTGGGGAATATGAGTGCGACGTCTAGTATGTTGACGAACAATGTGTGCAGCAGTGTATACTGTATATCTGAAAGTACAGGTGGAGTGTGATGGAGAGGACATGGAGTGCCAACTTCTTCGGCCATCTCACAGATGTTGACCGTGTTTTCGCTGGCGGTTCTCCAGTGGTGCTCCAAACAGGAGGTATTTCGGACACCCAGCTCAGCTGCCTATAGACAATTTGGATGTGGCTGAGTACCTGTCAGCTCATGCTATAAGACCCTGGACAGAGGAACTGACCCGGAAAGGATGAACCAAAGGGCATATCAATTGTGTGCAAAAATGACAATCCCATTGCTGTACATAGAATTTCACCACTTCAACAGTGCTGCATATAATACCATTGTAGCAACACTTAGACATTTCGGATCAATCCAAAACTTTCAGACAGTGAACATTAGGTGTGTTAGATCATTTTTGAACAAAAAACTGAAAATCGAATTTTTGGTCTGTGGTCATATTTTGGCGTGCTCTGGCTCATATTACTCTGCAGTATGACCGGCATGCAAGATTTGAAAATGTTGGGATGATCATTCGTAAATCGAGGAATCCAACAGACGCTGCTGCAACACGCCTACTCTGCTTCTTCTTTACATGTGACTGCTGCGTGTAGATAACTTCAAGCAGATTGTGTCCCGGAAGCCAGAGCTTCTCGTCCTCTTGTCATCCCTCAGCTCAGTTAGTATGGAATCATGAGTCGGTACACGCTCGACTAGTTCTGCTTGACGACTACTTGCTGTGGCATAAGAGTACATGTATGTGTAGTTCAACACGTGAACGCACTCCGTGTTATATCATAGCCAGTTTCCTATTGTGATTTTATCCCAGTGGTGTGTGTGTGTGTGTGTGTGTGTGTGTGTGTGTGTGTGTGTGTGTGTGTGTGTGTGTGCATGTGTGCACGTGTGTGCATGCTTTGGGTCATTTCATAATAATAATGTGTGTGCATGTGTGTGTGTGTGTGTGTGTGTGTGTGTGTGTGTGTGTGTGTGTGTGTGTGTGTGTGCATGTGTGTGTGTGTGCATGTGTGTGTGTGTGTGTGTGTGTGTGTGTGTGTGTGTGTGTGTGTGTGTGTGTGTGTGTGTGTGTGTGTGTGTGTGTTAAAGTGGCAAGCTGCATCAACGAGCAGTAGTTGAATTATTCTTCCCTTTGTCTATAGATACAGTACTACAGCTTGACTACCCACTCAGACCTTACAGTAGTAGTTATACAGGCGGGCATTGAAGCTCGTTGTTACACATCTTTCTCCCGAGTGGACCAGCAGTGTCCTTTTAAAACACTCATAAAATGTGAATGCTATTCACTCAATTATTTTGCAAAACGCATCAACACGCGATGCCCGTTAGTTTATCATCCACCTGGGCAGAGACAGGGTTAGATTGTGCTGCGGGCATATTCTTCGAAGTGACATTGATTTTATCTTTTTCTTTGGAGTAATGGCCATGGGGGTCCTAGCTCCCGCTCCTCGTTAAGCTTGATTGAATTTTGGCTGCATTTTACTATGTGGCAGACTATCTTTGTGTTCTGAAAATACGCAACAGTTGGCGACAAGCGTGCTCAATCTCTCTCATGCTTACTCAATCTTGTGCGCCCAGAGACAGAGAGGTCTTCTGTTATGCACTGAAGTACTGATGAATGTGTTTCAGAATGCCTGGCTTCCAAACTGGCGCGGGGTCATGCTGCACGGACATGGATGGTGGGGACCTTGATCCCCCTGCCCCGATGAGAACCGTCCCCCTGCCCCGATGAGTACCGTCCCCCTGAGAAAAGAAAAGTTACGTTGAGCCATATTCAGACGGGGGCTGTGCTATAACGTATAAGAGCAATGGGCAGTTGCCCAGGTGCGATGCAGGTCAGGATGTGAAAATGTGGCTACAAAGACGTGCGCGCATCACACACTGTTTCAAACGTGAAGTTGACACACCCACAGCAGAGGCAGGCCTAGCTTTTTGTGTTGACATTCCGCAACCGATTATCGTTTATATGGCTGTTTACTTATTATTAGTAAGTTATTACGCTACCAGCATCAGCGAGTAGTAAGATAGATCATTTCACAACTCCCTGCAGGCTCATTGAAGATCTACATGCCGTACAGCACAAGGCATAATGGTAATTCACTTTAAGCTTGCGTTGCGTTACAACCATCTTGGCGGAGCTGTTCATGGACACTTTGAAAATTTATCCACAAGTCACACAGCACAACAAGCAGCGAAAAAGCATATACACCAGGGAGTCGTATACACCAGGTTCCCTGGTGCACACCATGCAGTAAGATGAGTTGAAGTTACAGTAAAACTCCCCTAATCCGGGCAGGTCGGGACACTTTTGCCCGCGGAATTTGAATTTTTTAGGGTAAATTAGTAAAATTACTACTCAGTAAGCAGCAGAAAAACTACTTTGCGATCTGTTTGAGCACATTCCTCTTGCCAGTGTAGGCGGGTGCAGATCTCTCCAAGATTCTTCACTCTCATTTAGTTTGTGACTGCAAAGGATAGTGTGAAAGGTGCTCCTTCATGCTAGTAGTTGTCATATCCTCTACAAGGAGGGTGAAAAACTTGCAGAAAGTGCCGCAGATTTTTAATTTTACCGCGGAAAATGCCGCAGAAACCCCCGCTTTTCCCCGCGGAATTTTGACTTCTTGGCCGCGTTTTTCCAAAGGGACAGTTTAAAGCCCACCAAAATGTCCTTGTGAAACAGATAAGCCCGAGGGCTTATCCGTGGGATTCTACGGTATTCTCAGGTGGACTATGTCCTAAATAGTTCACCCCTGGAATACAATACAATGCGTATTACAAAGCGAAGTTCGAATTCAGCCTTGTAGATAATTACATGTATGTCAACTACATCGTAGTTTTTCAGCACTATTATAAGAACCTCACCTGCATTGCGTGAATCACTGACACTGAGGGATTACTAACCCTTCATTCCAGTCTCCAGGGAGTTAGTATAGACCATGCAACTTACTTCCTGCCCCACTCTATTCCTTGCGGTGGTGCCATCTGATCGAGACTTGATGATACCCACTCGCACTGACAAGTGACAGTGTGATAAAACCAAAACTGGAAATCGTTCTCCACTCGTTGTAGTAAGTGAGTTGTCACCATCAATCATTGCATGAAGTGCGACTTACTTCCTTCATCGACGTGACAGGACTCTACATCCATGACAAAATTAATAACACAGGGCCTACAACACTGTGCAGGGCTTGGCCAATTGGGAGCAGTACTTTTTATGGATTTGCTCCCTTTTTGAAGTTGAAGTTTTTCACTAACTGACCCGCCTCGTCATCCTTTCCTTCAATACTTATTATAGATTGAGGAAACACAGGATGAGTTAGAAAGGAAAAGAGGAGTTGTAGGAAATATTATTTCCTGCAACTCCCTGAATTTTGATCCTGTGCAGAAATCAACCAAAAGGATGATTGTGTTGATGCTTCACAAATATAAATGTGTAATTTGCCCATGCAGTGTAGAGTCTACAAGAAGTGCTCAAGCTACATTCTCAATGATCAACCAAAACAGCAGTACTCAGTCGAGTCGCATTGCGCGCGCACGATCGAGTACATTAATTTTGTATTTCGAAATTGTAGATCTACACACGTGTGAGAATGAGAGATCGCGGTTCGCAGTGTCGAGGATTATTTTGGCCTTGGTTATTTTGGTGTAGAGCTCTTTCTCTGTCTTCTGGCTTGGAAACTCTCGCCGATAAGAGACGAGAAAGGTGGCCATGGCAGCTGAGCAATATTCTGCCACCCGTGGCCTGTCTGTTCGGCGACTTCCCGAACCCAAAGAAAACCCGTTCTGCTTTCGATTGCAATGGACACCTCTTCGTTGTTTACAGGTCAGTAAAACAAAATACAATAGTATCGGCACACCGAAAATGGGTTGTTGGTCATGTGTACATGACAAACAACTATGCAAACTTCTAGGGGAATGGGCTTTGGGGCTCAACATCTAGACTTGGTGTAGATTTCCAGTGGATTTGCCGTATTTTCTCAAATACAGTCATGTACCCTATTTTCGGCAATACTGGCCGCACCATATAAGGGCAATAAGAAATGTGGGTAGGTACTAGGTGTGCTTCATGTGAACGAAAAATTGAACCATGCACTCGTAACTCACAAACGTCTTGTAGGCACAACCGAATAAATAAATGTACTTGTGATCAAACAGTAATGCAAGAAGACAGTGCAAACTGTAGACATCTATTCAGTCACTCGCAAAACAGCCATTGTGCTATACCGATCTTCTTTAGTTCTCTATCAGAAGTGCGCCATGTCATCTCTCTCCTGCATGCTATACATAAAGCGGTACAAGTACGTGCATGCCTGCATATGCGTCCATAGTACTACAATACAACTGCATGTACGATATTTACATTATTACCCCCTTCCCTCAAAAAGAAAAAAAAGGAAAACAAAACAAAAAAAACACAAAAAACACTTGCATCCGGACCGGTATCCGTATCCTGCAGCTTGCAGAGGAATGTATGTGCAGGTGTTGGAGTAAAAGAGAGACGGGAAGTGTTGCAACTATTAGCAATAATCTGACCCAAACTTGAGGATCAGTGCAGAACACAATGAGTTCGAGTTTCAATGCAAACTCGACCAATAAGGGAAAAAAAGTAAAAAATTCGAAATATTCATCTGAGTCGTTGAGTCATGCATCACCAAATGAGTGGCTTCAATCGCTACCAGATTGGCGTTGTTTAGAATCTTTAACTTGTGTTAGCTTCACGTGCTTTCTCTGTAAGCTTGATCTGACGGCCAGCTCTGGTCTGTACGCCCTCGCGGAATACACTTGGACGAGATTTTGGCGGTGACAGTGATATACAGTGACATACACTGATACAGGCCGGTGTTGCAGGTGGTGTTGTTGTCTCCGGCGAAGCTGCAGAAGACAACGGCAATGTGAGCGCAGTTACCGGAGCTTCGGGTCTGGATGTTGCGCTGCTTGCTGACGGAAGGTTTGTTGGGGCGGACACTGGCAGTGCTGGAGCAAACACTGGCACTGGCACATGCTCCCTCTCTAACTGTGTCGGAGCTTCACTCATGGGTGCTTCCGGCGCTGCTGCTGCTGGTGCTACAAACTCGGTGACGTTCTGACAGTTCCGGAGCAGTATGCGTGACCCATCAGTGACCCCTGGCACATGCTCCCTCTCTAACTGTGCCGGAGCTTCACTCATGGGTGCTTCCGGCGCTGCTGCTGCTGGTGCTACAAACTCGGTGACGTTCTGACAGTTCCGGAGCAGTATGCGTGACCCATCAGTGACCCCTGGCACATGCTCCCTCTCTAACTGCGCCGGAACTTCACTCATGGGTGCTTCCGGCGCTGCTGCTGCTGGTGCTACAAACTCGGTGACGTTCTGACAGTTCTGGAGCAGTATGCATGACCCATCAGTGACCCCAACCTGTCGACCATATTGCTCTACTACCTTCCTTTTTTTTTCTTTTTTTTTTTTTCGAGGGTCGCTATACCCATCATGGAGCACTACCCGCGTACCTGATGGCAAATGGGGTAACTTGTGGACACCTCGGCGTGAGCCATGGCCTTCAACCATTGCTGCTTTCGCCTTGATCTGCTCAGATGGGTTGACGATCTGTGGAGTGATGGATGCTGGAACCTGTGTCCAAATGACTCTGCTGAACAACGCTTCGCTCAGCGATGTACCTAGCATCCGGTGCCGCGAATTTCGAATGTCGAACAAGACTTGAGTGATGCTTCGGTGTAGCGGTAGATGAGGTCTCAGACTGGCAACTTGTTCTTTCACCAGACGATGTAGTTGCTCCACCATATCGTTAGAGCGGGCATACCGGGGGCTAGACTTGCAATGCTCAACACCCAGCTGAGCGAGAAACTTGGACATCTCAGTGGATGCAAACTGTGGACCCCAATCCGAGGCGAGTGTTGAAGGCAGACCAAACCGTGCGAACAACTCCATCAGCTTGTCGATCACACCCGTTGTCGTAGTATTGGACAGTGGTAGAAGCTCTGGCCAGCGGGAACCATAATCAATAGCAGACAGGAGCGTGGCTCCCTCAATGGTAACAAAATCAATGGCCAGTTTCTGCCAGACGTCTTCTATCTCTGTAGGGAGGAGCTGTTGCGCTGGATTGGAGCATTTACGCTAGCATTCAGAGCATTTACTGCAAGCAGATTGGCATCCTTCATGAGAGCTGGTCACCAAACCCATTCGCGATGGGTATCGCGGAATGCATTGATGCCTGGATGACCTTCATGTGCTAGTCGCAGCACCGCTGGACGGAGCTCTTCGGGAATGACATAGCGATTGTCCAGCATGACAATCCCGTCAATGGCTGTCAACTGATGGCGTAGCAGGAAGTAAGGTGTGGGGTAATAAGTAACATCATGACAGAACTCTATCCCTGGGCATAGCATTGCCTGGGCCTGCAACTCTTTCCGTTAAGGGAGATGTAGTGTAATGTATCGGATCAGTGTCCGTAGCCTGGCGAATGTCCTTGCAACGAACCGGACAAGCCTCGAGATTGAGACTAACGAATTTCGCCATTGAACGTGCCTCTGCAGTACAGGTGAAGCTGTGCGATCAGGTAGAGGAGCTCGAGAGAGTGTGTCAGCGCAAACCATCTGCTGACCAGGGACGAATACCAAGCTGTAGCGATAGGGCATCTATGCGACCAGCCATCTCTGAAGCCTCGGTGGCACTTCGTCGAACGACTTCTGGACGATAGAAATAAGCAGCTTGTGATCCATAAACACTTGCACTTCTCGGTCTAGTACATACTGCCGAAACCGAGTCAGGCCGAATACCACTCCCAGCATCTCTCATTTCAGCTGAGAATAGCGTGACTCAACATCAGATAGAGAGCGACTGGCGCATGTTACTGGTACCCAACAGCCACTGGTATTCTTCTGCCACAGGACTGCTCCCAAACCGTCTGGCGATGCATCACAGCTGATAGCAGTGGGGACGTCCAACGCTGGTTGAAAGAATGCCAACGCTTGCAAAGCTGACGCTATACCAGCCTTTGATGAGGTGAATGCCTGCAGGACTTCATCATCTACACTGAAGGGATCACGCTTCGCTAGCTTGCACAGAGAAGCCGTGATCTGGGCCAAGTTCGGAATGAACTTTCCAAGGTACGCAGCCATCCCCAGGAAACGTCGCACATCAGAGATAGATTTCGGAGGGGCCAGCTCCTGGATGGCTTGTAACTTGTCATCATCTGGGGACAAGCCGGTCGCACTTAGTCAATGTCCCAGATACTTCACAGGGTCCTGGTTCAGTCGGCACTTGGTCCAGTTGAGTTGGAGGTTAGCTGCTTGCAGTCGCTGCTTGACTGCTTCTAGCCGCCGTGCATTGTGTTCTGCTTGATTTGAGCCAAACACTAGGATGTCGTCGATGTAGACGATGACTCCTGGCAGGCCTTCCAGAATGTCGGACACCACTCGCTGGAAAATCTCAAGCGCACATGCAATCCCGAAAGGCAAACGATTGAAACGGAACAGGCCACAGTGCGATGAGAAAGTCGTTAGAGGCCTTGCTTCTTCTGACAAGAGTAGCTGATGGACTCCAGATTCAGCATCCAGAACTGAGAAGACCGCTGCGCCATCCAGCTTAGCTGTGATCTCATCAACTGTTGGAAGAACATTGCGCTCATGTGTCACTCTCTTATTCAGTTCTCTGTAGTCCACGCATAGCCGCAGTGCTCCATTCGGTTTGCGGACTGGAACAAGTGGTGACACCCACGGCGTGGCTTCCTTGACGGGTTCAATGATAGTACAACTTAGTCAGCCGTTTCAGCTCGGTCTCAATGTCAGCCCGAATACTGAAAGCCGGGCGTCGTGGTGGCTGGGCCAGAGGTTTTGAACCTTCTTCCAGAGAGATTTTAATGGGTGACACGTTCATCATGTTTGCTTGTGACAGGAGGTTCAGCTCCTTGATGACATCCTGTCCGAATAGAACGGAGCGTTGACTGGCTGCTACCACGAAACAACTGCACTTCACATTCTTGCTACCATGTGAAATGTGGACATCAGCCATGCCCAAAGTCTCTACGACACCGCCATTGTACGCTTTCAGCAAGCGATCACTCTTGCGCGTTGGTTTGATCACATCATCAGTGAGGATTGTCCGAGTTGCCCCTGTGTCTAGCAGCTAGTCCAGTGCACAGCTCACCATTGACTTTGAGTGTAGTCTGGAATGTAGGGGTGAAACGAGTATCTATTTTGATCAATCGATCACTCGTTCATAATATTCGATCGAGTATCCGATTATTTCGAGTATTTTATCAAAATTCAAAAGCACTAGATTTGCGAGTTCTCGACCAATTCGGAAGAAATTATCTGTGAACATACATGTAGAACAAAAGTCGCCAATGTCTTGTACAGAGTGTAAAGTAACGATTTTCATCAGTACTTTTATATCTCAGAACGTTACTTGCCGTGGTGATCGCATCGTCCAAGTCTTAAAATACTGACTCAAACCATGCATAACGCATGCATACCAGTGGACCAGCGGTACAAGGAAAGTTTTTGAAAAATACAATGCCAATACTAAAAAAAAAATAAAAAAATAAAAAAAATAAAAACGATCGAGTGCAAAATTTCGAATACTTGCTCGTTTGAAATTTTCGAACGAATACTCGAATATTCGAACTAATCGTTTCACCCCTACTGGAATGTCTTGTCGCCTGCGAGTGCCGAGCTACTGACGGCGAAAGCGGAGTCGTACATGAGACTTGCATGCTCATACTCATCAGGCTCAGCCTCTACTGGCCGGGTTCTTTCTTCGTGTCTTTCCACCTTGTTTGACATGCGGACAGCTGCAAAATGCCCTCGCCTGCCACAGTTGTTGCAGGTGACGTTGGCCCCAGGACAGTTACGCATGCCTGGTTTGTGGCTACGTCCGCAGTATTTGCACTTCTTTCCACCATCTGATCCAGAACCAGCTGCAAAGACAGCTTGCACACGCTGGATGGGCACGGGGAACACAGGCGGTGCGTCACTAGCTCTGGTACTATCGTCCAGTTCACTGTCAGTAATCGACGCTTCCAACGCCACTGACTTGGTGACGGCGTCGTTCAGGGTCAGCTTCGGCTGTTTCAGCAGCTCCTTTCGAAGCTCAACAGAACGCAGGCCCACAATCAGCTGGTCTCTAATTTGGTGGTATCCACAGAAGAAGAGCTGAATTCGCAAACATCTGCCTTTTCCCTCAGCCGTCCAACGAACGAAGTCACAGACTCGCCCTCCATTTGGCGGAGTTGGCGGAATTTGTGACGTTCAGACGTGACATTTGTTGACGGTCGGAAGTGTGCTGACAATGCCTCTGTCAAGGCTCGGTACTCATCTGCAGGTGAGCCATCTTGTGTCTGCTGCGCCGTGAGAACCAGTCCTTTCACGATGCGCCTCACTGCTAATCCAGCCAGATTCAAGAACAAGCGTTTCTTGTCAGCTGCTTCCGCCACTTCACTGATTTGAAGGAAATCATCTGTCCTCGAGCCAGAGTTCAAAATCAGCGCCGATGTTGCTCGCAGCATAGTCAGGAATAAATTCCTTGGGCGTCCTGCCCTTTGTCATTTTGTTCACTGCGCCAATGTAGACATCTATTCAGTCACAGCCATTGTGCTAAACCGGTCTTCTTTAGTGTGTCATCTCTCTCCTGCAGCTATACTTTAAAAAGCGGTACAAGCACGTGCATGCCTGCACATGCGTACATAGTACTACATCTGCATGTATGATATCTACACAAACCACACTCAGTCACTGGTCATGCAACAGACAATATCTTACAGCTTAGTAGTTAGCGAGCCCTAACATTTCACCTATTAGATTTGAAAAAAAACCGGACAAAAGCCCTGAAATGATGTGGCGCTTATTTCAGACAGGCGCTAATAAAAGACCGGCACTATTTCCCAAAAATACGGTAGTAGACCAGACTCCGAAAAAAAGCTTCCCCCAAATTCGGAAATTCCTGTGAAAGCTTACCTGCGCCAAAACACCGAAAACCATCCTCAAATGGTGCATATGCCCAAATACTAGCAAGAGTACACAACCATGAGCTTTGCATAATAACATCAAGATGTACCCTTGATATTAGTGATGTAATGAACCACGATTTTCACAAATGATTATTCGCTCGAATGCAAATTCAACGAGCAAGCGAATAATCTACTATTCTCCACATACTACTAGTAGTCCCCAGAAAAGATGATCATCACCAGTTATGCTTTCGGAACCCGAGCACGTGCTTTACCCGTCCTTATCCTCCAAGATGTCATAGCTCCCCTCTGTCCAGACACTGCTCGCTTGGGTGGGATTACCCTTGCAGCAGCGCTAACTCATGTATCATTGTCGCCAACTAAGGATGTCTTAGCATGCTTAGGCACTAGGTCTGCATTGCAGTGATACTTCGAACCTTTGAATTTGAAATTATTCAAATATACTTGATGCGCTGTCAGATCGAATATGTTTGAATAATCGATTATTCGTCGCATCCCTAGCAAATACCTCTCACATACTGACCAACCACACTAACCTCTACCCCTTGACAAGACGTGCAGAACCCTGGATTTCTCTCAAAATCCCTGGGTGGCACGAAAACACGTGAAAAATAACTTTTACCGCAAAAAAACGTTCGACGGCTCAGGACAAACGATACGAGTATATCACCAGAATCAGGAAACAGGCAATGAAACCATATGCAAAGAAGGAGACTGTATCAACGTTAATGACTATTGAAAGTAACACAACCGATGAATCTCATCATCGGTGGGGCCTGAACTCTCACCAAAAACTTAGCTGAAAATACACAGCAACAAGAGCAGCACATACCGGTACAATCCGGGGGCCTGAACATCTGCGAATAATAAAATAGTTGCATTAAACATCTAATATGTTGCGACATCGGCGGTAAATTTGTGAAGAAAGTGTCTGCTTCAAACGTCGTTTTTGAAATCTAAAGCGGAAGAAATTTAGAAGCATAAATCCCTAAAAGTAAACCTAAAGCAGAACGGGAAAATAATTCAAAATATCACACAATGACCATGACTTGCCAGAAAAAGACATTGGCAGCAAGTTAACAAATTACACTCACAGAAAGGCATCATCGCCGGCTGCATCTTCATCTAATGTGCCAGCGGCAGCGGCCGATTCAGCATGCTACAGGCTAGTCATACCGGTAGTGGGTCACTTTGCGCGACCAATAACCATCCTGGAACCAGAGTGCTTGTAATTGAAGTGCCGTTGAGCTTCAGTGAGATGACCATTGTCGCGGCAAGGAGTCGGCGAGAAACTCTGGTGACAGCACTGCAGCACTCTCGTGGCACGGCACCAGATCGTTGCACTTGCAGCTGATCAGGTTGCTGGTGGTCTCCGGCTTCAGGAGGCTGCAGTGGCTGGTCTTGATCTTCTTCACCATGCTGAATAACCGTTCTGGGTCAGCGTTTGAGTGCGGTGACACCAGAGCCACCTTCGCAAGCTTGCTGATGTGGGAAAATCGGAGCTTGGATGTATCTTCTGGCGTCGTCAGCTTGCCGACCAGAAACCACAACTGGTCAAGGCTGCTGTAGTTGACAAGAAGGATGTAGTCAGGCGCACTTTTGAAATCACGCAGCTCAGACAGGGTGGCATCAAGGCCTTCTGCCGACGGACGGAACAGCACAGCTCGACCCTGCAGTGCAGTTAGATAAGTTAGCGCGCGCCTGTCGGTGCAGATCAGGCTAGGCTGGTGCTGTGGTGCGTACCTTACATTTTTTTGGGGGGAAAACAGGACATTAGACACCCTTAGCAAACAACGGTAACACTATTTTTTACGGTACTCGTACCTTGATCACCCAAATAGCGTTGAAGCTGCAGCGTAAACACGTTATGGGGGCTGATTTATCGTTGTGACCAACGGTACGTTTTTTGGCCAAATATTGCATAGTCCGTACGCATTTCACCTTGTATCGCATATATGGTGACATAAATGGTTGTACCGCGCGAAGTAAAAGCTATTCTCGTGGCAACAGCGTACTAAAAATAGTGTGCATCTTGCTAAAGGTCGAACCCAAATCACGGTATTTTCCCCCTTACGGTAATACCGTTACAACATAACGTTGTTTGCTAAGGGTGTCCATTGGAGTCAAGTTCCTGGAGTTTTCAGGAAAAACCTGGATCAGACAAAAATGTGACTTTTCCGGGTGTTTGCTTGAAATCCCCAGGATCCCGGGACTATTGTTGATTTCCCGGAAAAACCGGGAGGCATATACATGCATATTCGACGAAAGTCGCAAGTGTGTAACTGCTCCTACTTCCATGTACATGTATCAATGTTTTCTAAAACGAAATCGGTCGACCTCTCCCACCCCATAACGAAAATATTTCATTGTGTGTGTATGTGTGTGTGTGTGTGTGTGTGTGTGTGTGTGTGTATCCGTGTGTGTATCCGTGTGTATCCGTGTGTATCCGTGTGCATCCACTCTCCGCCATTCGCAGTGGGCTGGTAACCCCTCGGATGTGTATCTCTTTCGCGACGACGCGACCTGAGTCATGTGTCGGGGAGCAGAAGCGGAGAGGCGAAGGAGTCGTTATCTCCGTTTCTGCTCCTGACAATGACTCTGGCTCCTTTCGGAGTGGTGCGGCCTTGCAAGCCTTGCCTGTTGAATGGTGTAATCCCAGCACAAGTTGCTATGTCTAACATAGCTGTTCGCTATCATCGCTTCCGCGATGGGCCGGTCTGAAGTGTGTGTGTGTGTGTGTGTATGTGTGTGTGTGTATGTGTGTGTGTGTGTGTGTATGTGTGTGTGTGTATGTGTGTGTGGTGTATGTGTGTGTGTGTGTGTGTATGTGTGTGTGGTGTATGTGTGTGTGGTGTGTGTATGTGTATGTGTATGTGTCTGTATGTTGGTACTGGTGTACAGGTAGCTTTTGGCGCACTGGTCATACTTCCTATTCGCCTGACGTTAGTCCTGCTCCTAGTACTACCAGTCACCATACTGTGTAAGCTAGTGGCGGTGACTATGCCGACCAGTGCCGAAGGAATCAAGTATCACTTGCCATGGCAACGGTAAGAGCTATGAGTACAGGATCAATTTACTTTGCCTTGTAGGCCCAGGTGAGCTTGGCTTTGAGAATCATGGCCTTTTCACTGTATCAGGTTTGACCTACCATGTTTGTACCAAGCTGCCATGTCAGCTAATGACGAACTGCCCTGTTGCTTATTGAATTTTTGTTTGGACTTGCTATACGCGCGTGTGCAAAACATTTCAGGTCACAGTTACACGTTGACCGGCGCTACAGCCACAGCTATAACTGGCCTTTAGGAATGTTATAGTTTTATTACAGTGCTGGCGGTGTGTACCGTATTTCCACAAATAGTAGGCCGGTCTACTATTTTTTCAACCTCGTCCTGAATCGGCCTTATAACCGAGGACGGTCTTTTATTCTTTCAACCCAGTTTGACCCCGGTCTTCTATTTCTCGCCACACAGTTTGAGCACGGTCTTCTATTTTTAACACAAGAACAAAGACTCATTTAGTAGGCCCGGTCTTCTAATCGGAGACGGTCTTTTATTTTTTCAATCGCCCCTGCCCCGGCCTTGTATACGAGGAAGGCGTTGTATACGAGGACGGCCTTTTATTTGCGGAAATACGGTATATTGTTCAAGAACATCTGCAACTTATACCGTGGGCTCGATGAACAGATTTCTTGTGACTCGGGCGGCATTGGGGATGGATCTGTATGGTTCTGGGGGTTTGCGTGATATCTCTCTCGACGTGTCTGGCAAGTTGTGATCCCAAGTCCGTATGCATGTTCAAAAGTCGGATTGCAACACTGCTTGTGCATAGCTGTGACCTTGTTCATTTTCTTTCTTTTCTTCTGAACTCAGGCTTCTCGTGAAGGTCGCATTATCGAATATATGCGGGCGTCTAATGCTATGGTCGTTTGGCTTCCCCTGGCTTCGTACCATTGGCAAGCAGGCAAGCTTTGACGAAGCACCCATTGTCGTCGGCAGCCCGCACACGTCCATTTTCGACGCCTTTGTGCTTGGTTACCACGTTGCAGGTTCCTACGTGTCCCTGGAAAGCAATCGCAAATACCTGCTGCTGGGAGGTAGGTCTGTGCTATTCATGCTAGTCTAGCAATCCACTATGTCCTCTGCTGTACGTGCAACTCCATTGAGCTTCGCTACATGTCGTGTTCAGTAATACATGAATAGCCTTGAAGCTGGAAAAAGGGAAAATCCCATGGATCCAACTGCTCACTCATAACGTCTTTGGGGGTATTTTGATACAGCAGTAGATCATGTGATACTCTACCCCTGGCTTGTTTTGCTTTTACATGATTCACACTGTGCACAGATCTCTTGACAGCGACAGAGACAATCTGGGTGAATGAAAAGAACACGGAAGACAGCGTGGCGGAGTTCCGCAAGCGTCTCAAGTCCGACAGGCAGTCGTCGCCGATCGTCTTCTTTCCGGAAGGTGAGAGTGGATGGTCGGGCGTATTGTCATTGCTTGCCGGTGGCACACTCAGTGGAGACTGGGTAAGCCTGGCTCAACCAGTCAACGAACCTACTTCCAATGCAGACTTGAGTTGTATGCACAATGCATGGCGGCAAGCAAATTGCAATCCAACAAATGCTTCTGAGTGCCGTGAGTCGGAGCAGAGGAGACAAACTTTCCGCTTAGCTAAGTACTGGGTGCTGTTTGAATACGTGGAACCTGACACAACAATGCCCAATGGCCTGATTAACCTGTCACACCCTATTTCCTTATGGGAGACGATAGGATGACTAAAATCTGCAAAGTTCACTACGCGACCCCATATCTGTCCTGGCCAAGATTTGCATCCATTCCTGATCAGGGAGAACACAATGCATGAAGCTACAAGTAAACAACATTGGCAGTTTGGGCGTCTTCCGTTGTGTCTGCTCATCACTTTGCGCAAGCGGTTTTATATTCCTTTTCGTATTACTGTAGCATCTACTCTAGCCTTCTATAGTCTGCATAGCAGCATGTTGAGGAATTGTGTGTGTGTGTATAATTATGTGTGTGTATGTGTGTGTGCGTGTGCGTATGTGTGTGTGTGTGTGTGTGTGTGTGTTGTTCGTGTGTTTGTGCTATCCATGTTATATGTGTATGAGTGTGTTTTGTGGTACTCGTGTGTTTTTTTTCTTCCATTTTGCGAGTTTGTGTTAATCGTGTTTTTGTGTTGTGTTGTGTGCACGTGTATTGTTTCGTACAGGCACTGTTCATGGTCCAGGCGTTCTAACAGAATTCAAGCTAGGTGAGAGATGACTCTGTGCAGCTGTGCTGGCTCCAGTACCCATACATGTACATGATTGTACCAGTATACCACCAGGTATAGATGAACACTTATGTATCCTGTGTAGAGTAACAGCAAGAGTATATCAACCAGTGTGTGCAACTCCGCATCTATGCTGCATACAACCACGCCATGGCAAAGGTTTTGTTTAGCTCATCGGAAGTCATGGGATACTCCATCGCGCCGTAGTGTCATCACCGCGTTAATAAAGTGATAGCGGGAAATTTGCATTCACTTTTCCCCTTTCGTACCACAAGCAGCAATGCGCAACAGACATCACGTTGGTGGTATGGTAAACGACTTTGTAAACCGGTGTGAGATGCAGCAATTGCAAACGCGAGCCACTATGACCTAAATTGTTTCGTTGTGGCCTCTTTCTCCGGGAGTTGCATACTCTGGTCCATGTACTCTCCCGCCATTGTCATTGCCAGACATCCTTGGAAATTTTCCTATCATTGATATGGCAGAATTCAAATTCATCCAGGAAGACATGTTCGATCCGGGTTATAATATGCATATCAAATTGATCAGGATGCGGACACCATCGACATGTTTGAGAGGGGTTTTAGGCTGATAATAGAGAAGTTCCGGGTACGATTTTCCGTGCCAAAATCCGTATGGGCTCCACGGATTTTTTCAAGGCGTTCTCCATACGATTTTTCGGCACGGATTCTGGACTGGCTTTCATACGAACCATGTTTCGCATGGAGATTTTGCATCATCGGGTGCAGAACGATTTTTCGCGTACAAATTTGGTACGAGAAACATCGATTTTCGACGGGAAGTTTTGATTTCGGTACAAATTTTCAAAATAAAAAGGCATAGCGCGGGAATGTGACGTGTTTGCAATCGTAACCTAGGCAATGACGGCAAACACATAAGTTCCGTACTCCGGAACATTTCACTGCTCGAAAACAACGTATAAAAAATCCGTAGCGCCTCTACGGATTTTGGCACGAAAAACCGTACTCCGGAACCTCTCTAATACCTTTAAATCCACCAAAAAAGGTCCACAGCATCTGCGTTTTGACATACATATTGTGTTGTCGGTTCATGTTTGGATATTTAGAATCTCCGGATAATTAGAAGTTTACTGGCATTTTGAGGTTCGAATTATCAGGATTCAACCTGTATGTGGGGAATCGAGCTCTTGCTTGATATGAATTGCTCTCCTTGATTTCCCTGATCAGCTACAAGAAACGGATAAATGCCAAAAGAAGGGCTCTCCCTTTTTCAATATCAATCTGAATGAATGTAAGGAAAGGTTGGTATCCGTCAGTATCTAGTCTTGTGTTGTTCAACTGTTTACTATGTGGTGTTCATGGCGTGCACATGTGGGTGTGTGGGTGTCTGTCTGTCTGTGCGTGTCTGTGCGTGTGTGTGTGTGTGTTTGCTTTAATCTTTGCGTACTGTTAGGTGCATTCAAGTATGGCTTGCCTGTTCAACCTGTGTTCCTCCATTTTGACACTGAGGTAAGCAGTTGAGCAGAAACAAGAAAGATAGTGAATCGTGTGTCGCAGCCACAGGTGTCGCAAAAAGTGTGAACAGACCAAACCAGTAAGCGGAGGAAAAGATCAACCGGGCAAAGGTCAGCGGGGAAAGCATGCGTGGGCTGGTATGCGTGCGGGAAGATGTGTGTGTGTGTGTGTGTGTGTGTGTGTGTGTTTGTGTGTGTGTGTGTGTGGGGGGGGGGGGTGGGTGGGTGGGTGTGTGTGTGTGTATGTGTGTGCGCGCACGCACACGGTAATATTTTGGTGCTTTGGGGGGAGGCAGGCACAGTGGGATGGTCTAAGACCATGATTGAGAAACAGAGGGTACCAGGTTCAAGTCCTGCTTGGAAGCGGAAGGATTTTTTCCAGCCGTGCTGCGACCCACAGTTAATTGGGAACTCGTGGCCTGGTACGAGGGAAACATGGATGCAGTGAATGGGATTTTCGGTCTTTGACCACTTTGTGGTGGGTCTGATCTACTCACCTCCCACCGCTTAGGAGCTGCATCTGCGCCTTGATCCAAGAGGGTGGTGGCGTTCCTGCGGATGCGGAAAACTGGGCCTTTGGCCGAGTCTCACGCGAACCGTGAATTTTGGGGGGGGGGGGGGGGGGGGGCTATGGGTACGTACGACACTTTGTACTTCGAGTAGTAAAATTAATGGCTGCATGTGGTATTGCATGCGTCCGTGCATGTGTGTATGCGTGCGTGCGTGTACATACATTCCGTTTGTTAACTGCAGCCAGGCTGGATATTCTGGTCCTATTACCGTTCAATGTGAGTGCAGGCATAGAGTTGGTTTGGTTTTGTAATAGGGAGGTTCGCAGAGGCAAAGAAAGAATGTTCATAGCATGTGTGCGTACGCGCACGCACACACACACACACACACACGCACACACACGCACACACACACACACACGCACATGCACACACACACACAGGTGCACGCGCACACACACGTCCACATTGTAGAAATCCTAGGAAGAGCAAGTCTCACTTGGAGGGATGACAGACCAGATGCAAAGCATTAATGGCCTGATGCAAAACAAAATTTGTATTGCCGGGTGAGCTGTTGGCAAATTCTCAGGAAAGGGAGAGACAGAGACAGAAAATTAATAGGATCATACCGCCCATGTTTTATCTAGGATCAAGGCAAGGCTGGCCAATGCATGTATGTCTGGTGCAATAGCTAGCGGCCAAAACAGACATTTTCGGTCCCAGAAGCTGCACTATGTCCTAAGTATTGTACGGGATTGCAAGCCACCAACACCAACTGAACGTTCATGAAATAGCAGCGCGCCGGCACCTTGTATGACTAAATGTCAATGATGTCCTTTAAAATGGACAAATTAGTTGGTGTGCACCAGATTTTTAAGAACTCAGATGGTGAGCCAAGGAAAAAATGGTAACATGGAAAAATGTGGGCACAAGTTATGCGATTGAGTCCACCAACTAAACCGGATTTTGAAGAGATTTTCATGATGTGGAATGTCTCAGTACTCCTTATCAGTTTTGTGCTAGATTGTGCACATCTGACTCTTCAAAATCTGGTTTAGTTGGTGGACTCGATCGCATAACTTGTGCCCGCATTTTTCCACGACGATTGGGTGGAGGGCCAGTCCAGTGACGGTACGGTGCGTGGCGGGGCATGGTCGGCATAATAAGGCGGTGCGGTGGGAGAACGTCGGCGTCAAAGTATCGGTGTCTCGTCGGGCGTATCGTCGGGCGTATCGTTCGTGGTCGTTGTCGAGGCTGCGGGCGTGGTCGTTGTCGAGGTTGCGGGCGTGGTCATCGGAGCGGTGGTCGGTAAGTGCGGATATTCAGGCGCTGGCGAATAGCCGTTATTAGTTCCTCTGCCGATGGAGGGCGCGGTGGGATAATAAGGTGGCGACGCGCGGCGTCCAGGCGCGCCGGCCTGACTAGTCCGGGCGTCGGTGGTGGAGATGGAAGTATGGGCGTCCGCGGCGACGGCGGCGACGGTGCTTGCCGCACCCAGTCATTGAATTCCGGCGGCGTCCCCCATGGTGAGATATCCCATGGCTCTAGCATGGCGCAATTCGGATGCGGCGGCGGCGTTTGGGGCGGAGGTGGAGGCGGAGGAGACGAGGGCGGCGAATTCGGCGGAAGCGGAAGCAAGAGGGCTGCTGCCATTTCTTCATCAGGCGAAAGAGACATACTCGCTATCATGGTGTGATGAGTGAAGCCCCACACCCAGGACGAGAACAACGAAGCAAAACAACCGACCACACACACCAAACAAACCAACACCGAATTAAAGGACACTTATCGGTAAAGAATATTATATTAAGTCGGAGGGCGAGAACGAGTATTGTACGTGTGTGTAGGTGCAGCAAGTGTTGGTCGCGGAGGCGCAGCAAGAGTTGTTCGTGTAGGCGCAGCAAGCGGTGTTCGTGCAGCAGGTCCCATTTGTGTCAAACATTTCCGAAGGCGATTTCGATGGACTGTGCAAGGCCGATGGCGGATAGGACTCTCAAATCGAGGTTCAATCGCATACGTAACGTCTGTCGGTTTCTTTACAATTTCCCAAGGTCCCGACCAATATTTGAAAAATTTAGGCGAAACTTGAGGCGGCGGATGTCGATGTAACCAAACTCGGTCACCTACATTCAATGGACTAGCGCGAGATTTTCGATCGTGACGGATTTTGGAACAACGTTGACTAGAATCGAGATGTTGTCGAACCAAATCGTAGGAGGAACGCAACTTTGAAACATGTTCATTCGCAAAAGATTCGTGCGTTTCAGGAAGTGAGTCGGCAGGCGGAGGACACAAAATATCGAGAGGCATGTGTGCCTCGCGACCAAACATTAAAGAATACGGCGTAAAATTCGTAGACGCGTGAACACTTGTATTGTACGCTAACATCGTCGAAGGAAGTAGCTCGTCCCAATTCGAATTGGCCTCATCAACAAAAATCTTCAAAACATTCTGGATCGTTCTATTCGCTCTCTCAACAACACCATCGCCCTGCGGATGATACGGAGTCGTTCGTGATTTATCAATGTCAAGACGTAGGCATAGCTCGCGAAACAATAGTGATTCGAACTGCTTACCCTCCCAGAACAGAAAAAAAAAAAAGAAAAAAAGAACAATATGCCGTCGTCCTTTAAGGTGTATTGGGTCTGACAAGAAAAAGAGAGGCCAGTTTCCATAGGGGTTGATGGTAGAGCCAGGGTTTTCGCTATTCAGGGCCTGGTTATCGATCATAAACTTTCGATTACTGGCCGCGCCGTCGCAGCAACAAACTTGTACTCTGAACCCATAATTGTGGAGCTGCTCCACACCAGTCCAGAACATCTCGTTGATCGAACTAGAGCTTGGTGAATTGGTATGAAAGTATGCACATGGAAAATTGAAAGTAGAGAATAAGGATTTGAAATGGAACTGCATCACATGTGTCGCGACAAGTTTCTCATTGCTGCCTGTGTGATCGTCAACCACTGTTTCCTCGCTGTCCACAAACCCAATTAAGTCGTTGGTACTACAGTCCCAGATGAGTCCCTCCTTGATTTTGATCGCTTGTTTCCGTCGACGGTGGAAGGATACAGTGATGAGCGACCTCAAGTTTGCACTGCAGCAGCCATCTCAGCGGTTCAACCTTGCTCAGGACCGCCAACAGGGGAGGGAAGTGCGGGTTGCCCCCCAGTCGAGCTCCACCATACCCAAGTCTGTGCATTGCGCAGTGTGTGACCAGAACTTCTCACGGGTCTCCGATAGGACGGGGCACAAGTGCACCAGTCAGAGATAGCTTCCATCCAGCTCCAGCGTGGGTCAGTGCAGTGCCAGAACTGCCAGAGGTGGTTCCGTAGCAAGGGTAAGTATTCTGTCCATCGATGTCAGCCAGTCGCAAGTTTCCTACACCAACAGTCAGTCTGTCTGTGCCGCTTTCAGCTTGTTGCCAGCAGCACTGCCCAACATGCCAGCGATGCTTCCGTTCTGCGGCCGGGTTCAAGCATCGCAACTGCAATCGTGGTGCGAGACTATCTGCTGCTGAGAGAGCAACTCTGTCCCTCAGCTGCCCTCGAAGGATTCATTGCAATTACATACCAGTATAAAAACCGAGGCGATGCCGAGGTTTTTATAACTGGTATGTAATCGCAATAAATCCTGAGGCTACTACATTTTCAAAGGATCAGTCAGGGAAGTGAACTGCCTGAAAAGAGAAAAAATCGCCAGACCCACCAGGACTCGAACCCGGGACCTTGCTTGTCATGAGCAATGCTCTAACCACTGAGCTATGGGCAGTTCACTTCCCCGACTGATCCTTTGAATTTGACATTCTCCCAATCCTTTCAAAGCACCACTAAGGCCAATAAATACTGTTTATAAAATACTCCTTTTTAGGGAAAAGTGCAGTGGTATTTATTTGAATTTGACACTGTTGATGGTGTGGTCACTATTCTAAATGAGTGTGGGTATTTATCAAAGGTCAATATATTATATACGTACGGGCTACCCTACAGCCATTGTCGCATGTGTAGGCCTCACGTGCATGTGAACACATCACGTAGATCAGATAGCAACAGAAGAAATGTGTAGAAAAAAGATGAGTAAACAAACCCGATTGTGCCAAAATGGCTGTGATGCCGGTGATATTGGTGATACCGGTGATATTGGTGATACCGGTGATATTGGTGATATTGGTGATACCGGTGATATTGGTGATATTGGTGATACCGGTGATATTGGTGATACCGGTATTCAACAAGTCAGAATACAGGTACACAACTTCACACGTAAGCCTGTCGTGTATAGAAGCCTGTCTCATATACATGTAGAAGCCTGCGAAATTTCCCCCAAAAAGTCGTATAAGCCGCGGCTTTTATACAAGACTTTACGGTGCCCAGTTTGAGGTTCGAATGATCATAAATGATTACCGAAATCGTATTGATAGAAATTGGTCCCGGAAGAAACTTCTAATTAAAGGGGAAGTATACCCTAAAATCAAATTTTCACCAGTTGTAGTCTTCGGGGTGCTGAGTCGAATGGTCTTGGTCCGAGGAAGCTGCGACGCTCCCTTCCTACTTGAATCCCAATCGAACTCGCGCACTTCCACCGAAACTGGGTGACTGCGCCCTACTAGATGGGGATTTGTATGCAAAATCTCACTAAAAGCGCCATTTCGTTCTTATAAAAGCACGGATGACCGCGATTGGCCCATATGTTGTAGTCTTTTGGACGCTGAGTCGACTGGTTTTGGTCCGAAAAGGCTGCGATGCAGCGTTCCTCCTTTATTCCCAATCGAACATGGTTGAACACGCGGTCACGTGCTCCTGGGTGCCCAAATCACCTGGTCACCGCGCCAGCAGGCGACAACTTTCACACCAAGGTTCAACTCGAGTTCAACTCGAGTGACAGGAGTGCACCCAAAAAAGGTCAAACAGGCTAGTAAGTTGTACCCTGCAGGCACGGTGACCAGGTGACTGGTGTACGCAGGAGCACGTGACCGCTTCTTCAACCATGTTCGATTGGGAATAAAGGAGGAACGCTACATCGCAGCCTTTTCGGACCAAAACCAGTCGACTCAGCGTCCAAAAGACTACAACATATGGGCCAATCGCGGTCATCCGTGCTTTTATAAGAACGAAATGGCGCTTTTAGTGAGATTTTGCATACAAATCCCCATCTAGTAGGGCGCAGTCACCCAGTTTCGGTGGAAGTGCGTGAGTTCGATTGGGATTCAAGTAGGAAGGGAGCGTCTCAGCTTCCTCGGACCAAGACCATTCGACTCAGCACCCCGAAGACTACAACTGGTGAAAATTTGATTTTAGGGTATACTTCCCCTTTAAGCAGTATGTACTATTATAGAAAATCTAAGTTAGAGAAATAACACTAAGAGCAACAACAGTGAAATTTACAAGTGTGAATTTAAACAATCAAAGCGAGAAATGAACAAAGGAGAAAGGAAGGAAAGACAACGTGATAACACATAACAGCAGTACATTACACCTAGAACATTAACGGCTGCTGTTATGTGTTATCACGTTGTCTTTCCTTCCTTTCTCCTTTGTTCATTTCTCGCTTTGATTGTTAAAATTCACACTTGTAAATTTCACTGTTGTTGCTCTTAGTGTTATTTCTCTAAGCAGTATGTTATAATTTTAATTATGGCTTTAAAAAGTAGTAAAGTGTGTGTGTGTCTGTGTGTGTGTGTGTGTGCGTGCGTGTGTGCGTGGTGTGTGCATGTGCTTTGTCCAGTCCGGCAGCTTTGCTTCAGACAATGAGTATACTGTACAACCCAATTACTCTTCAGGTAAGCTCTATGCATGCAAGGGTGGGTTAGGTACACCGGAATATGCTTCTAGAACAAAGTCAGCCCCAGCTCTCTGGTTCCCATGCAGGTCCCTACCGGGGTACCTGCCCTCAGGTCACTACCCCTGGGTACCTGCCCTCAGGTCACTACCCCGGGGTACCTGCACTCAGGTCACTACCCCGGGGTACCTGCACTCACGTCCCTACCCTGGGGTACCTGCACTCAGGTCACTACCGGGGCACCTGCACTCAGGTCACTATCGGGCTGCTCACCCCAGTCCACGAACGAAACCCTTTTTCCCACTTTCATCCCCACAAACTGATGAATACTTGATGCATTGGAGCTTTCCCCCCCCCCCCCCTCATACTAGTTTGCATGTTAAGTGTGTGGGTGTAGAGAAGGATGTGCTCCATCATCCTGTGTGGTTTCACAGGAAGTGTCAGCTTCAAAATCAGAAGAAAATGTTGAAAGGTCTCTGCTGGGATGACAGCCACACCATAGCTCAATGGTTGGAGCATCACTAGCGTATAGTGAAGGTCCCTGGTTCGAGTCCTGGTGGCGACGATCGATTTTTCTCCAGACTTCTCCCTTTTCATTTCCTCGAATTGATCCGTAACAATAGCTTTGAAATTCCTCAGTCCATGAACATTTGAGGGTAAAAATAATACAGGATAAGATAGAAAATGCACCTGGGAAGAACATTGATTTTGTCGGAAATGGTCACATCCATCCACTGAGTAACCCTTCCAAATTATTACAATTTTCAAAAATGTTTGCACAATTTCTAGAAATAATTATGATATACCTTACAACACACAGTGCATTGTGTGTCTGTGTGTGTGTGTGTGTGTGTGTCTGTGTGTGTGTCTGTGTGTCTGTGTGTCTGTGTGTCTGTGTGTGTGTGTGTGTGTGTGTGTGTGTGTGTGTGTGTGTGTGTGTGTGTGTGTGTGTGTGTGTGTGTGTGTGTGTGTGTGTGTGTGTGTGTGTGTGTGTGTGTGTGTGTGTGTGTGTGTGTGTGTGTGTGTGTGCATGTGCAGTTTCTGCCCGTATACAAGCCTTCTGAAGCGGTAAGCAACCATGTCTATGCAGTGGTTCTACAAACGCACCAAAGACATCTTGTAACTAGCTTCGTTTACAACAAATCACAAGTGTGTGGGAATACAGAGAACGACAGAGAGATCAAAGGAAAAGCCAGGCAGGCAGGTACAGCTACAGTGCGTACGGTACAACTGGCATGCCGTGCAGCGCGGCCGGATGAATGCATACATGACATGTCACATAAAAGGATACAATGACAAACAGTGGGATGTGCATCCACTACATCTCCCCTCTGAGATTAAACAGGCTATAATAGAGAAGATGAGAAGTACAAAGACTATTCGATAATGTAGGTATTGTTTGTAGAGCAAGTGGCAGTGAATGAGTGATGTGCAGAGACGACGGCAGATACGTCTCGGCACGTTGCTAAATTAGCATGATTCAATGAGGCGGTTGACAGGCTAAGCAGCTCTAGCAGAGCGACGGACTGGATCAGCTGCTGTGCCACCATACTCAACTTCGACTGTCGGCTTCTCTGCTTCTGGTAGTGGCAGTCGGATCAAGTGACGACGATTGCGGTGAACAGTAGAGTGACCAGACTCAACGAGGTAAGAACGATTGGACACTTGCTCTACTATCTTGCCCTCCCGTTCAAGATCGGTGATGAATATACGGTCATGAAGCTGTAGAGTCGCGAGAGGCTTAGCTGCATGCCATTGGTCGTAGTGGAACTTCTGCTGCTCCTGGGACTGAGTCTCCGAGTCCAGAATACTAGGGAGATCTGGCCATTTCGGTTCCAGCTGCTCAGTCATTGCAGGTAGACCGGTACGGAGCTGGCAGCCATACAACAGCTGACATGGAGCATAGCCGTTGTTCAGCGGTGTCGTGCGGTAAGCCAAGAGTGCATCTTGCAGGCTTTCGGCCTTCCGCAGGAGATTCTTTGCGGTGCGAACTGCACGTTCCGCTTCGCCATTCGACTGGGGATACCATAGACTGGAAGTGCGATGAGTGATGTCGTTTGCTGTGCAGAACTCAGTGAACGCTTCGCTGGCAAACTGAGGACCGTTGTCTGTGACCAAGGTGGACGGGAAACCATGCTCGGCACAGATGCAGTGCAGATGCTTGATGACAGCAATCGAGGTTGTGCCAGTCAGCGGTACGACATCGAGGTAACGCGAGAGATAGTCAACGATGACGAGGTAAGTCGTGCCATTGAATTCCATCAGCTCTGCATCAACCATGTGCCACGGCAGTGTTGGGCGTTGGACGGGTTGCAGTGGTTCGGTCGACTGGACGCGGTGTTTGGTGCACACTTCACACGTAGCGACCATTGTGTCGATTTGCCTTGACAAGCCTGGCCACCCTAATGGAACGGCGGGCGCGAGACTTGCACTTCATTGCACCTTGATGTCCCTCGTGGAGCTTCTCGAGCATCTCAGGCTGCAGAGAGGGTGGCATGACAATGCGGAAACCATGGTACAGAGCACCTTGCTCACAGGACAGTAACTGGCGTTCATGGACGCACAGTGTCGTCGACATCACGTGGGTTGCACGGCCATCCGTGTTGGACGAAGTGGAGGACTTGCTTGAGCGTCTCATCTTATGTGGTGGCGTCAGCAATGTCACGGGATTTACCATCCGACACGATCTCACCGATGTAAGATGTGAGGTTGATGCTGATCTCGTCTTGGAGACTAGGCGTGTCGTCACAGGCGAGCGGAGCGCGGGATAGAGCATCGGCGACAACTAGCTCTTTGCCAGGGACACACACGGCGGCTGGATTGTACGTAAGCAGGCGCATCAGGAGGCGTTGACATCGCATCGGGACACGGTTCAAATCACGCGTATTGATCAGCGGGATGAGTGGTTTGTGATCCGTCTGGACAGTGAGGGACGAGTTGCCGTAAATGTAGCCGTGTAATCGCTCACAAGCCCAGACAACAGCCAAGCACTCCTTCTCGATCTGCGCGTACTGTTGCTCAGTAGTGGTGAGGCTGCGTGAGGCAAATGCAATGAGGTGCATTCCGTCGTCGTGCTCCTGCAATAGGACAGCTCCCAAGCTGTAACTGCTGGCATCAGCGCTGATGACCGTGGGCTTGGTTGGTTAAAAGAACGCGAGGCAGGGCGCATTGGTGGCAAGGTGTTTGAGCTTGTCCAGGGCCTGTTGTTGTGTAGCAGACCACTCCCATGCGGTGTCATGCCCCAGTAGAAGACACAGTGGAGCGCTGACTTCCGAGAGATTGGGAATGAAGCGTGACATGAACGCGAACATGCCGAGAATGCGCTTCAGTTCCGTGACGTTCTTGGGCGGCTTCAGATTAGCGACGCTGGACACTCTCGCTGGGTCAGGGTGGAGACCTTTGGCAGAGAAGATGTGACCAAGGAACTTCACTTCGGCCTGACGCTTGTGACATTTCGTCATGTTCAGCATGACATTGGCTTTCTGCAGGATGTCTAGTATGGCAGCTAGGTTACGGTCGTGTTCTTCTCGTGTACGGCCAGGGACAATGATATTGTCCATGTAGACGAACATCCCGGGGAGCTGGTCCAGAAGGATGGTGAGACGCTTCTGGAAGATCTCAGGTGCTGATGTGATGCCGTAGTGGTTCTACAAATGCACCAAAGACATCTTGTAACTAGCTTAGTTTACAACAAATCACAAGTGTGTGGGAATACAGAGAACGACAGAGAGATCAAAGGAAAAGCCAGGCAGGCAGGTACAGCTACAGTGCGTACGGTACAACTGGCATGCCGTGCAGCGCGGCCGGATGAATGCATAAATGTCACATAAAAGGATACAATGACAAACAGTGGGATGTGCAATCACCACAGTCTAGACGTTGTGTGTTGCTATATGATGCATGCTGCCTGCTCCTCGGCGTTGCTGAATGGAATTAGCTGAAAAGCTCATGAATAAACTTACTTGAAGTGTCATGACACTCGTTTTTGTGAGTGCTTCTGCAACCTGCCCTTTGCGCAATCTCCGAACTCAATGTCGTCTAATTCGGTGTGTGTTCCCCGTGAAGTGTGTATCTGTGTGTGCATTTTCTTTCGCCTGTTGGTATGCAGGAAAAGCAAGATCCACAGCTCTACGCTAGGAACTTTCAGAGAACCATTGCCGAGTAAGTAGTGCACTAGCTCACAAGTTGTTAGCTGAAGCAACATACAGTATGTAGAGTATGTAGAGTGGGGCTGTCATCCACCTCTGTGCATACTCACTTTCTACCAGCACCACACTATACTCAGCAACACACACACACACACACACACACACACACACACACACACACACACACACACACACACACACCGGTTTGGCACCTCAGAGCTTTCATCATTAAAGCGTTCCCTTTTCTCTTTCTTGTTTTGTTTCCCTTGCGACAGGCAAATGGACCATGAAGTATCCCTTCACAGTCGTCAGGATATGCACCTGACTGGCTTTGCTGTAGACTATGGATTGCCAGCGTGGGTAGGCAATGTGGAGTATGTTCTCATGCGAGACACTTTCCGGTGAGCCCCCTCCCCTCCTGTTCACTATTGCTCCTGAGAGGGCTAATGCAGTGTTCTTCTCTTTACCCACCATCACAAGTTCACAACCCATATCAAGAGTACATAACCCCCAGAGTGTGCAACGCCTGATCCAGCTCTACATAGGGTCTTGGTCGAGCGTAATCGGATCTTCTGATGTCATGCGTACACTCTATACCAGCGCAAGGCCGGTCTCGAGGCAGGGCACCATTGTTTTTGATCCGAGAGTACCCGCGACTCCCCGGGTTCCTCTCAGATGTGTATATTATGACGCAAAGATCCGATTACGCTCGACCAAGACCCTATGCAGAGCTGGATCAGGCGTTGCACACTCTGGGGGTTATGTACTCTTGCCGGTATACAGTCAACTTCGCCAATAACGACATTCGGCGGGGCATCAGAAAAGTGTCCTTATTCGCGAAGTGTCCTTATAACCGAAGTCCCATTTGAATGTATGTGAACCCATATTTTGTATAGTATGACATGCATATCAAAATCAAGCTTTTTTCTTGCTCTATGTCAATATGTGTACTTTATTTTCATATTGCAGTTGAAAGGAACTAAAAATTCAATATGCAAGGGAAATCAATTGAAAAATATGCCTTTTTGAGCCATCTACAGGGCCAGAGACATGTACATGTATGATGATTACTGTACAATCTTGTACAACTACATGTACATTGTATACATATACATGTAGGTGTGCTGGTAAATCCAACAATTTTGAAGCCAACATAAAAAAGGAAGAAAAAGCCCCCCCCCCCCCCCCGGCCCCCTTGGCTGCATTTTCTTGCATGTGTGCCTTTATTAATATCCATCACCGCCACCGGTGCACCATAGGTTCTGGTACTTCTGCATGACAGGTACATGTACTTGACTGACAGGTACTTGAAATAGCTGTCAAAAGCCCAGAAAGTCGTTATTCAAGCAGTGAATATGACCTCGGGGCACTAAAAGCATGTCGCTATACGCGAATTGTCGTTATTCAGATAGTCGTTATATCCGAAGTAAAATGTATACAGTTAGATGGGACTTTGCTCTGGGCATGGAAATTCGGTCGTTATTCGCGAATTGTCGTTATATCCGCAGTCGTTATTAGCGAAGTTGACTGTATAAGGTCCATTATCGTGTTCCTGAAGTCTTGCCAAGCAAGTCCAGAGCTACATGTATTTGCTCTGACTGAAATGTTGCAACATATTGAGGATTCCATACTGAGTAGTGGTTGAAGGTATAGCCAAGGACTGTGCTTGGATTAGAGGTGGAGGGTATAGCCAAGGACTGTGCTTGGATTAGAGGTTGAAGGTATAGCCAAGGACTGTGCTTGGATTAGAGGTTGAAGGTATAGCCAAGGACTGTGCTTGGATTAGAGGTGGAGGGTCGCAGCTGACCCTAAGCCGTGATGTGCCGGGATACGCACAGTTGTTAGGGAGGTAGAACACTGGTAGCATTACTCGTGTGAATTTTCCAGCGCACGTGTATGCACATGTATATGTGCTATTCTTGCAGGCTGAATCTGAATCAGTTGAAGATTCTGCTAAAGCGATTTGCAGCGCTCGACTCCGATAAAGACGGATTCATCACGTGTGAAGATTTCACCGCTGACTTGAAATGGCCGGCAAGAGAGGGCGTTTCCGAATTCTTCAGGATCTGTGACACGGTATGTCTAACCCTTACAAGACACCTGGTTTCTCTTTGCCTTTCTTTTGCCCTGCTGTGCACAATATAGCCAAACATGTACACTCTTTAAAAGATGGGATGCTGTCCCATGGTGTGTTATTTCAGAACAGGAACACTTGTAACTTCACCCAGTTTCACACATGTCTCTGATGTTATACTTGAAGCCAGTTGTGGCAGCTCGGGCCACTGCTCAGTACACTGCGGTGCAGAGCTAGCTGCATGTACGTAAACATGCGTACCCGATGGTTCTGGGACTTCAGTGCAGTGCGGGGATCAACGGTACACGACGGATATATTCAGGAAATGCTTTTTGTCTGAGGAAATCCTATCCACCCAACACATCTTACTCTTCTCGTATCACTCTTTAAACTCAGAAATGCACAGCCAGGCCTTAAGGTGATACAGTAGCCTACTACTGGCAGCGTGCTTTGCAGTAGTTCTGTTACAGTGCCTGTCTCTGCTCCTGTGCGAAAGACGTAGCCACGCTACACACTTGCGTGCACATGCACAGACCAGACACCCTATTCTCCATTATCAGGTTGCACTCTTCGTGGGCGAAATAATGGTGGCCTCTTTATTCGATGTAGCCAGTAGCCTGCAGTGGAGAGTGGAGTGTGTAAGATTGAGACGTTTTCTGATGCACTATACCTGTGGTTGTGTTTTGTTATCCAGGCCAGTCGAGGCAAGATTACATTTCGTGAATATGCTATTGCCTATGCTGATCTCATGCGGCCATTTGAGAACGACTCAGCCTTTGTTGATGAGGCATTTGAGGTTAGTTTGACACTGGACATACGACTTTTCTGTCTTGGATACTTCTTGCACGTGATTCTAGTGGCTTTGGAAATCTGATGCTATCTGGGGGACATGGCTCCCAAGAGTGTGTAACTTCCGGCTCTCTCTCTCTCTCTCTCTTTCTTCTCTTTCTACCTCTCTCTCTCTCTCTCTCTCTCTCTCTCTCTCTCTCTCTCTCTCTCTCTCTCTCTCTCTCTCTCTCTCTCTCTCTCTCTCTCTCTCTCTCTCTCTCTCTCTCTCTCTCTCTCTCTCTCTTTCTATCTATAATCTATCTCCATCTACCTCTCTCTCTCTATCTATCTCCCGGCTTCCCTCTGTGTGTAGCTGCCACTGTCTGGAAAGTGATCCAGTGGCATGTCACGGCCATGAAAAACCAGTTATTTTGGACAGTACAATGCTGTACTTCAGTCAGTCAACTGTCATTTGCACAGTATCACCGTCCCAGTCTGAGGCAGTTAATGTTGTTCTGCCATTGTGTTCTTCAGACGCTGACTGTCGCTGCTACGCAGGTCAGCAAGTCAGTGAAGGATGCACAGCTGTCCGTGTATCGCACGTGGCTCAAGGAGTCCGCGGCGGACGAGGAGGTGTTAAGCTCAGGTAAGTTTTTCGAATGTGTTAGAGGTGAAAGTGATTTAGACAACTCAGGTGCCTAGGTGTTCCCCCTTTTAGGGGGGGGGGGGGGGTGCACGGCTGCGTTCCGGTATGTGTAGGATACCTGGTGCATGTCATCCATAGTCATTATGTGCATGCTGAATTAACCTAGGTCGACCTTTTTAGGAGAGTGCACGTGCCCCCTGGTGCCCCATGCGGGCTACACGCCTGCAACTACATCTACACAGAAGGTGCAGCGGGATTGTGTTACACCGCTCCACCATAATGCCCTGAGCACTACTCTGTGTACGGCTGTGGTACCATTTCCCACCCATATGCCCTTACCGTGTATGACACAGGAGTGTGAAGTTGCAAGAACGAAGTCCAATTGGCTGGCGCAGAGCTTCAATTCCAATTGCATCAAAAGAATGATGTGAGTGGCCAGGGCGAAGACCTTGTTTTCTCAGATTCGAACAACTCCCTCCTTGATATTGGATCTTCTCTCTCTCTCTCTGCTTCTCTTTCGTTCACACATAGATGATTTCAAGCAGCTTGTGTCCAAGAAACCAGAACTCCTGGTCCTCGTGTCACTGCTTTCAGCCCTCTCCAAGAAGAAGTCCTAGTTGCTTTCGGGGACAAAGATGTGCAAGACTCCGCCATTACCTGACCAGTCTTTTCTTTAGCCTATTCCAAATGTCAAATCGATCTTTTCACGGCACGCCTGGAACAAGTGATGTGGTCAACATGTACATCACCGTGAATTTGTCATGTACACTGCACTCTTTGCCTCAACCGGCAAGTGCAAGTCTGAGTTCTGAGAGCTTCTGTCGCCTGCTGCCACTAAAGGTGGTCTGAAACCTAGCTGAAAACTGGAGCTGCGGCAGACTGACGTGGATCCTTCCACCAGCATAACTGGTGTAGTACCTTGCTGGCAGATGAAGGCAACCACAGTCCGTGTACTGCGAGGTTGAAACGAACTATTGACTTGCCTTCATGTTTTACTGCACCCAAAGCTTTACTGTACCTCTTATTTATAAGTTTGAGAAAGTTGAAGTAACTAGTAGTATTAGTTTGCTACACCATGTACATGTATGCTAACACGTTGCCACTAGAAACCTATCTGAATACTGGAAAGATTTTAAGTTATTTTTGCCCGCGAGATGAGACGTAGTTATATCAGTTATTATTATTATTATTATTATGTATACCATCACTTTACTATGGAGATATCGTCTACTTCCTGCTTGGTGAAGAAGCAAGAATATAATCCCTCCCTCTTCCCTGCCCTTCTAGACAACTTTTTAATGTCTACACTACTTTTTAATGTCTTTTGCACACGCGGTCATGGCATCCTGGATTGATCACGGCCAGCTGCCCAACTTGCTTTAGCACACTGCTCTATGGATGTATAACCTCCTTCCTGTCCTGCACTTCTTCCTCCAACAGTTGAATTCTCCTTTTCCCTTGCTTGCTTGAAGAATCAAACAATCACTGGAAGGAAGTTATGTCTTTTCGACTCTTTTGGTCGTTGACTGAGAGACTTCTGGCATGAATTCAAAGAAATCCAATTCAGAGTAATCCAATTCATAGCAATCCTGTTTATTATAGACCTGCATCGGTACCGGTATGTGCACCACCTGTAGAATGTTCGAATGTGGACGAAACCTGTATGTGCCCAGCAAGTTGTTGTCGTCTGAAGCCAGACTTGGCAGAATAAGGTAATTTTACTTCAGTACGACTCAATCGATGGTGTGCTGGTGACTATGAGAAACACCCAGTGTACTCTTGGTGAACTGACTTCATCTATACTTCAGGAAGGGCTGATGTGTTTTTTTAAAGGTTTTATTTTTTTTAAATATTACACGAAATAGCCACAAACCATCATGGTGCAAACGCCGGCAAAAAGCACAGGGATACACATACTGGCAGTCGAAGCAGTGGAGGCGTGGCAATAGTATATTCTTGCTGTTGCTGCCAGTACCAGGCACGATTGTACCAAGCTAGAGTCCGAAACCCACTTGGTCGTACATTGTACCTTACATTTCTGCTAAACAAGTTACTTGGGGCACCTAGTGCCACATGATCCTGTTCGCTGGTAGCGAACCTCGACTTCGTGGTATCAGCCATGCACGGCCGGTGTTGATTGTGAGGAGATTGTCTTTCACTTTTCAGTATTCGTGTGCATGCTGCGTATATTGCAGATCATCTACGAACTGAACACATGGAGCCAGAGTTCACGTTTACTTTGAATTTGCGACGGTTTCCATCCACAATTCTCAAGGTATTATGTACGCGGTGAAGCAGCGCTTTGCCCTGGGCTGGAGTGGACAGTTAGTTGGTGTACAGTACAGTACTCAGTAGCGCTCAGCCGTGATTGGGAAGATTGGAGAACAATCAAGGCGAAATCAAGGCGAAGCAGGAAGACCTGAACCACTCCTAGAAGGTGTTTCATTGCCTCTGCAATCATGACCGTTAGTTGAAGGTACCCTCAAGTCAAGACTGCTAGGTAACCATGCACATGTAGATCTACTCTTCAGTGATTATCATCAACTTCATCAAGACAAGACTGTAGTAGAGCCGGTCCATAACCCCTATTGCCACTGGTGACAAACACTGGCTGCAGAATGTACTATCGGGACGGAGTATCGCTCTTAGCTCACTGGACTCTCGTTGTAAATACTGTAGAGGATCTGAACTTGGATTGATAAGTTGGTTGCTCACACCGGAGCCCGCGCCGACTTGACTTGACACTTGATGGACTTCTCGTGTGTTCTGGATGGCAGTCACTTTGAAGTTTAGTCAAGTGTCAAGTCAGGTCGGCCGGGAAAAGCGTGAGCTCCGGTGTGGATAGCAACCAACTAATTATTATTTCGCATGAAATTATCGCCGAAGTTCGTACCACTATCTAGTATCTGCATTGTGCAGTGTATTTCGAAACGCAACTGACTTGGCGGGCCGGGTGTGTCATAATGGCATGATGAGATAGGCCCACGCAGACTGAGGCCGGAGAAGAGCTAGGATGTGCTCTTCGGAACCATACCGAGTCTGGAGGTTTCTCCGCGTGTCAATCTGCATGGGCCTATCTCATCATGCCATTATTAGTATGCATCATGTGTCCTCAGTGCAGTGTGGAGTCAGTCTGAAATTAGCCTAACACTAGTTACCACTAGGACTTCCAGAACACATCCTCTGTTGAGATGATTGGATTGGATTTGGCCAATGGCCTCTTGTAGCTAAAGATCCGATTGAGAAGTTTTCAGCCAATCAATACCTCAGTAATTAGATGCACACAGCTGGTGGCTGGCCACAGCGAAGGTGGTACCACTGCATCGCTTCGTCCACTGACGTGAGTTTAGAATGGGAAGAATTCGTTAAAGATAATAATATTATTAGTGCTGCGACATAAGCCGCTGAACCATTGAGTTTCCTCCTCCGGCACTCCTTTTCGAGTACTGCTATGGATTGCCTAGTGCATGCTGGTGCCATCCATCAGGCCTTCTATTAATTATTTCGCAATATCATAATGTACAATGTAGGTGGCGTGAACGTGCAGGCGCGACTCAAGTTAGTTCTCAATGACTTCTCATTCGACAAGATATACAGTCATGTACATTTGCTTGTATATTTGCGGTTACACACGAGAGATTGGAAGCTTTGTCACAACTCTGAGTTTCACTACGATCATTATGCGGTTACTGTGTTTTTGGTTCGGTATCACCCGTACCGGCCGTAGTCCTTTTCAGCAACACTACGCTTACATGCCGGTACTACTATTAGTCACACATTGTACCTAGTATTTGCCCGTTGACCATACATGTGCAGTGCACGTAACTCGCTAACCGTCGTATTCTTCCACATACTGTACCAGGTACTAGTAATCATTGAGCCTTTGAGGCACAGGTACATGCACATGTAGATCCACTCACTGCCCTACACGTCATGTAAATCTGTGATGTGGTTAGGTAAAGAGGACCAATGTCGACACTCGAGGTAAGAAAGCAATCACAGTGTAGTTCCGAACTTAAAACTCAATGAAAGAAGTATCCTTTGCGTTAGAAGAAGAGTTAATCACGCGATGGGAAAGTCTTAAAAACCTGAACACGACCGGTGAAAACAAGAGGGTGAAAAATGCGAACCCAAGGAGACCATGAACATACACACATGTATACACGACTTGCCTCGATCGGTGAAAGCAATACAAGCGACTGTAACAGAAGTACATGTAATTGCACACACAGTCACACATACATGTACATTACACTATTGTACACACTAGTATACCCGGAGTCGCACATCGATGGCTGACTACTTACTGAATACCGGCACTACTTCGGAAGTAGTGAAATGAATGATTGTAAGACGTATTATAAGCATCGGCCCGGCAGTTACTGAATAGTGTTAGCACTGAAGTAACATCATCGTACATTGGAGAGCCGAATGCGATCATCGTTACTCCTTTTCGGTCGTTCACATCTGTGCCAGCCACATCGTGACCCTGTTGTTGGCCAGTTTCCGGCCAAAGGTGTGATACTTATGCACCGTGTTGTATTGCGTCATGTTCCGCCAGAATTTCCTGCGGGGGGAAACAGCTCGATAGGTGTTTGACTGGCCCGGGGCCCAGTGTCTTTGCCCGCGGTGTTCCAGTATAATGATCGTGATGATGGCGCATAGCTATCCTAAGCTCTGCTGTATACGCATTCTAGTACTAGTATATCAGCACCGACACTCCGTGCACCGAACAACCCGATATTCCCCAATCAGTTACAAGGCTCTGGGAGGCGATTTCCTCAAGGGGATCACCACAGAGTTTTGAAATTACTAGAGTGTCCTCACAGAGACGTGGAGAATAAGAACAAGAACAAGACACATACACACGTAAATCCGTTTTCAATTTGGTCAACATTCTGCCATGGTCCATTGCCCATTGGACCATGGATAGCTGAGAGCTGAGGTTATGTTTAGACATCCGAACCATGCAGCTCCCGGTCCATGTACTCAGCTTTGGAAACAACAGTGGAAAGAACATACATGTACAGTAATGATCAGAAAGAGAAAAAGAAGTCAAATGAAGCCTCCGCTTGGCGACCCCATTCTCTCACTGCAGCCTTGTGGACCCCCGAAAAAGCAATACATGTATCGAAAGGTTACACCAAGCAGCTAATCACATCTTCTTTATGAACCACGTGCCTTTTAAACGAGCCAGGAATCCCCCCCCCCCCCCCAGGATTCCAGGAAACTAGGCTAGGAATCACGTGACTAAGAAACTTGAGTTACGCACGATATCCAGACTAGGGCACTTAAAGTCTTTACTTGCTCTCCGCTCTCACTACTACCAAGAGTATAACAAGCCCCCACGGAGGTTATACCCTTGCTACCACATTTACGCTCTTTCGTACAACCGACACAGCATCAAAAGCAGCTAGAGAGGTTTCAACTGGCGTAACGTCACTTCAGCCATTGTCCATCGCCCAAGCTCGCGCTTTTCCACCGACTTGACTTGACGTTTGACTGCCTCACGACTACTGTCCAGAGCACGCGAGAAGTCCATCGAACCTTCGATTCGTCCGATCCGACTGATAATTAAATGTTGCCACTGCCAATGGGTACTACATGTACATGTACATGTGTCTGACAGGACCGGCCATTACTAGCATTAGTATTATCTAAGACGTACAGGTTTCCTCCTTGTCCAACAGTACAGAATGCACATTACATGTATAGCAACACCACTACAACAAGCCGGCTAGGCCCATGACATGAGCACACTCACACTCACACTCACACATGCGCTTCAACACAGCACAGCAATGTTTCTCACGCCATCGCCATCACCATCACCTTGCACGCTATTAGCTACTTGTACATACTTTTTGGTTCTGATCTTGTTGGTGAGATAGTCTGCTACGACGGCGAGAAAATCAACTCCTTTGCAGTACGGGACGATGGCTGCATCTATTGGACTACTAGTAGTTGGAAGGAAGCCTTTGGTTCCAACAAGATAGAGCGATGGGCTTGCCAGATACATGTACCCATAGTATTTAGCAGTGATGCTTTATAGACAGTATACATGTAGTTACTCTCCTGCAACCATGTTTCAACATTGTTAGTGCTTACGTTTGGTGATTTTGTTGCAGCGTGACCGCCAACTGCCATCTTCAAAGAATTGGATTGAGTTTTTTCTTTCTTCAGATTCTTGACGTTTTGTTCATTTTTGTTGTTTTTTGGTATTGAGATTTTCTGTCATAATAATAATTATTATTATGTAAGCAAATTTGCGTTGCCCGTACAAGAGGCTTGTGACTGTAGTTACTCAAAGCCCCGCATAAGTGAATAATAGCAAGAAGTAAGTTACAAGAGAATAGCTAGAGAGATAAAGGGAAACCAAGGAGGAGTCCAGGTGCGAAAGTAAAAGGAAAGATAAGAAAGAACATTGAAAGGATCAGTCACGCAATATCGTTATTTCTCATCTTGGATAAATATTCAATTGACATCCCTACGGAACGTGATGCTTTTAGTGCTGATGTTTTTTCACTCACGTGACGATATATTTTTAACACAATGGCACAATGTTTAAGTTCATGTATTTGGGTTCACGATCATTTGTTTCAACAGTTATTTCACTGATGATGGCCAATGGCTGAAGCGTTGTAATTTCTCTAGCTGCTTCCGGTACCGTGTCAGTGGTGCGCAGGACAAGTGCTAGCAACAGAATTCCTGAGTCTGGATATGACGGTATTGAGGCTACATTTAAGTTCAGTGCTTGTCACGGACCAGAACCTCTGCAGACCTGATGCATCATTGAGGTACACGACTCTGTTCCGTTGTGGTAAGTTATACGGCAATCCATTTTTTTTAATATTCAGACGTCTGAAATCCTCAGGCAGAGCGTGTAGTGGTAGTTGCCCGCTGGACAGATCCAGCACTACAAAACTCGGAGTAACAGCGAAGAGGTACAGGGTCGCAGCATTGCAGTATGACCGGAACTATTTCAATAATCGTTTGCGTCTCGTGCTGCATTTAGTAGTGTTTGGAATCTGAAGAAAACATTCTCCAGATTGTCGATCATGTTGAAGTAACGTTTAGTAGTTGAAACACACCACTTCGTCGCATTCCCTATCAAGTACATGCTGTAGTTGAACGTAAAAGGCGTTGCTAGATCTACATGTACACGGTACATGTACATGTAGATGGCACAAGGGTGTTTCTACTGATGTACATGTACATACCACAATGAACTAAACGAATAAGCGACGTGGAGATAAAAGTTCGCTTCGGCAATGCACTACATGTGCATCTACGTGTTTGGGTATTATAAGACCAAGGTTAGTAAGTAAGACTGGGGAAGGACGTGCGTCCACTGTCAGCTATTGACACCTGTGCATGTTTGGTTTCCTCCGAAACTAAGCACAACCTAGGTTGCGGCTAGGCTAGACACCCCGCGTGCATGGCAGTCTGGTGTCTTGCTGCGCCGTACGAGCCGTACAACCAAGAAGGAAGGTCTCCCGCGGAGCGAATGATGATCTTCTGAGAGGGAAAGTTTCATCCTAACACACTTAGTGACACTTGTGCAGTGATGATGATGTTCTGTCCACCACTTGCTTTGCCCTTGCGAAAGAAACACTTGCATGAGTCGTACCAACACCAACATCCCGCCAAGTCCTGTTCACACAATGAACGTCAATGTCTGATTTTCTATGCATGCGGTTGAAATCTCTTGGGGAGGGGGGGGGGGGGAGAGAGAGAGAGAGAGAGAGAGAGGGAAAGAGAGAGAGAGACTGGATTGTAAAGGACGTCGTAGTGAGAGATTGGAGTGCTACATGCACAGGTAGTATGTGCAGTAACTATGTTACTTGAACGTGTTGCGTTCTGGTCACACAGCAAGCTCACTTACTTTATTAGTTTCTATTTAGGACACTGTCTCAGCGTGAGATCGCTGATACTGACCACATGCATACGCCAAGCTGCAGGCTGAGCTTAGACAGCAGGAGGCGGAGTTGTAATTTTTATATACTTGTATTCATAATATGGCAGTTTGCCAAACCTTTTCTAAACCTTCATAATAATGATTGTCATGTCTAGCTTAGAGCACAGTCAACCTTGCGAATATCGACGATCGACCGCGCCCAGGAATGATTATTGTTATCCAAGAGGCTGACTGTATGTCAACTTACATGCGGACATGCATCGACGTGTGTTGACTCATCAGCGCAACGCCGAGAAACAAAGCCGAGCAACCCTGATAGATAGACGGCAACCAATGACAATGTTTATCAGCTGCATGCCTGGCTCGGTGAACTGAATGTACTGGTATCCTGCCCATACCACTTTTTTTGAAGCAGCGCAGTGAACGGCCGATGCTGAAAGTGGTGCAATTGGAAGGCTCAGTTGGTAGCTAAGGATGTGTCCATATTTACCGGTTCTAACCAAAGCAAGTTATCCAGTAACTGATTTGTGCGGAGCGTTAAAGTCCCTAAGAGTAGCAGACGTTTGCAAATACATGTACTTCTGAAGTAAGTGATATTGCAACTTACAACGAAGGTCTTTGCAAACGTGTGGTCATGCCATGGTGAAAGGCGAATCGAAGTGCATCCAAAACAAAACCCCGAAAGAATCCCCAAGCATCTATCAGCTCAAGAGGTTAAACTTGCAGACTGCAAAGCTAGCAGCGGAAGCCAGTGAAGAGTTCGTTATGCCCAGGTCTTTAGGGAAGATTGAGTACAACACACAAGTGACCTGGCTTACACGTAGTACTAGTTGTAGTAGGACACGAATACCTTACGCTTCATGACCTTTGTGATACATGACTGTTACGTGTTAAATGCCCGACAAACGACTCGTGAATGTTGCTGGCAATTGGTACATTGTAGGAACCAACGGCTCACGTTCTCAAATCCTCCCAAGTAATTACAGGGACACTAGAAAAACCATCGTCGCTACTCCAAAATCGATGTGCAAACTACATCCGCACCGCGCTTTTCTTCCTGGTACCAGTGTTAGTTAGAGGGGCACACAGGTGAGCTCTGGCAAGCATTCTTTTAAAAAGCATACACGTTTATGCGTGCGTGTGCGTGTGTATATGTGCGTGTGTGTGTATATGTGCGTGTGTGTGTATGTGTGCGTGTGTGTGTATGTGTGCGTGTGTGTATTACTATTGGAGTGAACACGGCACAGTCACCGCCGCTGTTGTAACTATTACTTGTAACAACTCGCATCATGGACCCCTGGCCTCCTCGCTGCGCGTCCTTTGTTGTAGAGCAGCTGCATGAGCTGGTGAGTTCCGCGGCGGAAGTTGACAACCTCTCCTCCGTCTTCACACGACAATGGCCTCCTCTGACATGATACGTCCTAGACATCAGTGCGGACCTGTCCATGCTTGCCAGTGACGGTCACCGAAGCGGCACCGCTTGTTCGCATCGTAATCCGTTAGACGCTACATGTTCCAAACTGCCTTGCACAATACAATCATGTACATTGTGCAGTACAGTACTGTCAATACTAGCTTGTAGCAGGGATTACAATGCTTCTGTATTGACTGTACAACTAATTTACTTGCCCGTATATGCGTGTCAGGCATTATGGACGTCATGTGGGGTGAGAAGAGGGAATCGAAGACTTGGAGTCATGAGCTGGTCTGAGGCCCAGCAGGACACAGGAAGACCAGTGCTAGCAGTGGAAGCACTTCACCAAGAATGCACACCAGCAGCATCATGTGATCGGGAAGAAACCAAGATTAGCTCAGTATGTGAGAGGACACACAGGCAACAGAGCCAGTGCCAGTGGGCAAGCCTCGCCACAGCGCAGCAATTGTATGGCAACCAAACGACGACCACTCGTGTGCTGTGTACATTTTCCGTGTGTAAATGGAGTACTTATCGGGCTTGATTCAGCCTTCCTCCAACGATGCTACTAGTGACTAACTAAGTTACTTTCTTCATAAGCACCCGAGTCCTGAGAGGAGGACATCGTGCCGTCGACGATTGCATCATAAGGGGCGAAAACGCAGGGATACCTTGGCTTGAGCCAAACGCCACTTGGGCCACGTGGAACATAATTATTGTGACTCACGTGACGGAACTCTGAACAAGACCGGGGTATTCCCGCTTCGCAGCAATGCTACCTAGGCCTAGCGATACCCTTGTTGTTAGTCTAGTAAATTTTTGCATTGGAATGTCAGGACTGGCCTACAGGCTACACTGTATCTGTGGGCATGTTCTACTGACTGACTGTCTACTGATCAGGGAGTCGTAGATCTACAACCCCCCGCCTCCCTGCTACTGTGTGATGTACAGCGCTAGTAGTACTAGTACAGTGCGTAGTGCTAGTGGCAGAGCGAAGGGTGCAGGAGTGCAGCAGGGGTCACCGCGATTCGCGCGCATTCTCTTCGCTCACCCCAGGCCCATGCACTTCACTGCCTTCAGCCTTTTCAGGTCACTAACTCAGGCACATGCTATGCGGGCGCGAGTAGTGTATGCAGGACAAGCAGCAGCAACAGACGATGCTGATTATTATTATTATGAAGAATCTACTGAGCCAGCCGAGGCACCCTGACTGCCTGAGATTGAACGGTGAAGTGTCCTGGCATGCGCTGGCGATGATCATGCATGCAGTGATGGGATACAAAAAGCTGCCGTCAATCTCGGCCTGAGTTGAAAGTGCTCTAGCATCAGACCTGACTAGACCGCATTCAGCCAGTACAGGGGGACTGTAACGACGTCGTTGTGCAGTAAGTGTGCTGCTACATTCAGACAGATAGAAATAGAAGAGGGCATGCAGCTGCTTGCTGGGCCCTTCAACAGAGACCTTTTGAAACAGCACAGCACGCATACTGCAGTCCTCTTCCAGGCAGTGCTGTGTTCTGGCCGGTTGGTAGAAAGGTTCTGATCCTCCTCCGCTCCAGCAAGCAGGACGCGTAGTGGCCATACGTGCCTCGTTAGCTACACAGACGAACCTTAGCCGACACTTGTTAGAAATTATCAAAGTATCAGTGATTGGGAGAAACGAGTGCGGCGTAGTGTTCCCTGAGAGGTCGAGCAAGAATTTGTAGGAAGTTCATTCCGGAGTGACTACAGGTTGCTCTTTGCCGGAGAGCCGATAGCAGACAGTGTTGTGCGGTGAAGTGGAAATTCCTGTCGGACGCGTTCACAGTGGGGAAGGTCGTTACCCGACGTGACTAGGGAGGATAGTGGCGAAGCAAGCGCCTACGGGATTAGAAGATGCTGCGGCCCACTGAAGGCCAGAGCGTCTGGGCCCTCACCACGCTACTCATTGCAGCCTGCAGCCTGAACTCTCGGCTGGTGGTCGGCATCAATCAGAAAACAGGTAAAGTGTATGTATGTGTGCGTGTGTCCTGATCGAGCACTAAATTATGGCAAAATAGGATTTGCGTAAGGACCCAGAATACCTGACACCACTCCCAATTGCTGTCAGGCTCAGCGTGTTTCCATCCGCCTCGCCGACATGAGTGGTTCACAGGATCGACGCTTGCTTATCCACGCCATTCCGACGGGTGTTTCTCTCCGCCAGGGGGTAGTCTCGCCCAAAACTGGCAAGTGAACCCATGCATGTGACGCGAATGGTTTGTGGTGAGGCTTCGGGGCGAAATCAGCGTAGTTCATCCGCGTGTCGATGGAATCATGTTTTCGGTTATCGGCGGAAAGGAAACATAGATAGCAAGCATCTGTTGCTCCTTTGAACGACGACACCTATGCCGCTTCGGTCCGGAGGACATGAAAAGGATTTCGACAGTAGAACTCGAGTTCCTTTGCTATCACGAGAATGTTTTTGGCAACGTTTTGTCGATATCGATCATGGCCGTGACAGTGTCGAACAAACTAACTTCGTAGAGTGTGTTTACGAGTCCTCGTGTCTACGTTGCACACTTCAGCGCCACTTCAGACTTTTTCAATTCGAGTCGAAGGCAGATCTTTTCTCCCCGAGGGTATTGTTTGCATTAGCTGTGAGCATCGAGTCGAAGCCCTCGTGCTAAGCAGTGTTGCCTGGGCCAATCCGTTGAGGTTTCCTTTGACGGGTACAGACAGTATCTTTCCAGTGCAGTGACTAAAACTCGTGACACTGCAGTAACTGACAGCGAGCAATCGTTCGAACACTGAGAAGTTGGGCTAGTGTTGGTGGCCCCAGCATTGTTCAGGCGAGAAGGCGAGTCGTCGACAATTCCACCCATGCCAGAAGAAAAGTGGTCGAAAGCCCCAAGTCGCTAGAGGCAAGTTTTGGAGTGACAGCACATAATCTCATTCAAAGAACTGGCTGCAACGGTAACAGTGACTAACACTGAACATGTGTCAGTTGTTACAACGCATCCTCGGGCCACGTCGTTGGTGTGTATTAGTGTGTATGACTGTGTACTTGGCTGAGCTGAGTGTGATCCTGCTGGAATGTGTCTGGCCAGGACAGAACAGAATTTCCAGATGCAGTGCATGAGGCTTTGGACAGTCACTAGTCAGTGGAGCAGGGAAATCAATTAAATTTTTTGGTGGCAATGCTGGATCTTTGCCCAACACTGTGTTACCAGATATGGGACCCCACCTGGAGCAAAAGACTATGAGAGAGCACTCCAGCATCTGTGTAGTTGTTGTCTAGATGCAAGTGCATGCAATTAGTCAAATTAGTAGCTGGGATTGCTTCACACTGAACGCAGATCCCTGCATGGTTACAGTGGTAGCTGAGTCAGAACACTGGGCTTTGCGGGTTTATGAAGCCTTCAGGGTCCTATTGGCGGTTTATCCATACTCATCACGGGCATTGTCTTGACAATGGACTAGGCGATGGGCTGGGAATTGTGCTGGGGAGTGGATGTGAAAGGAGACTTGCTTGTGGGCATGCTAGGAACAAGCAGATAGAAGTGGAGCCTGATGGTGGAAGACAGGTCAACTCTCCTCCTGATTGAAGTGGAGTGCGTATGTAATGAGTGACTGGAGGGGGCATCCACGCTGTTCAGCAATGGGTGCACAGTGTTCCGGGTATGCATCACCATGGAACTGGAGAAGACATCAAGCCATGATTCTGTTGATCCCCCCAAAGCTTGAGACACGATTCACAAAAATGTCATAACACACTTTGGTGTGATTTGGAGATTGGAGGCCCCCAGGTTCCAGGACGCTGCTGAAAATAGGCAATCAATGTCTTGTAGAGCTGCTTCAGTGTTTATTCTGTGCGTGTCCTCATGGCCAGGGGGTTGTGATTAACCCTATGCTTGTGCCACAGGGGTCTGATGGCCACTCTGGTGCGTGATGCATGCCAGCAGATCAACTCTGAACTCGGCATTTTGTGTCTACGTGTGTTCGACTGCACGTGTAGTCCCTGACTCAGAGTCTTCTTCACTGTCTGCGACGTTGGTTGCATTCTATCATAGGATGATCGGCTAGAGAGTGTAACTTTAACTTAGCTGGCCTGTCTTAGTGAATGCAACTGCAGCTGGCTGCCTGGGTTTCAATCACGTCCTCCATTCAGTCACACTTTGAACTGGTGTGTGTCCAGGTACACTCTAATTAGCGTCAATTAGACGAGAATGCTGCTTGTCTTTCTTCCTGTTGGCGTGGTGGTTTTATCTCTCCTACCCATCACTGGCTCTCCTCCTGCGCATCATGGTGGTACCTCTAGGCTTTAACTACCTTATACAGTCATACAAGGACACAGGCAAACTGGGTGCGCCTGAATATTTGTGAACATGTCTAGCTGGGTTTGAAGTTCGGGATGTAAATGCTGGCATTGTACTGGTCTAATAACGTGCGGGAAATATCTACTACTAGTGTGCTCATAACGTCACGAGTTTTCCACTGCTATGGGGTTGAAATTCACTGTCGAAACCCGAGCAAGTTTGTGGCCTCATCCAGGAAGGTGATATTATGTAGTTCATTTCCCACCTTGTACAGCTGTGTGTGTGTGTGTGTGTGTGTGTGTGTGTGTGTGTGTGTGTGTGTGTGTGTGTGTGTGTGTGTGTGTGTGTGTGTGTGTGTGTGTGTGTGTGGAATTGTAGACGAGGTACTCAGTACTAGGAAGTGATCATGGTACAAGCCACTGAGCCGCAACATGCAATGTAGCGACTAACTCTGTTCCTTAGTGGCAGAGCATGTCACCCGAGAGCAAGCAGGAAACTCTTCACTATTGTGTTTCATGCCTGCCAGTGGGTGTGACTGGCCCTGACTACATGCACGTAGGTCCTAATAGGTGAGAGGAAGCAAGCACTGAGTTTTAGAGATGTTATTGTCATCATGTTACACAGTAAACTGGTTCTTTGGTATGCTAAGATAACAATCGTGCACACCCTGACCATGTTGTATCAAAAGAAAGGAACAAAGATTTGGTTGAATACGCAGCATCCCCTGAGGATCCGATGACGAGGTATGAACTTCCTTGCAGATGTTCAGTCAGGATGGTGACACAGGAACACACTTCCTTGTCAGCATGTAGCGCCATGCAGCGCTACTGTGCTGTGGAGCACAAGGCCGTATTCAAGCACAGGTTGCTGGGTATCACCCTGCATGATGCATCATAGCCTGGGGAAATGTGATTCTAACAGAGTGATTTCCATTATAGATCTGGAGCAGTAGAGTACTACTCACTTAGTATTGATTGATGTTCCTTGGATAATTCATCCCAGCATCACTGGGTGGACTCAAATATTCTTGTCATTACATGTGTAGATATTATCTATAGACTGGCCAATCAGTAGTATGATAATGCACAACAGTACATGTACAACAAGCAGTGCTGATATACACATAAAACGGAGTGGCTCTGCACCATTATCAGTGGGCTGGATATAGACTGTACATGGGCTATAGAATGCAGCCCAGTGACTGTGTCTGCTGGATGATATGGGAAACATAGTAATCTCGGGGTGGTGTTGAAGACCATGTGATCTGTATTACCTGAATACAAACACGCGTAGTGTGTGTGCCGACCACGTGTACTTGTACTCTGTACTCTAGTCTAGTCACGCAGGAAGCTTCACTCTCTTCAGGGCATTTGTATCTTTGATTTGTTCCTGCTTTTACATGTACAGTACACGGTGTTGCAATTATGTTCCCTCAGTACATGCTGCATGCAAGTGTTCCAGTCTGTGAGTGAGCGTGTCAGTGCTGCGTAAGCGGGGTGGATGCGGGGTGGATGTGGAGGGTGCTATTCAAGAACATTACAGTGCTGCCTGGTTGCGCATGTCTGCTATTGTTCATGTGTAGGAGCTGATATCAATCTTGTAAATGTGCCTTGAGTGTGGGGTTACTTTTCAATCATGTCCTTAGTGCATGGAGCTCTTTCAAAGTTGACAATCACCCTTCGCTTCACACTCTCTTGAAAGGCCTTGTCATTGAGAGAGGGCTCCTTCGCGAACCGGGGAAGGTGTTGAAAGAAACCTTTTCTACCTTACACTCCCGGGGTGCGAGGAGGGTGGCCCTGCATGTGGTGGCGCCATACTGAGGCATAGCTGTGGTCAGGCAAAGACTACTTGGGCATTAGACCCTGTTGTGAATTCGACTATCTACCCGGACATTGGCCAGATGATACAGATTTAGTGAGCAGTTGAGGCTCTCTTTACTCAAGTGCTGGCACAGGCAACTTGCCAAACACGGGATTTTTATGTAGGCAATCCATGCCGAGGTGAAGTGTTGCGCTGCTGGTAGCCCTGGGTTATCATGTACTTTCTGGCAATCAGTAGCTTGGCCGGGTATGGGGATCTTTCTGGTATGCTTGTATTGGCTGCAACACACCACTAAGGGTTGTAGTGGCTTCACACTGGCGTCCTATAACGATATACATGATGACAGTGCCGTTTGTATTCCCAAACGCGGATGTATCAGGTATTTTTTGTAGCCTTGTTTATAAGATTCATGTAACATGGGAGATACGCACTAGTTCAGAATGACAAGGTACGTTGAAGTGAGAAATGAGTGGCTTCAATCAGTGCTGCGTTCTTGTTCCTGCAGTTGAGAAGCTGCCTGGTGAACTAGGTGTGTAAAAATACTCTCTCCTTGCGTCATTCTGTTCCCTTGCGTGATGGCAGACATTCAATGTGCCAGCCGGGTTGAGATTTTCTTGATGAGGAAGGCATGAAAAGCTGATACTGGCCTAGTCAGCGCACAAAACGGTGTCATCTTGCGTTGCGATAATCTTACATATGGCCATTGTATGGCCTTCTACGTGCCATGCAAATGCGTGTATCATTCAATGATGCAGACGGTCGCCTTCTCCTGGCAATCTGCTCAGGAGACAACTATGTTGAGAATTTAATCTATGGCCTATCAACTTTCTGAATTGAAAAGAGATGTCAAATGGAAAAAACAGGATTGGATTCCGTAATACCA